AAAGAGTCAAGACCTATCCTGCCTTCATATTCAGTAGTCCGAAGCACCGTGATACACGAGGTAGTACACAAAGCATTTACACGAGATGGAAGGTTACGGTCTTATGCGGCACGGCTCATGTTGTTCAGCCAGACCAGGCAACAGTGAGGAGTCTCTGGCAAATCAGCCCCGCCAACAGTCTCTTGGCATCGACGAACCAACAGCTGAGTTTAATTGTTACCTTACGCAAATATCAATACAGTACGAGGTCGTTAAAAATCCCACAAACTCCAAGTCCCATTGGTTTGCCCGATCACTTCTTATCCAACGCTCAGAAGGAATATTCCCGTTCCCGATGCCAACCATTATCAGGCCCCACGACGTTGGGCAATTACACCGTGCCATCGCCATCTCGAGACTTTTACCAACATTTCTCTTTTCAAAATGATGTGAATGGGCGGGGTTCAGTCCAAACATCCGTCTCTGACGCAGAAAAAGACACCATCGTAGCCTCCAAAAACGGCTTCCCCTCTATCACGCTCCACCGGGAATGGGGCGACTGGTCTGACCTCGCCACGCGAGTTGCCCAGCTCGCAGAGTTCAGCGTCGACGCTTTAGACGAACAAGGGTCCTCAGTGTCCAAGTGGTCGCGCTGTCTTACCGCAGTACTTGACAGAATGATAGACAGCTTTGATCGCCCCGAACCTATCGACGTGCGCGAATTTTTGACGCGTGCGTGCCACTCGGGCGGCAACGGTATGTCGGGATCGGTCGTCCATTTTTCTGGCTGGTTGACAGCCTTCTGCTGGTGGCGAGCCGACGGGACGAGGCAGAAGGCGTACAGCGACGAGGAGCTGCAGCTCGGATACCGATGGTGTGATGAGAAATGGGAGATATCTGGGGTTAGCGAGTTTCCAGTCATCGATCAAAGTAAGATACCTGTCGGCCTCGCCAGCGTTCCAATCACGTTTGGCAACAGAGTCGTTGGAGGAGAAGAGGCGAGTGATGATACGGCTGAGACGATCCTCCTGGCAGGGTCTGGAGGGATGAGGTTGCTGGACAGTCGAGAGTCGACGAGGGTAGCTCCGTCTTCGAGCTAGTGGCTCCTACACGATAAGCCGGAGCCACGAGAAGGCAGAAGAAGCCAGGTGAAACTACCCAAGTTAAGTGCGAAGAAACTCGCGGAGCGCAAGCCATTATTCAGGAAGCCAATAGGTAGGCCCGTGTTGAGATAATTCCAGGAAAGGCCACCGAGGGTGCGCCTGCATCCTTTAAGATAAAATCCATATGGGAAGCTCCTTCCAATCGTACCTTGGAGATGTATTTACCTACCTTGACAGGCGGAAGCTGTGCCTTCCATCTTTTGCTCTTCCCAAGACCAGTGTCCCTTCCCTTCTTCCATCTTCCTTCTCTTCTCTCACCTACAAAAGGGCTTCTCCCTCTCACTCAGCCTTGCCACTTTCTTCAACTCAACACATCACACCCACCTCGCCTTCAATACTACTACATTACCAACTCTATCTACCTTGTTCACCAGTACAGCTAGCAGATATCTTACCATTGTTAGTTCTTCTTTTCTATACCTACCACTCACATGCCCTTTACTTTGCCTAGCTAATATCAGCCTCAGACAAACAGCCATGCCTCCCAAGAAGAATTCCGAGGCTGGCGCCGTAGCCGCAGGCCTCGACCTCACCGACTCCGAGATCAAGCTCATGTTCGGCATGATGGAGATCATGACCCGCCCTTCCATCGACTACGACGCTCTCGCTGCCAATCTCGGCTCCGCCAGCGCCAACGCCGCCCGCACCCGCGTTGCTACTGCTATCAAGCAGCACCCGACTTGGTTCACCGGCCCCGGTGGTGCCTCTGCCACTGGCGAGGGCTTCTCTGCTGCTAGCAATGACGGTAGCACCCCCGTCAAGAAGCCTCGTGTCAAGCGCACCTCGAAGAAGAAGGCGCCTTCCGATGCGGAGGATGGCGAGAATGCCGGGGAGCAGGGCACGCCTTCCAAGAAAAAGGCCCGAATTGCCAAGGTCAAGGAGGAACAGGAGGATGATACTAAGGAGGGTATCAAGCCGAAGCTGGAGAAGACTGAGATCGTTGATGGCCAGATCTGAAGGAAGGAGCTATCACGGGGTGGCAGGATTTGCACATACTTCACTTGGATTGTGGGCAGATTCAGAGGAGCCTTGGGCAGGCCGCCATCATGCCACTGCGCAATTCTTTGTCTAGAACCTTTTCAAGATCTGAACAGCGGTTGAATGCATGGGGCTAGCAAGGTTAACTGAAGACCTTGGGGATATTCACAGACCAACAGAAGTCACAACATCGCGTTTTCAACAAAGGCCTAATCAGTCAGCGTTGCTGATAAAGGAAATACTCCACGCTTTTGTCCCTTCTGTGAAACAGTTCCACAAGATCATCGCTGCTAAGACCAGAGATCCGGTTAAGAGCTCACAAGGGTTACATCCATCTACCTTGTGATATATGCCAACACTTTTGTCTCAGCCCCATGATACCAATAGTTAAGAAAATGCGTGTCACTGCTGGGAATATGTCTCTGGATGGCGACGCTTGCACTGTCTTTGTCAGAATGAATGTTCCAGAATACGCTACTCAGGTTCGTGAAACTTCTACAAGTCAGGGTAAAGAGGATTCGGGTTTTCCGTTTGCCCGCAACCTATCCATCTACAACTCCATCAACTATCCACGCTTCATAAAATGGCTATCCTGATTCATATCTTAGTAGATAATCAGGAACGATGGAATTCGAAGCATCAAAAACGTGTCTATTCCTACCTCTGCATAGAGTTGATCTAGTTGTTCCTCAAAAGCCTCCGTTTTGACGAGAAGACTGGTATATTGACGAGTGCGCGGTGGTAATAGCCTTTGTCAAACAGCTACTAATCTGCCCTTATTACTGCGCCTTTTGATAGCAATATATCGACTCAAATCTTCCCTTCTAGTTCGTAAAATTATTTATCTTACTAAAAAAAATCATGGATGACTTTTTATACTTAAACGCAATGCTGCCTTGAATCTCGAGCCGAGGGGATATTCAGATATGATTCCTGCAGTCACGACTTTCAAGCTTAATTACTCACACGAACTAAAAAGAGTTCACCCCCCGTTGCTGAACTGGGGGCTACATCTCTGGTGCTGATGCTAGGACTCGAACCTCGAACCTAGCGTAGGCTAAGCCAGTTAATCAGGCTCGCCCGTAACCATCCCGCCAAACGGCAGTTTGACCTGACCTCACAGGCCTGTGAGGCGCCTGCTGCCGTTGGTGACAGGATTGGAATTGAGGGGACCTATATTCCTTTGTCTGATGGTGTATTCCGAAGTGTATTTCATTGCGGCTCCTCATCAAGGTCGCGGTCGTACCTGCCATATCTTCATTTTGCCGCCACCCCGTGTAGTTGCCACGTGACTTACGCGAACCTGAACACCGCCGCAATCGCTTTCTTGCGCATCAAGTGAATCATAAGACGGAATTCTCGTAAATGTATACCTACAAAGTGTTTGCCAGGGGCTTATTGATGCTCAATGCTGCCCCCAAAGACCAGTCCACTCTGACCAAGGACCGATCGGAAGCTGACTTGTGCCTGAAAAAGATTCAAGTAGATCCCAAGAAAAGACTTTTGAGAAATTATAGAAAAACTATTCTCATTGCCATGTGGCTTCAGCGACTACGGCAAGCCGAGACTCAGCCGAAGTCTCTATTATTCATCCAGTAATATCGGTCCTCTATTTTCAGGAAGCCTAGTAATCGCCTTGGTCCGCTTAAAGGAGAGACTTGGTCCTGACTCGAAGAACATGAAAGCCAGGGCTATCATCCGGTTGATGTTACATAAAAAGACATAAGAAATGTTGCGTCATGAATAAGTATTGCCGAGTATGGTCACCATCCACCCATCTCTTCCTCGATATATCAACATCGAGACTGTAGTTGTGATGCGGGGCTGAGAGCCAAACCCGGCATTGATTTTACGGCGTCGGCAATGAGAATACGGAGATGACGGGAGGCAGACGACACGACCGATACGCTTTCGAATGGGCATTCGGCACGAAGAGCTTTTGTGTATCGCGCTCGGCTGCGCCTGCTTCTTGACTGGTCGTTGAGGTCGCGATGCGCTACAACTCGAGACGAGCACACGACACCGGGTACGCTTCAGAAGTTTCAATTCGAAACTCTTGAACATCGCCTTGTTGGCTAAGTGGTATAGCGTCTCACTAGTACCTAGTGACATGAGAAGATCGGCGGTTCGATTCCGCCACGAGGCATTTCTTTTGCTTTTGGAAGGTTCTACTGATGCGAATTCAGTTCTTGTCGATTCAACGCACCCTTTTTTTGTACAATTTTCCCCCTTCTTATTTCCCTGTTGTGGCGTGTGTAACTTTTGCGAAAGTTCTGTCTGCGATTTCGTCTGGAGCTGGTAGATTTCGCCTGGTAGGGCTGCCCATTCACGTGCACATTCCACCCACCCACTCACTTACTCGCTGGCCGCTTGTCACACGCGGCCGCATGAAAGTCAAGACAAGGACAGGACAGCTCCTGCTCTGCTCCATCATCCAATTTATCGAAAATGGAATTGGCCCAGCCTTGCAGGTTTGCCATGTCCAACTTGTCCACAGCCGCAAGACTTCAGCAAGGTCCAGCCAGTGTGCCAGTCTAGGCCCCCAGGGATGCCGATGGAGAAGAGCAGCAGAAATTGAGAAAGCCGCGGGAGAAAAAGCCAAGCTGGTCGCAACGGCGGCTGTGCAGAATGCCAGAATCTCCATCCGCTAAACTCCATTGTGAACAAAGTCTCAGGGATTGACTGCTGCGCCCCTCTAGAAAGTGGGCAGAAAAGTACTGAGACAGAAAACAAAAAGTCAAGCTGAGCCTGGCCTGGCCTGGTTGGCCCCCCCACCCCCTGAGAAATACATCCACCCTGTTCTTCCCAATTGAGTTGACAGACGGGTGTCAAAGGAATTGATTGGACGATCCACGGAGAAGGGACAGAGTTCAATAGCCTCTGAAGTTCGGCGTGCCTTGCATATCCTGGGCGTGGCTGCGAATCTGCGACGGAGAGAGGGTCACACGGGATCATAAGAGCGTGCCTAAGAGCGTGCCGTGCATGCGATATTCACTCTTCCTTCTACCGATATCATAACATAAGTACGGCTATTATTATGAATTACTCGCTTCCGGAGTCGTGGGATTCTTTCACAAGTTGGCGAAGCATTCAAGTTGGGTCCAGCCCAGATTTCGATCCCGCTCACGGGCCCGGGGATGGCATCATGACCGTTGTGTTGGCTTGGCCGCTTAGCCACGTTTGAAGATTTTCTCAGAGTTCCAGATTTCTCGGATGTCCATTGATGTTCTCACAAATACTCGTACGCGACTATTTCACCGAAAAGAATAAAACTGCATTGTTGGAACTTCACAAAAGCCGACGGGGTAACCCGAACATACAAACCAGATACCAGCTGGGATGAAGGGTGTGTCTTCATCTGTTAGCGTTTTATTAACGTTACATTGAATTTCACGTGCCTACCACGCCTACACCACGATCCAGTTTCTGTAGTCGGCCAATTGGCCAAATTCTGGTAAAGTTGATGAACCCGTCTGCGGATTAGTGATTCTCGGCACATTGGCCGACGTTGCTATCGGTCAAGGACCATTCTTGTGCCAATTGTACACTAGACACTAGACAGCGGTTCATCACGCCACCTGACGTCAAGTATGCTGTTGTTCTTCGCTGTCTCGGGTCAATGGCACAGATAGGTAGGTGGTGAATTGACAGTTAGATGGCAGAAAATCAAACCACCAGTGACCAGCGACCACTACGCGGAAAACCTCGTATCCGTCGCATTCTCTTGCAGATCTGAACCATTTGCAAGCAAACCAACCAAGTACTCGCACAACAAGCGCGGGCGACTAGCGGTTAGCGGCACTTCGAGTCTTTATCTCGGCTAGCACCAGAGTGACCAGACACTGCCAGTTTGACACGGACCAGACTGAACAACGCTGGGGATGACTGGGAATCCAGAACATTATTACGACACTTATGACGGCGGTGGAGCCGTCCCCTGATCGCCCCCGATTATGACTCGCGCTCGGAGCGCGCGCCCGCCCAGAGAGGAAGGCCTCCCAAAGACCAAGAAATGGAATTGGGCCATTTTTTCCCTTCTTGCTTCAGACCGTCTCTACGGTGTACTCTCCACGGACTAGTCCACTAACAGTATTGCAGACTGCAGTCCTGTTGGCAAGGAGGGGGTGGGATGGTCCCCGTCCCGAAACCCTTGGTGTCCCCGGCCATCGGATAGCTGGGAACTCTGTTCAAGAAGTTGTGTGTCCAGTGCTGTTTACTCTTTGGGAATTCTGTGCTCCTGTTTTTCTGCCAATTTACCATCTTAACTTTACTGCCCTACCTATTCGGCCAGACTTGGACTCTTCTTCAACGTTGATCGAAATTTTACGTGTATTGCGTCTTGGAAGATCTCCCGCCCGCGTTCTTCGAGACTGGACTGCTGATATCCCACCGGGCGGCCCACTACACCTTCGATTTCGGGGATTTTGGGGAAACAGCTACGGGACCATCCCACGAGGCCAAGACTGTACACCACGGTTCTGCAATCGTTTTGCGATCTGTAAGGCAGAATATGGAGTAAAGGGGGTCGAACTCGAAAAAAACGGATACGAAAGCACCAGAGCAAACATTCAAGGCAGCCTTACCTTGAACTGATTTTTAGTTTCATCTTCTTGTCAGAGTAACAAGAACAAGAGTAATCGGTCTGCTGTCATTCCCAGCAGCGCGCAGCGGAGGCCAATATTTCCCTACCCAAAGTACATACAGAAATACAGCAGTCCAAATGACGACAACATCCGACCCGAATCCACTGACGACCCAACGAGGCGCGGCGCCTCTGACGACCGTCTTCACGACGCCGGACTTTTGCAACTCGCTCTACTGGACAAACACAATCACGCCGCCCCTCTCGAGCGTAGTATGCATGCCCACATCATGGCACCAGGTCAACGACTACAGCTGGGGCTACTACTCCCCCGGCATCTGTCCCATGGGGTACACCGAAGGTTGCGCGTTCCCGACCTCGCTCGCAAGCTCAAAGGACGGCGCCGTCGGCATGGGTGGCCCGGTCACGGTCGGCGAGACGCCGCGGCTGTGCTGCCCGACGGGGTACGTCTGTTATACCGACACCAAGAGCTACGGGTACAGCAAGTGCATCTCGACGATCCCGACGACGTCGTTTTATAATAGCGATAATCAACCGACCTCGCAGCTGGCGCTAGTGTATGCGGTGCAGGTGCGGTGGGCAAGTTCGGATTTGAGTATTTTGGAGACGGATCCGACGGTGCCGGGGTCGACGTATACGGGGGTTACGGCGACGGGGTCGGGAGGGGAGACGGTTGCGACGACGGGGGCGCAGACGGGGAGTAATTCGATTGCGACGGCGACGGCGACGAGTACACCAACCGGGTCGTCGGACGGAGGGGGAGGGGGTATATCAGTTGGCACTACGATTGCGATCGCGGTTGGATCGGTGGCGGGAACGCTCGTGCTGGCGCTGCTGGCCTTTATCCTTCTATGGCGACGACGCAAGAGACGACACGCACAGAAAGCAGCAGCGGCGGGCGAGAATGGTGGCAGTGCAGACAGCGACTCGAAATCGGATTCTGTGGCGCCGACAATGGCACATAAAGCGCCCGTGGGGAAGTCGTCTCTGGATATCATGTCGCCCAGCACGGCGAGACCGGGGACTGGGACGACTGTTGTGGGTGATGAGGCGCTGCACTCGCCGCGGTCGCCGACGACGACGGCGCAGCTTGATTCAACGACGGTGATGGAGATGGAGACGATGGAGCGGCCGCAGGAGTTGCCTGATACCAATGAGGTGTTTGAGATGGAGGGCGATATGCCGGGGCCGCCGTTGTATCGGGAGAAGGAGGGGTGGCCTCTTAGGTGAAGATGATGGGTGTTTTGAAAGTGTTGATGGACTCTTCTTTCTTGCGACATCAATCAGCGATGTGTATCTGTTACCATCTTGTCTGTCAGGATATACCTATTGTGGTTTACTGTGTTTATTGTAGCGCTGGAGTTCATGTAGGGATGGGTTATGGGAAGCTCTCGACCTCCAGTCGATTCCTTAAAGGGCCTTTGAGAGACAAAAGTCTCGCGAGCTTTATTATGCAAATACTGCAAATCAATATAATCGACATCAATTCTACACTAGGTTGGGTTACCTGATATCCTGTCGACACTCAGATGCTGCGACTTTTTACGTGCCGGCACGATATGTTTGCATGTATGCAATGGTTAGAGACCTATCAGAGTCTAACGGGTAGATTTATCTGCCTTCATACTTTCTCATAATTGGAGATTCCCAAACACCCATAAGGGTACCGCCATTTGACCGGCAACGCCTTTGAGTAATCTCATGTCGTCTGCTTAGAGACTTGGATTTAGACTTGCCTAAAACATTTAGAAAATCTTTACAGATGCGTCACCAATGCGAGGTGGCTCGCGTCGCTCTAACAGTCTGCAAGTTGAAGCAGCTTTGAGACGTGGGGGGAACAGAGCTGTGGCGGATGTCGACGCCGCTTTTCAAGATCGAATATCTGCCAACATCAAGCAGCGATGTCCTGGAAAACAGGAACTGGATAATTGTGATTGTACAGGCTTCGTGGAACAATGAGATGCACTTTTCAGCTTATAGGATAAATCCTGGTCAACTGTAGTCGGCTATGACGATGCCATTCGCTACCTCAACTACGCTCACACACTCCCGCGTTTATGTCCAATACCAAGCATCTCTCGCCCTCACTCATTAGCCGCTCGCAGCCACACGCACACACAAATAACATCGGATTATCCCCGAAATCTAGATCCTTCGCCCCGGCCATTCACCCAGGCAGCGGTGCCCGTTTAGGACCGCTCAAGCCTGCGTTCCAGGCTACGGGCGCCACTAAGATGCCTCTCCCTCCCGACGCCCCGGCTTGCCCCTGTCTCCATTGACCTCGCTCATTCGGCGGGGGCGACAGGGCTCCAACAGGCAGAAATGGCGGGGCTTGTAGGATTCTCGTTCCAACATCCGACATTTGGTGTTGGTGTTGGACGTGTTGGACGACGCTGACGGATATAAAGTGAGTGTCTTTGACGCTATTTTCACTCTATCTTCGCTTATTTTTCAATCCAATTCACTTGTCCTCCAATTCACTTGGTGCCTTTGGAAGAAGCCGTCAACATGTCTCGGCGATCCGCAGGAATGATGAACATCCCGCGGGGGGTGGACGTCGTCAACCCCAATTACTTACATCCCCATCTCGTCATGATCGGTAAGTATTATTGATGAATTGTGAGAACACCCTCACAAACATCTCGCAAACCTCAACACCAAAACACTCTTACTCACCCCCATATCCCCCAGGCGATGTCAACGCCCTCCCCCTAGACCTCGTAGTCCAATTCTCTTTCCTCCTCATGGGAACAGGCCACCTCTTCAGCGGCAAACCCGCAACCCGGCCACTTCCACCCCCAGAAGATGAAGACGAAAAGACGCTCTGCGCACGCCCCTATAACGATTGGGCCCCGGCACCCTACAACGCCTGCTCCATCCGCGCAGACTCCTTCATGAACAGAGCCATGACCACCGTCTCGGGTTTCGGCGACATGCTCTCCATCGTCACCTCGACCAGCACGGAGTGCGATCGCGATCTGCACCACATGAAGACCCGTTTGCTCTGCGGCGCGCAGCCCATATCGATTGCGAGGTGGCGCCAGAAGGGTTTGCATGAGCTGGAGAACATTCAGCGCGCGTGTCAGCATCTATGTGCTGTTGTGGATGCGTTTGAGTATCTTAACCTCCCGCATAATGAGGAGAGGATGCGGAAGGGGTGTAATGGTGTCTGGAATGCGTGTCACGACTTTGAGAAGGCTCTGAATGCGTATAGAAGGGAAAAGGGGCGCGGGGGTCCGGTGAGCGTCACGGCGCTGTGGGAGGAGTATATCGTGGACTTCTTTCAGACCATCGCAGCCAGGGCGCACGCGTGGGTTATGGCACGGATTGGGGAGCTGAAAGAGGCTCTTCTCCTCCAGCTGCGTCAGACCACGCCAGTGTCCGACGGCCCGGCGTCCGCGGCGCAGATGGAGATCCTGGACCGGTTCCACGACCTTACCGAGATAACGAACAAGGCGGATACGAAGATTATGATGCCGTTGTGGGGGTATACCCTCCGCACTCTTACCTCCGCGGCGCCGAGGCTGAGGGATGATTGGAACGGGTATGACGGGCGGGAGGCGATGACGGCGTATCCGTATGATATGCGGCTCCGCTCCAGGATTTACGGGATTCGGTGCCGATATCTCAGTCGGTCGGCGCAGGTTCAGCGTGCGATGGAGAATATCAGGCTGGGGAGGGAGGTGCCGGCTTTGTCTGATCCGAGGGGTTTGGAGGCCACGTGCCGGGCGCAGATGAGGGAGTATGAGCAGGCGAGGACGGAGTTGCGAGGGGCGGTGCCGGAGGTGGGTGATGAGCCGTGGATTGCTGGTGTGAAGGGGATTATGCAGACGGCAGCCCATCGTCCGTTTAGGGTTTGGGGGTTTGTTGGGTATCGTGTGTCGTATGAGCATTCTGATGAGGAGTGGAAGGCGTTTCTTGGGAAGTTTAAGGATGACGTTACGGCGTGGGGGGAGGGTGTTGATGGAGCTGGAGATGTGAAGCCTATGTGCAAAGTGCGGTGGATTGATGGACGGGAGCATGGGATTCCCGAGGGGGACGTTGATGCGGCCAAGAGGTGAGTTTCCCTGTTGATTGGGGTAATGATGAGATATTGGGTTACTGACAGGTGGGCAGACACTATGAAGAATATAGTAAGTCTCCGGCGTGCGAGGGCTTCATGACTCTCAGCGGAGGTGTCTTTCTGGTCGCGGACAAGGCGTCCATCGATTCATACTTGCACCCAGTCAAAGATAACGCGGAACCGATCATCCCCCGCGGCGACCTGGGTTCTTTTGTCCTGCTAGCCAAGCCGGATGACGAAGATAGGGAGGACAGGGAGCCGTCAACGAGGGAGAGGAGGCCGTCTCGAGACGCAGCTGGAAGACCGACCATGAGGCGGGACTGGAAATTTGACGGCACCGTGAGGGTGCTCGGGACGGTCTTGTTCGACGATGCTTGGGCTCTGTTGTCACGGAACTCTGTCAAGCTGCCGGATCTGGCAAAGATGGCACTGGTCCATCCGCGTCAGGTTTACGTTGGGCCGAGTGTGCCGCTGGAGAGGGACGGGTGGTGGACGGCGGGTGTTTGTGGGTTGACGGTGTTCAAGTCTTTTGAGAAATGGAAGACGTCGTGAGGGTCTTTCTCATAGCTCTACGAAGTTATGTGATGATTGGCCGGTAGATGGTGATGGGAGAACTTCCGAGGCCGCCCTGGTGAGCGGCAATAGGGATGTTATTCTAGACGAGATATCCATTGAAACCCTTGTAATACACACTTTCCCGTCTCCTTGAAAAGCCTAAGCTTTACTTCAATGCATATTACTTTAGACCAGGGCCGTTGAGACAGCATGGTAGATGACAGGCTATGGGCGTTCATCGTCATGTCAAATGAGAGCATGTGTTTTAAAGTAAGCGATTATGTCTGCATTGGTCTGGCATTGCCATACGCGTTGAAAGCCAATTATCCACGTTACGATCTCGCAAGCATAATCATCTCGCGCCGAAGTTGATAGAAAGCCTCGAACATGAAGCATGCTTGAATCCTGCAGACGTTGAAGGCTGTCCACCTCACAGGGATGACGCCCACCTTAGCCTGCTGTAAGTTACCACATTAGCAGTAAGCTTAAATGAAAGCTCCACCAGATTCAAGGCAAAAGTGCCCGGACACCGACTCACCTATCCACGCTCAATGGCGCTGTTGGCGCAAGGTGTACAGGCTATTGATCATGTATCAATGGCAACTTGAGCCGCTTATTTGTGTTCCGTAGAAGACACGACTAAAGATAATTCCTTGAAGACAGGTGCATCATCGCCGCGGAGTTTTGTGACAATTGAGACTGTTACTGGCGAGAACAGCCCAACTATAGTAATGAGGGGCTATCATCAAAAGCCTCGCGAGGTATTGACAGAAGTCTTTCTTTCTTGTCTTCAATGACACTCCTGAATGTTACGTAGGTTTCATGCTTGTGAATGAATACGAGGCCACGGGCATTTCGTTCATGAGGGGAGGCAAACAACAATCATATTTCGTGAGCTAATGCGAGCGGCATTGAAATGCTCAGGCGGACCTCCGCAATCATGCGCCACACGACGGGGGAAAGAAGTCTAAAACGGTGGTAATAACCACCCGCGCTATGAATATCGCGACAAATTTATTCATCTTGATGAAAATTATCAAGTCTTATGAGCCTGCTCAGATGCGACTGACATCTTGATCTTTTTGATTGAAAGCACCATGATCACTTCCAACAGATCGAAACACGAACCGCATGAATAAACTAGACCGATCAACTAAGAATCCTTCCCGGCACTTGTGTGGGATGGCCATTTTTAGGACGCGAGGAACTCCGCTGCTGCAGCACAGCACAGCCCCCGAGCTGAAGCTGACTGAGACCCTACCAACCAAAAGGTAATCAGTTAAGACCGCCCGTATCCCTTGAGACTAACCTATCAACTCTCCCGGTGCCTTCATAGTTTTGTATGCGTCGTAAAAGCTTCTTGGGTTTCTAGTGTTGATAGCTTTCGCATCAACCATATCGCAGGCAGCGAAACAGAGAGCTTGACAACTCGGAATAGTGCAGCCACGATTGAGATAGAACAGTCGCCAAAATGGATCATTTACCGTCAGAGCCCACCTCACCTGGTCGGCGACATCTCATGCGCCCGGTACTGCTCGTCTTGGCTTTTGCTTTTGCCCTCTTCGTCTCTCTCGTCCAGATCCTCACTCTGACGGCGGGCACTTGGGTAATCCGCGACAGCAACGGTGCCCAACGTCTTGGGCTGTCGAGCCTCGCTATAGTGGAGGTAAGCAGAAGGCTCATCCTTGGTCATCGCGAACTCTTCAGCACAAACTAAACCTCACAAACCTACAGTTTGACGGCATCGTCCCATCACAAACGAACCCATATACCTACCTCGTAACAATGCACCAATTTGCCTCCTCTTTCGCCTACACCTACCCATCCAAATCCCTCGCGGGCACCCTCGACTCATCCCCCCACCTCCCCTACGACCTCGGCGCCGTCGCCCACGCCCTCCACCTCCCCGAGTCCGAGTGGGCATGCTACCACTTCGCTCAAGACGCCTGCCAGAACAACCCCTTTCTCAGCGCCTTTCGCAACTCATGGCTCATCCTCCCCACCGCAACAGCCAACCTCGCCCTCGTCTACGCGCTCGTCGTGGTATCCTACCTCTTCGTCACGGAGCTGCTCATCGCCGTACAGCCGAGCTGGCTGCGGTGCCAGTGCTACTTCTCGTGCATCAAGCGCGTGTGTCCATGTCCGCGCGGGACGAGGGCGGAGATTGAGGCGTTGCCGGCGGTGTTTTGGGATCGGTATCGCGGGTGGTGCTGGTTTATGTTGCCAGCTGCGGCGTTTTTGCCGGTATTTACGTTGGGAGGGAACGGGATGCTGCTGAAGGAGTATGTTAACCGGCCGAGAGGCCTGGAGGGAGATGTGAACGGGAGGTTTGGAACGGGGTTCGTGGTTTTGCAGACGCTTTGTTTCGCGGCTTCGGTTGCGGGGACTGGGTGCATGGTGTTGAGGAGGCGGCTGGGGATGAAGAAGAGTTGGATGGAGGAGCAGGGAGTCGGGTTGAAGAGAGGGGCTTGAGTTACTTACTAGGCATACCCAAGAATAGAGAAGATGGGATGATGTACTTCCGCCTGTTTGAATGAGAACACCGTATTCTGATCCGATCTGAGGCCGCGCCGGTCCGGGCGAGGAGCGGAAGCTCCTGGGTGGAGCTTGGAGCCGGCAACCCGCAGAATGCCCACTTGGAGCCGGCAAGGTGACGATCGGCACCGGTCCGCTGTGTCAGATCCGATTCGATCTGATCTCTACCACGCAGGGAGCATGGGGTTACTTGTCGCCGCGTAGGTAGTACTCGCACGCTTTTCCCACACAACTTCTCCCACTTCATCAACCACCATTTCGCACCAAGCCTCATGGAAATGTCTCACTAGCTCATTCTTTGGAGAATGGGCTGCGACTAATCTGCGACTAACCCCATTGACGAATCATGGCCTCATCATTCAAGTTGGTCCCTGCCGATCGGCTATGGAATGTCTGGTAGCTCCGCAAGCGTGGACCGTTCGCACCATATGCTGATGTCATTGCCCGCACGAGAAGCTGTCATCGATTTACGCCTCGCATGAGACACCATGGAGCGAATGAGCTGGTCTTTGGATGATGCCATGGACTCGTCACAGGTAGCTGATCTAAACAAAGCTGAGCTCCGAGCTTGGTTGATGATACAACTCGACAAATTCCATACTTACTCACCTTACCTTACCCCCTTCAATCTACCTATTTTCGAAGGACCTTTGCTATCCCGTATCACATCAACTACACAACCCACAAGTCACACAACGAAAAAATTTCTCAAAATGTCCCGTCAAAACTACGCAGTCCCCTTAATGGGCGCCGCAGCCCTCTTGGGAGGTGGCATCTACTACGTCCGCCAACCCTCCACATCCTCAGGCGACCCTGCCCAACAAATCGCAAATAACGCAGATAATTCCCGCCCGTCTTCCGACGCAGTCGCAGAGCAGCGCAAGAAAGCCGCGGACGCGAAACGCGACAATGGTCTCGGCGGCGCGGGCATTGGCACCAACACGGGTGCCACCGGTGGCGCGGAGCTGAGCACCGGCAACCGGGGCGGCAGCAGCGCCGACCGCGATACTCCCAAGGGTCCGAAGGAGAAGTTCCCTTCTGATGCGGGCGAGATTGGAGGCGGACCTGGAAGGGCGAACTCGAATACTAGGGCGATTGAGACACACGGCCCTTCTATGACGCCTGGGTCGAGCACATTGACGGGGGCGTTGACCGGGAAGAGTAATGGTCCTAGCACTTCTGGAAGCAGTGGCAGCTCAGGAGAAGGGATTGGTTCCAAGATCCAAGGGTTCTTCACGAGTTCTAGCAAGAGCAATGAGAAGCCCAGGCAGTCTCCGGTTGATACCAAGATTGTGAGCCATTCGCCTGATACACCGACAAACCGTGGTGGAAGTCCTTGGGATAAGGAGAGGAGGGATGTGGTCAACCACAACCGCTCAGCAGAGTCATAAACTTTTAAATGATTGCATACATGTACCATAATCATCAGAATCAAGAGCGAGAATATTTATATCTCGTCAAACCCAACCAAGTATTAGAATTTCGCACCAAGCTTCTTCTCGTTCTCCATCTGCTGCTCATCCACCACAATAACAGCCTTACCGCTCATCTTACCCGTATGCACAAGCTCAACAAGTTCATGAATCTTGTCCAACCCATGAAAGACATTAGTCTTGAGATTGATCCCATTCTTCGCAACATGCTCCATCAGCCCAATGCTCTCCTCCCTCGAACACAGCAAACTCCCCTTTACCCTCACATCCCGAAACACCAACTCCTGGAATGGGATCTTCACCTCATCAGGCTGCGCAATCTGCACCACCGTCCCATGCATCTTTGTCACCGCACACGCCAGAGCCGCAGCAGAATCCGCGTCAGACAAGTTGAGCGTAGCATCCACACCCTCCCCGCCATTCGCAGCATCCCTCGCCTCTTTCACGACATCCTCCTTCCCCCTTCTCGCGTCAAGAACCACATCCGCACCGCTCGTCCTTGTCAACTCCAACCCTTCATCCCTCGCATCAATGCCGGTGACGCGCAAGCCCAGAGCCTTGGCAATCTGAATTCCCAAATGACCCAGACCGCCCCCCGACCCAAGGATCGCAAGCCACTGGCCCTTCTTCAGCTCAGCTTGCACGACGCCCCTCCAAACCGTCCTCCCCGCACATGCCAGCGGCGCGGCACTCAGAAAAGAAACGGCATCTGGGATCGCCACGGTAGACCGCGCGTCAACCTTGACGTACTCCGCAAAGCACCCGTCCACATGGACCCCGACGTGGCCCTCGATACGGCTGCAATACTGCCGAAAGGTCTCCGGTGCAGACGTACAGTCGAAGCAGGAGCCGCACGGGTGGAGCGGGAGCCCGCACATGACTCTATCACCTACTTTGAAGTTGAAGTCTGAGGATGCGGACGCAGAGCCTACGGCGACGACGGTGCCGGAGCCTTCGTGGGATGCGGTGCAGGGGAGGGATGTGGCGAAGATGCCGGAGGAGACCATGCTGTCTGTGTGGCAGTAGGATGCGACTGCGACTTTGACGAGGAGGTCGTGAGGGGCTAGAGAGGTTGGAGAGGGGACGGGGATGGATTGTATCTCGTAGGGTTTGTTGAAGGATGTTACGCGGATTGCTTTCATTGTTTTGGGGAACTCTGGGGTGGCCATCTTTGCGGGCTTTGGTGATTGGGATCCGATTGAGCTGATGGAATCTCGGGCGAGGACAATAGTTTTCTTGGTCGTTTCGTGATTGGGTAAGTGTGCCCTTCTGATGATGATTGCTGTAGGCTTTGGTACGGTGTTGTCAAAGATGTGATGACGTCGGACCCTTGAATGGTTCAAGTTTGTTTAGCTTCCCCCGCCGGATTCAAGGCGGTCCGAGGCCGACTATGCTGGGCTAAGGTAGGATGTCGGATCCGACGGTTCACCATGGATTTGCCGAGTTTGATGGTCTTGGAGAAGGCGACGCCGCAACCTTAATTCTTCTGAGTTGCGCACCGATGCAACATTGTGCCGTAAGACTCATACGTTTGGTTAAGGGCCTGATAACATTGCCATTGAAATCTGGAGCGCCGAGATGAGATATTCGGGCATTGCCCATCCCTGGTATATAAAGCTATCATTAGATCTTATCTCGAAAACGAATGTCATAGAATGTCAATCATCTCTACACACCCGCAGCTCATCGATGCTGATGGGGCGGGTCTTCGAACAGGCGCAGTGGTGGAGGAAGGTAATGTCTGTAACATGATCGAATAGCAAAAGACTGTAACTGCAATAGCATCATGGTAGAATCATCACAAGCTCGGAGAATAATCAGTTTGAAGTCACTGGTCATAAGTGAAGACAGCGATAGAGCGAGCAGGAGTGCTTATGTGCATTGTGATATATATATATATATACGCTCGGCTCGGAGGAGCAATAGCAATCGACTCCGAACAAGCCCCCAGGGGCTGAAGTATGTGCATGAATCCAAGTGTTATATACTTGAAAAAGATTTGAGCAAATATGAACGGGAAGAAAGAGTCCATTTATCGCAGAAGAGCGTGGACAGTGGAGTTGTAAGTGTCGACGCAACCGCCGAGGTAGGTCGACGTCAGGGAAGCAGTCGTGTTCTTGGCGAGCGCGGCGAGGGCGGTGGTGCCGCACTTGAGGCCGAGGACGAAGGACTTGTGGATGGCGTCGGCGAGGAAGGGCGCAGTGTGGGTGTGGTCGTTGGGGTAGTTTGCGTTGGTGGTGGTCGCGCCGAGGCCCTTCATCGCCTGGGCGGCGTACTCGCCGTGCGGTACGAAGTAGTAGCCCTTAGAGGGGCCGCCAAGCTGCTCAACGGCGAGCCTGGGGGGTTGTGTTAGCCTCGACGTCGAGGAACGGGAAGGAGAAGGGAGGGTTGGAGGCTTACCATGCGTAGTAGAAGAAGCGGTCGTATCCGAACTTGTAGGTACCAGTCTCCCAGACGTTGTTGGGGGTCGCGGCGGCGATGATGACCTGCGAATAAGTGTAAGTCATATGTCCATGTGAGATCAAGGATCCAAGTCAGTGATCATACCTTGGCACCAGCAGCGTTGAACTTCTTGGCGGCGTTCTTGAGGTACGCAGGGTACGTGAGAACAGTCTCGGCAACACCACTTCACAACAGTCAGCATCTTTATTTTCTTCATGAAACCGGGGAACCAGCAAAGACTCACTTGTAGGTAGTCGAGCAAGTCTGCGCACCATCACCAAAGCAATCCGTCCGGCCATTGTCGGTAGGCGTAAGAGAGCCGCCGTCATTGTGTCCAAACTCAATCACGACCCAGTCACCCGACTTGACGAGCCCGGCCACGGTATCGAAGCGGCCCTCGCGGGTGTAGGAGCGCGCGCTGCGGCCGCCAATGGCGCGGTTATCGACCTTGGCCTTGCTGGTCGAGAAGGAGTACTGCAGGAACTGGCCCCAGCCCTCAGTGCCGGAGCCGCCGCCGCCCTTGGCCGTGGTGCTGTCGCCGCAGAGGTAGATCGTCGGGACGGTCTGGCGCTTCTCGACGGACTCGGCGTCGGTGGGGAGGGCGGAGGCCAGGCCGAGGAAGCCGGCGACGAGGGCGATGTTGGCGCGCATCGTGTCGTGTTTTTTGAGAGAAGGACTGTGGGTGAGGTAAAGAGTGACAAGGTTCTTCGGACCGAGCGAAGTGATTGTATGTGTCTCGCGAGAAGATGGGACGGAATGCTTCAGATTGGAGGAAGGGAAGCTTTTCCTTATAGCTTATAGGAGAGCGGCTCTTAACTGACTCTTGACAAGCTTTCCGTCAAGGCCGGGATACGTGGGAAATCCCATCTTTCAGCCAATATCAACCAAAGTCTAGTGCAACCCCTCGAACCCCGGCTCATTTGTTTCCAACGATCGCCTATACGCCTCCTCAATATCGCCAATGTGGAAAAACACCAGTTAAACTCGACGAGGGTGGTTTCCACTCGTCCGGGTGACCGGGTCCTCCCCTTCTCGGTCGAGTCCTGGGCGAGACCACAATCACGGGAAAGCGGCGGATTGCTCCAGCGGTCGACCACCGGGGGGCCGGTCCTCGTGGTGTGCCATATAGAGTAGACTTTTACGCTAGCGGGCGGCTGCAAGGCAAGGAAAAGACCAGCAATCAGACGAGCCGCAGGCTCGCAGCGGCACTTGAGGTCACATCGGGGCTCCTCTCCGCCCCGCACACGGAGGACGGCGGTGCTGCTTCGTTTCGAAAGGGGCCTGGTGAGTGCGTTCCTCGAATCTCCGTCGCTGGCTCTCTTCTCTGAGTTGTGCTACATGTACGGATGACTAGTGGAAGACTGCTTGGAGCCTCAGATCGATTACCATTGAGCATACGTAGGTCGTCTGATTGTCAGAATGCTGTCACAACATGGCTACTGTCTAGAAACCGAGCCGCTCACATAGCGTAAAGCTTCTAAACCACAGACATCCCTCACTCCTCTCCACCTACGGCTAACCGATGGCGCAATACAATTAATCTGGTTCAGTGGTTGCTGTGTGCTAGAAAGGGGCGTAGGAGGGAGGGGGGCTCTGTCTTTCGTGTTTCACGACGGCCGTCGTCGAGCAAGGGAAATCTCCGCCAATCGCGGGCTCTCGTCGTTGAGATGGCCCGTCCTCAACATCGTGGAGCACTGGGAGTTGGACCACCGACCACGCGGACTGAGGGCGGAGTATGGAGCTTCCAAGCTGGGATGTTCCCAGCGGAGAAGCCTTGCCTTTTTCGGCGACTAATTACGACCCGAATCGCCGTACACAGCAAGTCGGATACTAAGGCAATATTAATGAGGAAGGGGAGCAGTAACTCGTCCCCGCTTGTGGCCCGAGTTGAGCTGTCTGGTGCCTCGTGGGAAAGATGGCGCGAGAAATTGACTGGAGGTAGGCCGAAAGAGAAGAAAAGGGACCAAGTTGAGTCTAACCCCGCGTTGAAGTGCAGAACTTCTTCCCTTTTGGAACGGATCAGCCGACGGGAGCGCTTGTAGGCTGGCTTAAGAGGGGTTGTGACGGCGGAATCATTCGCGCCGTGTGACGTCTGCTCTGTTACGATTGTTCCATTCTTCCAGAATGACTCCAATGCAGTGGAAAGTTTGCCCAGACGCGGGCCCAAGACGGGATGCCGGCACTTGTTCTTGGGCTGCGTGCCGTACGTACTGAGTGGAGGGGGCGCAAGCCAGATTTGTTGAACTCGTTTAAATCACGGCTAACCGGATTTCCAAAAGGTTTGTGATCAGATGAACATGGCCGTCCTACCCGAGGGGGCTGCAGTCTGCTTATTGGTGCAAATTGTTCTCGGTGCAACGTCTGAAGGTGTCTCCAAGCTTTTGGGGAAGCAGGGCAGGGGTCATCCTGAGGATTGGCAAAGCTTAAACGAAGAGTGCGAGTCGAGGTATCTGTGCGGAGTGCTCCGTACTCGTGTTGCGCGCTGTTAGCGCAAAAGGTTGTTATGGGAGGGAGAGAGACTGAGAGAGAGCTAGGTAGTCAAGACCTCTGATGTGAGAAGGGAGAGCTGGGGGCTTGGTGATGATTATTCGTTAGTGTCTATTGTGTCATCTGTGCTCCCATCTTCCTGATATCTCTCATAAAGCAGACGAGATCGATAGCCTGGTCTAGATGCTTGTCGCGATGCCTGGGTGGGAATTCGCGTTCGGAAATTTGGTCACTTAAAAAGGTTGAAACTGGGGTAGGGCCCCTAGGGAGCTTAAAAGCAGATTGCAGGGTGAGTTGCGATGCGCTGCAGCTCTACGGGAATAAGAAATCCTTGTGGGTTCGACTCACCTCGGTGAACCAGTGACTCGGTGACCAGGCCGGTCGGCGACTCGGTGCGGACTCGGTGACCGGAAAGGTGAATGGGCTAGACCGAAAGCTGGCCGCTTCGCCGGGAGAATTGGCGCGGCTCCGGAACTTTATTATCCCCGCGCTTTCCTCTGTAACGCACTGTAATCCTCAGCCGAGAAACGTTGTCGTAGAACACCTTTGCATTTCAATGTAGCTTTTGATCATGATGGGTACTTGCCGCTTCAGAAGCAAGGCGGACTGTGTCCCAGACACACTTTTCCGTGCTCAAGGGCCGATAGAGTATCTTATGAGGTTCGGAACAAGTGCAATCATACGCAGATTGCCGCGTTTGAATCAACCCGGGCCTGCAGTAGTATCCGATTGATCTGAAGATCTCGAAATGGAACCATGAGGGAAGAGATCTTTTCCAACTGTGCGTCAAGCGTATTCACCCAGTCTTCGCTCAGCGATTTCTGTAGGCAGGATCCCCAACGACAGACAGCGCAAAAAGATCGAGGTTAGAAGCTAGTGAAAGATAGGCTTGTCCGATCGTCTAAATGTCTATGGTTCTTTGCACCCCTACTACTGTGCCGCATCTCCGGGTCGACCCCATAACCATGTGTTCGGGATCAACCATCCGTCAATTTTCAACACACTCATCGTCTTGATGCATGGACAGTATCTCAAGCTCCAACACAGAAGCTGCTGGCTGATGGATTTCGAGGCTGGCTGGAATGCGCCCCCTCTAGCAAGGGGTCCTGCGGTTGCCAGGGATGCTCATTGCTGACATCTTTGGACTGGGGGCGGATTACGGCTGGCGGAGCTGAATGCTTATCGGAATGCTCATTATTGGCCAGAATACGGCCACAGGAATTCTCGCAATGGGCCGAGAAACGGGTGCCTGCAAATTGGAAATGATGGGACCATTCTTAAAGAATCCCGCGTGGCCAAGCGAACGTTGGTCAGCCTGAGTTCAATAATTTTTACCCCTCGACTGGCGATCGACCCGAGATTTTGGAAGCCATCGTCAAGCGCAGCTACGATACAGAGGAGAACGGCACTACCGAGCTTGGCATCAATATATAGAGGAAGAAAGGCACGAAAAGGTTACACAGGAGTCACAGAAAGTGACATCAGAAAAGCTGCCATCATGGCGCCCACCGACAAGATCTCACTCGAGTTCATCGCCACCGGCAACGTCTGGATGCATACCGGGATGCAAGGCCAACCCATAGAGAACCGCAACATCGCCCTCCGCTTACTCCGCTCCTTCACTGGCGATTGGATCGGCCCCATGCCCCTCGGCGCATTCCTCATCCACCACCCCAAGGGCCCCATCCTCTTCGACACGGGCGTCTCGACGCACTGCACCGAGCCGGGCTACTTTCCCTGCTGGAACCCGGTGCCAGGCATTCTCAACAAGCTAGAGGTGACGAAAGAGGACGGCATCGTCACGCAGCTCCGGAAACGCGGCATCGAGCCCACCGATCTCCAGTTCATCATCATTAGCCATCTCCACCACGATCATGCCGGCGGACTGGAGGTTCTTGCTGTCGAGGCGCCCAATGTGCCCATCTATGTCGGCATGGAACACTGGGATGCGTTCGGGAAGCATCCCGTCTACGCTGCTATGCAAGGGTGCACGCCGGACCGGTGGCCGAAGGATTTCGAGCCACGGATCCTCGACTTTGAGGAGAAGCGCGCTGTAGGGCCGTGGGGCCGGTCGTGTGAGCTTGCACCAGGCGGGACTATTGTTGCGGTTGATACGCCGGGGCACGTGCCGGGTCATATCTCGTTGATTGTGGTGGGGGATAACGACGATGGGAGCAAGACGAGGTATCTGCTAACGGGGGATGCCACGTATGCGATTAACGTGTTGGATAAGGAGGAGCCAGACGGTGCGAATAGTGATCCTGTGGCGGCGTTTGAGAGTTTGAAGAAGATTAAGGCGTATGCTCGGAGCCACGACGTCGTTGTGCTGCCGAGTCACGATCCGAATACGCCCAGGTTGCTTAGGGATAAGGTGCTCTATAGGCCGGGGAAGCATTAGATGGATATTGCAGTGTCTGTAGCAGAAGAGACAGCATAGCTGTAAGTTGTAGGAATAAGCGTGTGGCTCATCAGAACAACCTCGGGTATAGGATGAGATGTGAGAAATGTCTATACTCTGTGGTATGCTCATGATACAAGACGACCTAGGCAGAATGAAAGATGCCAGAAATCCTCAAGCCATTCGGCACCGCACCTATGAGCTCAATTCAATTGGAATTGATTAAGAAAGTGAGGGCTTATGTGACTCCATACTTCACACTATCCATCGTTGGATTTACACTCCTGCCGAGTAATGACTTCGTAGGCTGGGCAATACGTGAATCGGGCGAGGAGAGGCGACGACAGGAGGAGAAGGCCGCTGCTGACACAGAGCTCTGGTAGAGGTCTTGGTACTGCTATCCTCCGTTGCCTCACGGGTGCCAGTACTGCTGCTGTTCATCATCCAATGAATGACGATAGCTGAGAATAGAACTGAAACAATCATCAGCACAATCGATTCTGACCAGTAAGAACGAAGCTCAAGTGCTTACTATCGCTTGTGCAACACATCATGCAAAGCCACGCAACCTCCCCCCGCAAACCCACTATGGTAATGCAGTTACTATTACATGATGTTAGCATTTCATCACTTCGAAAAGTGGTCTTGTATCTGGAGTACCTACAGTAGACTGCTGCCCATTGTGGCTATCGAACCGATGATGGTTCTCTTCGCCAGTTGCCGAAGCCTACGGTTTGGATGGTTGGTTGAATGAGCCACGGGATGAAAGTAACGGAAACCGGTGGTGGAGGGTAGCCAGCGCAGCGAATATGTTCCTAATGATCGATTAAAAGACGTCAACGAGTAAGAAACTTGACCTACTGCAGAGTGGCTGCAAGAACAAAATGGTCAGGTAAACCTAGAATCATGATAAGCATCTGTAGGTACTGTAAGCTCCGGGGTGGGACTCCATTACAGTGGCAATAGGATCTATTGCAATGAGTGGTATCATCGATTGCCAGCGAAAGTAGATGCGACAACCACCACCATACAAATCCCAGACAGTACTAAAGTGGAAACATTAGTAAATAGCCTACAGGTATGGTGTGTTTGTGGAGAGAAACTCACTCTGCAATATTGTAGCTGCTAATCGTCCCGTAGATGCCTAGCACTAGATATCAGCCGAAATGCAGGAGAACGACAGGAGCAGGAAGTTCCGAAGGAATCAGAACATGGTTGGTTCAACCCACCAATGACCAGGAAAATATTCCAGAGATACAACTTAGATCTCAGTCTTGGTTTTCTAGTACTGCGAATGACGTGCTTTGGCATTGCTCAGCATGGCTCCAGTCGCTTTCCTTTGTTCAGTATATACTCACTGCACGATCCACAAGAAACAGGAAGATGAACTAGATTGCGTCAATAGAAAAAGCAAACTCGTTTGAACATGAGGCACTAACAATCTAGATATGTGAATTAGCATGCTGAAGGGGTATCGCTCGTGAACGACTCTTACCTTGCTTCCCATGTAGATAATGGGGCATAGAAGTGCTGTTGCTCTGCAGGTTGCTTTGCTCGTACCATTTCCTACCACGAACTGCATGATGAGGGCAGAGACCGAATATGCCAGTGATGTTCCGTAAATGAGAAAAACGAGCCAGATGATCCACGGTAAGTTATGCCAGCCCTTCCTTCTGACTCTCACCGCACGCAGCGTGATGAAGCTGGATAGCACACAAGCGGTCGTGATTTCGATAATGCAACTGCAAAGCTTCGCAGCAAACGGGCTGTGATACCAAATCTCTTCATCATCTCTCTTGCCAATCACATCCATGGCTGAGACGAGTCCTGGTGATATGGCAGCCATCGTAATGTTTGAGTTGAAGTTAATGCCTTGGTGTTGTGTGAGACGAAAGTATATTCGGCTCAAGATGTATTGAAGTCAAAATTAGAACCGATAGCGCTCGGCGCTAAGATTCATTGAATACTAAGACGAGACGCCGTTTAATATCTTCCGAGAGAACCTTGAGGCTCTGGCAGGAATGAGAATGGTTCATGGGGGACTTCGGAATGTCCGTTGAGCAAGCTGAGCATCGAGGCCCATGAACATCACGCCACTGCTCTCCGCGCCGTTAATAACGCATGTGATCGGCCGTACACCTCACAGCGGTATTGGGCAGGGCACAGTGCCTTATCATCAGCGGCATCGAGGAAAAAGCAAAACAGATTGCGGTCTGATAGTTGTTTCCGTGTGCAATTGGGCTGTTCCCCCAGTGCCGACATCCTTTGGCAGATCATGCGGGACTAAGGTATAGTGTCAAGAAGATGTAGACCGGCAACGCCGAGAAAAACGAAAAAAAGCGCTAGCCAGGGGATAGGCGCTAGGCTATAGAATGATAAATCCTTAGGGTGATATGTTCCTCTTTGATTCGCTCAACAGACTGCGATGCCTTGGCCACACCATTGCAGAAGCATGCATCTCTTCGCATAAGTCTTCAGCATGAAAGACGTCCCTCCATCAGGAAAAGGACTCATAATTCCTGGCGACAATTTAGCCCTCGAGGTTTTCTGACGCCTCGCAGTGGCGAGATCTTGCCGAAAGACGTTGTTTGGAGTAACGCCTTCCTACGTCCTCATGATTAGGTAGGGAGCGGATATTTCCATCGGCCAGTCTGACCATCGAACCTCTTTGGCATACTGTTGTTTTCGTAAGACTTAGTGCAGCACTGCGCTTTTGCCGTCTTCGTCATAGTGTGAAGTAACTAGCGGTATTCGGTCCACATCTTTGAACCGCATTGAATCTCATCTACACCATCGCGTCGTGGCCTTCACGCAGCTTGTCCTGTACTCATCGGGCGTCGGGCGTCGGACTTTGCATTGTGCCAAGCGATGCGATTTGATTGGAAGGTCTCCCTGGAAATTAATTTACCCAGCCATTTGGAATGCGACGCAGTACGCAACAGTGATGCCATAGATGTCGCTGGTATTCATGTGGCGACTGGCATTTGTGATGGCGAAGGCTGGATGGAATTCCGGAAATCATATTGCGATTCGCTATCTGACAGAACCCAGGATATACTGATAGTTTTTGGTGATAAAGTTCTAGTAACGATGTCTACATGTCCTACAGGTTATTGGATACACCATGTCTAAGGAAACCATTGTAGTTTGCTTTAGGCGTGATCCTGAGAAGGAGTATCTGCAGTAAGAATGAGCCGAACATATCCTCCGGACAATCACAAAGCCTTCTCTCCCGCCAAAAGAAGCCCTCATTCATGCTCTCGCATAAGGCTCCGACATTGCGAGTTCAGGAAAACGATTGTTTGACCGCCATTATCTACATGCCTGGCATCTCTGAGCGTTTGGACAGTGACCATTGTCACACAAGTTTGCCAACATCACAGCTGCGTCATAGTTTTGAATCCCCACAGAGTTCAAAGGCTTCAATTCAATAGCACTTCATCGCGTGTTTGTTTCAATTTCTCAAGGCTGCGTCATCTGTGATCTCTACACGAGCTCGGCAGTACTGGAGACTGCGATCTGCAACGAGAACCAGGAGCTGACATCCACCCAGCGGCATCCACCAGCATCCATTACGGAATGGTAACATCACACTAGAACATTCTATCCTTCGATGCTTCGATGGAATGCTTCGTTGAAAAGAAAAGAAGCCACCAGCATGGCTTCTAGAAGGATGCACCTTCGAGAGACGGTAAAGATCGTCAGTAAACTTCAACAGCTTCGGAAAGAGCGGCCAGTCGTTCGATACAGTCGCTTCTCAGCACTTTTAGGGATCGAAATGTCATTTATGACCATACCTATAGCTAAGTCTTGTACGACCCGGACTTGTCCGGCATGCCACCAAACTTGACGTGAGCTCCTCGTCATATGGCGCGTCCATCGACGCTGTCCACAGCGGCATCACTCATGGCACGCATTCCTCCGGCAGAGAAAGACACCAAGCGAATGAAGATCATTGTTGTTACAGGCGTGCTTCGGAACAGCAGTACTTGGCATTTTACCCAACCATCGACGGATACGAACGCCTGCATGTGGTCTCACTGGTCTGCGGACTTGGCTAGCCTATACTCGAAGCATTTCACCAACGACGAGTGCCAATCTGACTGGGTGGGCAGACACACCGCTTCAAAGTACAGGGGCTAGAGGATGTGCCCTATTGGGCGTTCGGACGAGACGATCCGGACTAACATGTCTCATAGGCGCAAGCTCAGGTCACTCCTGTCCGGAGCTGATAGACCGCCAAAGAGGAAATACAGTAAATTTAGCCCAGAAGAACTTTATTGCGGGGTCTAGAAGCTGTAGGGATGAATGCAATTGGACGTTAGTCCAATCAATACGCTTGTCAAAAATTGTGGCTTCGCCAACGGTCGTCGTACTTGGGTAAGGGGGGGGGGGGATCAATCCCATGTTCGAGATCGAATGAAGCGAGTCCTAGTAAACCCCAGAGATGCTGTTATGACAGTTGATTAAGGGAACTGATTAGTTATTCTTCTTACTGGCCACAGAATTCTTGAAAAAAAGCAGATGAAATGAGGATGTAGCTTAGATAGGGGCTTTTCCCTCCTACAATCAATATCTGCAGCGGGACGATCGACGATCGATTAGAACTAGACTTCCAAGTCTGCATACCCTGTTCAATTTGTTGCTCTTATCGGGCTACTACAGAAGCTAAGTGTCGCAAAAACGACGCCGTTAATTGCGGGCAGCAATTAACGCCATATATTCCCTACGAAGCCTAAGCATAAGTTGAAGACCATACATGCGGGGATACTAGCCTTGTGTGGATGTTAGGATGAATGCCATCGCTTAGAGGGTGTAAGATGATTCCCTCAACATTCATGTTTATATCAACACCTACCTCAAGGAGACCATAATGCAACATGAATATTCCAGACTCTGCCTTGCAACTGTCATTATAAGTCCAGACTCGAAGGATCAGTGAATCAAGGCGAGGGTATCAATCAAAGGTAGTATATCTGGAAGTATGTGTATATCTGGAGCTCGAGGTGCTGGACGATCTATGCTTTCTCCGAGAGCATTAATCCCACCAGATCAAATAGTCACTGAAAATCACAAAAGGAATTTGAAAAGGTCCGCCATCAACAAAGGTTTCCTTTTGATCACGTGTCGAAATTCTCTTGAGAATCATTATCTCATCTATTAACACAGAATCTATGCGATGCACATCTACTCCTGGACAACTACCCACATAATTCTCTCAAACACGGCACAAACGACCATTCTGAGTCGGGAAGCCATCAAGCTGGCGCGTGACGTACCAACTTTCGCTGCCGACACCCAAGTTGGCATAGAAGACACCAGTGGGATCAATCTTTTGCTTGAATGCGAGCAGGCGGGCGTACTTCTCGGTACCGTAGAATGACTGCTGGAAGTCAGGCTCAGTCACGTCACCCTCGCTGGCATATCCGCCACCGCCAGGAGTGACGTCCCGCCAAGGCTTCATCCACTCGTTGGTCAACAGCTTCGACTTCTCAGCGACAACCTCAGCGGGCGTGCCAACGTCCCAGCCCATGACGGAAATGGCAAACATGGCAGCGCCGCGCCACGCCGGGTTGACGGCGTTGTCGGGGTAAGGGCCGGGGCCGCCGGTGATGCCGAAGCCAATGATCTGACCGCCCTTGTCGCTGAGACCCTTGATAGCCTCAAAGGTAGCGTTGAACTTGGTGGCGTCGGAGAAGTTCTCAGTAGGGAAGAGACGGCACGCCGTCTTGGCGGCCGTACCTCCGACGGACTCCTTGGGGAATCCTGCCTTCCAGGCGGGGAGGAAGCTCTTGTGCTCGGTGTAGACGGGATCGACGGCGATGCCCAGCTCCGTCCACTTGGCGAAAAGCGGAGCGGTGAGCTCCTTGAGTTGGACGAGGGTCATGTTGGGGGCGAACCAGGGGAGCATGGTGAAGGTAAGGGCATCGGGGCCGGTGTGGAAGATGTTCCAGTACTCGTAGTTGCCGGCCGCGTTCCAGGTGGGAAGTCCCTCCCAGTAGGCCTTGACGCCAGCCCAGAAGGCTTCGTGGCTGACGGTCGCGCTGGTGCTGAAGCTGAAGGTCATGACGGCAATGGTGTCGATCTTGGGGTAGGCCCTGACGACGTATGAGGTAACGACACCATAGGTGTCTGATGAAAGGTCAGCTTGTGTTTCTTTTGATGATGAATGGCTCAACTTACTTCCACCGCCGCCTCGAAGAGCCCAGAACAGCTCAGTGTTCTGCTTCTCGTTGGCAGTAACGAAGCGTCCATCGGGAGTGACGACATCGATGCTTAGGACCTGAAGAAATACAGCATTAATAAAGAAATTCATGTAATAGAACATACAAAAAAGCATTCTTACTGAGTCAGCAGCAATGCCGTACTTGGGCGACAGCGGTGAGTGACCACCACCAGCGAGGTAGCCTCCAGCATAGCCGACAGTCATGCCCTCGCCTCCAACGGCAGTAACACCGAACTTCTCAGCTGCTTCATACAATTCAAAGCCCTGAACACCGGCACCGACCTTGAGAGCGGGGCCAGAATAAGAGGAGGTGGTGTAGGTCTGATAGAAGTTGATACTCTTAAGGTGGTGGGTCCAGACGGAAAGGGCACCGGATCCAGAGGAGCGACCGTTGAAGTCATGACCAGTGTTCTTGACCACGAGACGAATGTTGAGGTTGCGGGCAAAGTTGACCGCGAGCTGAATCTGCGCCACATTCGTGGCCTTAACGACGTACGAGGGGAAACCACCGACGGTGCAGGTGCCGGTGGAGCTGTTGTCGACTGAGGGCGGCATGCAAGTCAGGCCCTGGTACAGAGGGCTCATGACTGAGGTTGGATCCTCGGTACTTTACATTTTATTAGCATTTTGGAATCAAAACGTAGAGGACAAGAGGCTTTGGCTTACTGGATCGTAGAGTTCGTCCACTGGTTGGTGATGTACTCGCAACGAGTGGCATCATAGTTGCCAAAGTCATCAAAGCAAGAAGCGCCGATTGGCACTGTCTCAGTGACGGCAAATCCGGTGAGGAGGTTGAAGACACTCCATACTGCCTTGTTTGGCCAGAGGAGGTCCCCGGGGTAAGTTTTGCACTTGTTGAAGGTGCGGGCCGTTCCAGAACGCTTCTCCCCGGCGGCAGTGGTGTCAAAGTCAAAGAGGGAAATGTTGGAGAGGGAGAGGTCCGTGAGGTTGGCCAAAACGGCGTCCGTCAGCTGAACGCTCTCCTCTTTCAAGAGATCATTGGAAGCGGCAACGACAACGGGCTCAGCGGCCGGGGCCACTGTGGACTTGTTGGCTTCTACAACACGAGTGGTAGGTTAGTCATGACACAAGTCGTAAAGCAGTCGCATGCGAACCCTCAGGGGTTCAGATGTGGAAAGTCAAAATGCGAGATCAACATACCGATTACTGCATCGTCAACCACAATGGTCTGAGCGTACGCCAGAGGCAGGGCAGCGGCCAGGAGGAGGGCCTGGCTGAGTCGAGACATATTGTGTGCCAAGAGATTTGGGGGTTGAGAACTTCAGACTGAAGGAGTAAAAGATTGGACAGAGGGCGCGACAAGAAACGGGTTTGCGTGCTTGTCAGACAGGAACCTCCAATGGTTGATCACCGGGTTTGTGGCTGGCGGTGCGGCGGGAAAGAGGCGAGCGTGCAGAAACGAGCAGTACACCACGAGATTTATAACATCCACGTGGAAGCGTTGCATCTTGCCATCCTTCTTTTACACGCCAGTAATACCACGCGTATGGTTCAATAACAAGTGCGAGACATTTCCACTGCCGTACTGCCCGTTGTCGATAGTCCACGGTTGGTACTGCCTACCTGAGCCCGCCGACATATCCCGGCCGTCCTCGCAGTCGTGGCGGAGACCTTGCATTCGATAGCGGCAGAGGCCACGACATCTCACCAAATTACGAGGATGAAGGACTCAAGGAGGAAGGGACCATTTGGACGAGAAGAGATCTTGGGCCCGCCCCCGGGCAGGAATTGCACTGGGGCCCGGGCTCGCTTACACAGATCTGGATGTCTGTTTGGCCGAGGGGTTCGGGGGGAAGCAGACTAGAGCAACGTTGGTGGCGAGAGTCGTAAAAACCCCGCGCCGGGGGTTGCAACGGCGGGACATTAACAACATCGGCATTGAAAAACTGCGCAAGTAGCAGGCTGGCTGGTGTCTCCAGGTCCGTGGTTACAACTTCTTCTAGACGTTCTCTCCCGAGTGCCGGCGCCGCGCCGCCGACACTAACGGTTTAAGAGCAATGTCTGTGGGCAAAAGTCTGCCACACTCTTGGACGAGTTCGTCTCTTGAGATGGAGCTGGGGAGCGGTTGAGGCGTCTGCCAGCTTTAAGCCAAGCTGGATAAGCCCGGTCTATTCGTAGTCTATCCGTACCTATCAACGTCTGTCTTCTTCCGAGAGGCATGGTGGCGAAGAGAGTGTCGGGAGCTGGGGATCATTCATATTGAACATGGCCCCCCGGTGAACCTTCTGCACGCTTTGTCCTCTTCCGGGCACCGCCACTCCACCGCGCACCTTGTCCGCAACGAAATTCCGGCTGTCCGCGTCTGTGAATCTCCACTGTAGAGTCTAGGGATCCCCGAAAAACGATCTTGGAGTTTGGTGCAATGGTTGGCGAGTCTGAGGGATTTGCGAACAAACTGCCCATTATCCACATAATAAGGGATGTGGATAGCGAGCCGGGCCTCTGGGGAAGACATTGAGTTTATCTGTGCGATCTTGCTAATGTCTCATAATTCGTCAACTAAGTAAAATCAAACTAGACTGTAGATGAACCATCAAATCGGTCACATCTATCAAAGACATATCCAATCGACATGTCAAAATCGGGGCGGAGAAAAGTCGTACGACTTTACCTACAGCCCCAAACGTGTTTCTCATTGCGACCCATGGAAGACACCGCAAGAGTCCAGAAATTGGAGAGCGAATCTTTGAGGGGAGATTTGCCGTCTTAAGGGGGTTTCCTCGCCGCATGATTGTCTGCAAATTCGTCCTGCGCCAACGCGGCACAGCAAACTCTGTTTTTCTTCAACCCTGTCCACCAGGTAACATCCGGAAATCACTACTTGGTCGCCAAGGGGCCAGGACTCAACCCGAGTCGCTGATGGACTTTCTACGATTCATTCACACTAACCGCTAGTGCTCAACAAAGACATCAGCTCCACCTCACTCATCTAATGCCTGACGGTGGTTGCCTGCATTTCTTCAAAGGCGAGAACGTCCCTCGCAAGCCTCGGTCGGAGCGATGAAGAAAGAGGGGACGTCGTATTCACAAATCACCGCGTAACAAAAGTGCGAGGTTGTATCCTGAATCTCATTCACCGGCCCCATGTTCCGGGCACCACCACGACGCCTTACTCAGATTGTGATGCTATGCGGACCGAACTAATCCACTTACCGATCCAAGGCCGCATAGCAGGCTTCTATCCGGTGGGCTTTTGCAAAAATACGATTCGTCTTGGGCCAGAACACGGTCGGCCAACAGCAGATTTCAGCTCAAATGTATATTGGCCTAGGGTTGATTGCATCTCCTATAGTGATGACTGGGCATAAGCGGCACAGCCGGAGGAGTATCGAGCACATACGGATGAAATGTGAGGCTGTTTCTCGATGGACGATGTGAAGCACCTACCTCATCCAGAGCCAATGATACCCTGTACAGAGTGGTTGCAGTGTTCAGATCTTACAATGCGGTTGATTGCACTTGCCCTTCCGTAAGTAAGGCGCTGCATTATGTGACTCTACACTCTATCCTCCAATTCCACTACGTCTCATCGTGGATGGCTTTCTGCCTGACTGGATCATCTACACCATGGATGTGCCAGATGATACCGAACAGTCTTGCCTCCATGGCGTATTGATAGCCCATTGGAGCAAGAAAGCCGGGTTTCTGCCCGGATTGTCGGTATTAAGCTTTCAAGTTATCTGGAATAGTCCGCGCGATCCTTGTCTAGAGGCATGAGAGACTGCAGGAACCTGATAGTCCAGGGCCTGCAGTGTTCGAGAATGAGCCATCCTTGACAGCTTCCTGGCATCTTCTCGAACGCCATTGCACAGCCAGCCACTCACAAGGCTTCCTATTCATCTTTCCTAAGCCAAGCCTCGGGTACGCAAGGCCCATGTATCCTGAAGCCTGAAGGAGCATTCCCTGCTTGGCAGTGAACCAGCGAGCACAAGATCTCAATGTCTCCTGGTGCTGGCGGAGGAACGACCCTGAATCAGCGTGCTGCCGGCTTGTGGTCTCCGGCCAGGGATGCAGCAATGCTACCCAACCGGCGGAGATTTGAAGAACTTCAGCAAGTTTTCTGCGGCAACCCCCAAGCCTCCTCTCTGCCCTGTTCTCTTACTATCCGTGGAAATCACCGACCGGGAACTTGCGAGACTAGTCCGTCTCAACCCCAGCCTTACCATGAAACGGGGTCGTAGAGAATGCAGGTCTGTCACGATTGGCGTACCACTAGGCAGGATCGAATGCTGAATACTCCCCCTCCAGTCCATTTGAACACATTCCTCTCGTAGAGGCTACAGATGGACGTTACCTTGCTTCCCTGTTCAGCGTAAGATCATAGCTAGTGTCCTGGTTTTCTCCTGTTACGGATGGCGATGGTAAGCAACTATGCTCAAGAACATTGACCAAGCGTTCCCAAGATCAAGATCCAACTGCTGAGGGCTCCCTTTTTCCAAGAGTAGCCAATACGAAGTACGATTTCTCAGTGTCCCAGGAGGAACTCGAGAACCAACACGTTGTATATATCTCACAAACCTCCCCACGGGCCCATCGCGCATCCGACCCCCGATGCTTTTCTTCGATCTCTCCCCGGCCTGCTCTCCCACCCCCGGATTCCAAGTTTAACTTTGGTGCCAAGTCTGCAGTGGTTCAAACTTTACTTTTATTTTCATCAGCACAATCCGAATTCCACATTCGTTCTTTGACTGTGAGACGAGGGCCAAGCATGGAACTCGTCGCTCAGCGGGCCGTTGAGGCTCGGTGGGCTAATGTCGAGGACCTGCCATCGACGCCTTTGCAGAAGGTGATCATGGCAATTCTGTTTTTGTTCACGTTGACTGCATTCTTGACCTACGCCTTGAGAATGTACAGCAAATGGACGTCAAAACAGATTGGACTTGGTAAGTCGACCAACCTAAGCTTCTATCATCGAGTTTTCGTCTCATATTTCCATCAGATGACTGGTTCATGACCGGAGCCATGGTAAGACCAGGCGTGCATCCACCGGCAGAGTGCCGATCACCACCTTTGGGTGCTCCTTAACCTGACTAACATCGACATGGCAGTTCTTCTCAATGGCGCTCCTGGCTCCAACATACATGTTCTTCAAGTACTACTACGCCGGCTTCCCTACCGCGGCGTTGCCTGAAGACTGGGACCCCGCCCCCATGCTATTCTGGAACTGGATTATGCAGGTCCTTTACAATCCCATCCTCGCGCTCGTGAAATCATCCATTCTGGTTTTTTTGCTACGCCTGGGTGGGCACAAGCGCGGCGTACGATGGACCATTTACGCCCTCAATGCTATTAACCTTGCGACAATGGTGGCCATTTTCTTGGTGGTGCTATTCCAGACTCTTCCGATAAATGCCTTTTGGGATTCGACCATTCCCAAGCAAAGGGAGATCGACGGCCCGCTATTTTACATCGTCAGTGCCATCATCACTATCATCACCGACTTCTTTGTTCTCGCCATTCCTTTTTGGATCTTCCTCGGTTTGAAGATGCGCATGGCCGCCAAAATTGGATTGATAGTGGTATTCTTAGCAGGTGGAGTGTAAGTCATGGCGCCCGAGAGACCGGCATAAACCTAGAAGGCCCGGATTGACCTCGTACTTGAAGCTCTCGATGCTAACTCTGTGCAAGGTCAATCATTGTGGCCATCCTCCGTGTCCACGAACTCCGGAAGAAGTTCTACAACATCACCCCTGGCTACGATCCCCGAGACGGCATCGGCGACACATACAGCGCAATCGAAGTCAACCTCTCCATCATCGCCGCCTGCGTCCCGGCTCTGCGTCCACTCTTCCGCAAGTGGATGCCGGGCATGTTCTCCAATAAGAGCAGCGCCGACAATGCAGGATACAACAGCAGTCAGTATGGTCGTTACGGTGCCGGCACTGGGAACGGCACGGGAACCGGTCGACTGAATCGGAACACTGTCGGCAACGGGTTCCCGCTAAAGGACATGCGAAGCACCCACACCGAGATCCGAGGCCACTCACCAGACGGTAGTGAAGAGGAAATTATGACCTACAACGGCATCATCAAGACGACCAATGTAAGAGCGAAGACAAAGATTGATTCTATGATTTGAGGATACTAAGGAGTTTTACAAGGTTCATGTCTCGTATGATGATTCGGTTATGACGGATAAGGACTCAGGACGGGAGCAATTGAATTCGGAGAAGCCAGTGAGGCGCAACAGCAAGTTCGGGGTCGGTTCAAAGTAACGATTGGGTTGAAGGAGCAAGGGACTTTTAGAAGTGAATTGGCATGAGCGTATGATAAAAAATTACTTATCTCGCTATTTAATGGTCTCACTGTGTGCACTGGAAGCGCCAGTAATTTCCTCCGTTCGTAGAAGCCTCGTTGAAGGTGAATAAAGTATCAATCTTCCCTCTCTGCATCGGCGATACTTTGAACCCCAGACATGTAGATGAATTGGTTCCAAGACCTGTTAAGATGTAAGCCGTGGCTGAATTATGACCTGCCAATGTGTATTAGCTCACTGCGGGCAAATGTATACCTTGATGCGCAAGTGTGTGAACCCAGTTGGCATTGCCGTTTAGCAGTCATAAGTCCATCCCAAGCAGGTTCCATCCGTGCAGGCAACACAATCCTTCTTTCCATTCACGCATTCCTGGCAATAGAAGCCATCGCGGGTCTGGCGAGTTTCGATACCATTGCCAGCAATAGCTGGCACTGCAGCTGCAAAGCTGGCAATGAGGCCGAGCGTAGTGATGATGGCGGCGAATCTCATATTGAAACGATTTTGTCAGGATTGGTGAAAGAAGGTGTCGATGTCAAATATGCAGCATGTACTGAAGGCTAGAGTGTACTTATCTCTTCGACTTAGCAACAATAGAAGATCAGCGCCTTCGGAAGAACGGTCTATATAAGTGTTCTGAACACGCCTTGTTTAGGAATTGCTCTATGGTACATGGCTAGAGTCGCTTCTTCCCAATTTTTCTCCTTCGGACGACCGGGAAGAACATACGTCGCGACGAACAGCCGGTGACCTCATTTCTTCCAAGTCAGATACTCTTTTGAGGCAACTCCTGCAGCGATGGCTGTGACATGCATTGATACGAGGTCTCCGAAGAGACAGATTGTGACGACTCTTGATAGAGAACCCAGTTTTGAAGGCCCCGCAGAGGGGAGTCAGACGATTCCAACGCGTAAGTGGTGGAAATAGGATCAGCCAAATGTCAAATAGGGTAGGTGAAAATTAAATGTTGCCACATACTAGATGGTAGACTATTTTCCGCCTTCTCTTGGCCTAAGTCTAGGCGGATATGATGTTGTAGACGGAAAACGACCAGCCTTGAGGTGCATAGCCGTCGGCGCCAACCTCGCCAATAGTTCGCTTAAACGGTTTTGGTGGGCAGTGAGACTCGGGAGCAACGAACCAGAAGTCGGATATTCTCGCCAGGCTGCAGCAAGTTTCCAATGTCGCATCCGCTTTAATATTTTTACGCTGGATTACTGCATCAGTGTACATGAGGCCTTGAAATAGCCCTTCTTGGTTTTGCACAATTGAGTTTCACACTTTTCTTGCCAGTAATTTTGCCCGGGTATTGATCCTAGAGCTTGGAGAATAATCATGTACTAGACAGCTGGAAATTTCAAACTTGGAACTTTTGCCAACTTATGATGGATGATCAGAATAGCATAGCAGGAGACTTGCGGGGTCTGACCAAACACAATTAAAACACATGGAATGATTCAATGGCTCATGACCTAGCTAAACAAGGATAGATCAACGAATCAGGTAGCGTGAGCGAGCGACGAAGCCAACATTTGGGATCAGGAACTGGAATATGTAGCAATCAGATCATCGCATTAGGCATCGGGATGGAGTTGATGACTGCTTATATCATTTGATACAGAACGCTAGAAGTACAATGCCATCCAAAAGGTATCCAGGTGTCTCAACAATAATCGGCTTAGCCAGTACAGCACTGGGTATCGCAGCGCTCGCCCTGAACACGAGTCGTTAGGACAGCTAATTTGGACGAGAAGAGAGAATCAAACTTACTGCCTCAGTCGTAGTTTTCGAGGGTCCTAACGAGCGTTCGAATCCCTTGCCTTTGCACATTTCGTTCAGAGACTCGGTGATACCATCAGCAAAGCACAAGCAGGCGCCTCCACTGCAATATGTAATAGTCGACGAACAGGACTGGGCGGCGGCGCCAGCAGCCAAGAGGACGACCGTGTAGAAGAAAGAGAGTTGCATGTTGTGTAAAGGGTTGTTGGATGTGAGTGATATTATAGAGAGAGTATCACGAACCTCAGAGTAGGAAGGGGAGTTCAAGACCATTTATAGCTTGAGCCCGTCATGAATGTCTGGGTAATTGATGGAAATTGTGTTCCCGCAATGCTAAACTGGTGCCACTGCGGAAACCAGGATCTGCTAAAGATGTACGTGAAATAGCAGGACAACCCTTGTTGGGCATGATCATCTGAAGCAACTGCGGCCGGTGAACGCGGGGTCGTCTGGAGACGCCGGCCACTAGGATGGTCTGAGACAGACAGCTAGGCTCGCTCAACCCCCACATCTGATGATCGTGTTCATCCGAAACCCTTTCGGACCAGTTGGCATTGAGATTTGGGGGTTGGATTCGGACTCCGATATGATGGGATTTACCTTAGATAAGAAGCAACAACGGACGAGTCGCTAGACAACACGTTTAACCTGGTGAAGTCAACGATGGCATAGCTATGTCTCACCAAAGTAACTCCCACTATTGAAGTTTTTGGCTCTCTGTTTAAGTCTCTCTTATCCTGCAATATCTCAATTACCTTAGTCAGCTGTATATTAGAAAACGTAAACTTGACAGCCATACAGCAGGCTAGGGTACACGTGCCTTAGGTAGGTTGAGTGACTTGTCAAATTGACGGAGTAAAATAGCCTTTCTCAGACTACCACCTACCGAGGCGCATCGCACAGTACTTACCTTTGTGTCGTATCAACATGACGCAGATCTTAATCAAAAATACATCTGACACATGCGACAGGATGGATGATTAGCCTTTGAGCACAATGCAGAAGCCCCGAAATTCAGGTCTTCAGGTTGCAGGTATGAACATATCCATACCACTTATTAGTTAATTGCTCTTCTTCCTTTACTACAATTAGTACTATCAAGCTCGTAGGTCTCGCCGACTGCCTCAGATCCCCTGTTGTTTCAGATCAGACGGTACATGATTCGTAGAGAGGGTACCTCATCGGGCAAGTGATTCCGCGGTAACTGATTCAGGAACTATTCAACGTAAGAAGTAGAGAAATTTCGAAAGCTTAAAGAATGGATGCCAGTGGGGAAGTCCACCAGTAACGAAGTACTTGATACGGCGGTTCAAAAATCCTTGGCAACGCTATGGTACTCGCATACGCGTGACGCGCGTTATGCTGAAGGTTGGCTGATGCGCGACTCGCAATGGAAGTAGGAGCGATCTTTGCGATTGATGTATTCCCAGAGAGACTCTTAAGACCTAGACTCTGAATCGCAATACGGAGTGTGTCCATTTTCTGACATTTCTCTTGAACGTGCCAGAACCAATATTTAGACATGTGAGGGCTTCTACCTCTAGTCTTTACTTGATATGGCATTGTTTTAAGCGTTGGCCTCGGCGAAAGTTACCTTTACATACTATCTGAATCTAATTTTCACATCTAGCACCGTGCACTAGCACACTACGGTTCTTTTCCTGTGTCGAAATCTGTACGTCAAGAGCAGGGTTACCCTGGAAGAAGTTGACCGGTTTCAGCCCTACCATCATTTTCTCGCACGGCATCACCGGCCAGTCTTCGATGCGCGGGTTATGCGTAGACCCAAACGTGTGCCAGACTACAATGTCCTCATTGCGCACTGAAGACGAGTCACCATCCTTCCGTTGCTCTATCCAGGATCCGATGCCATCATCTCCGGTTGACTGCATGGTGAACCTCCCCGCCGGGAAGAGCTCCTCGTCGTGATGTCGCGTCACCCAGACAGCGTGGGATGTGTACCTTGCACGTTTGCCGTGCCAGGAGTTTGGCTGGGCGAGAAGAAGTTGACTGTAGTGGGGTAGAAGTTTGAAGCCGACGGCGGTTCCTGTAGTTGAATTGGTGACGTTCTCGTTGACGATCTTGAAAGTTCTGTTTGTGTTGAAATCAAGATCCAAGCCTGCTTCTTTCTCAATGACTTTAGAGGTCGTGTTGTACCCTACGCCAAAAGGGTTATATGTGTCCGTGTCTCCACTGAAGAGAATCGGATGAGACTCTTCGACAACCAAGGAGTTTTGAGGCCCATCGATGGCAGCATCAATCCTCAAGCAGAAGATGTGTTGGTGATATGGTGCCAACACGCCTGGAGCGACAATAGTCCCCCATGGGACCTTGGTGTCAAGATCAATAGGTGCTGTTGACATGATCCCCGTAGCACGGACTTCATAGAATATTGACCCGTCCTGCTGGAAGTAGAAGAGGAAGATGTACTCGTAGTTGCTGACCGTAATGATGGTCTGCAGCACGAGGACTCGAGATCTCGTAACTACAGCGTTTCCAGTTCGGAAGTTCGTATGCTTCCAAAGAATACCGTCATCAATTTCGTGGCAGCAAATAACGTTTGGCATCTTCAATGGTTCTCCCGATGAGGTACTAAGCCACCCGTCAAAGTACTTGATGTGCCCGAGACAATCGCAGCCCAACTTGAGGTTATTGGCGTTGATCCCTGCGCCATCATTCCCCAAATCAAAGGCTGCTTTTCGGGGGTAAGGGCACCGAGGATCTCCATAAGGCACAAACATCTCGGCTAGAGACAGACGATGGAATAGACTTCGGTCCTCAAAACGAATGTCATGAAGAGTCATGCCCTCCCTGTAGTTGAAGCCGACTCTCATTGTCCACTTTTCCCAAGAAATGTGGTTTCCGTCAATGCTGAATGACGGGCCCTCGGGCTGGGAGACATGGTACGGCTTCGTCGTTGTCCTGCGCTCTTGTACGAAATCGGGATGATACTCGCTATTGGAATGAATCTTGCGGCGGTCAAATCCCTTGCCCTCATCGCTGAGCTTATCGTGCTCTCCAGAAGGTAGCCGGTAGATTTTGACCACTTCGAGGGAGTTGGATACCTCCGCACATATGTCTAACGGGTAGGCGTAGTAATTCGCGTCAGGGTTGTCAGAGAGTCGCATGTAAAACCATGCCTAAAATCTTTAGTCCATTAGTTTGCATGGGGGGGATATGTAGGAATCTCACCATTGTCCAGCGGTCTTTCATATCCCTCACGCCATCCGTGGCATATGCCCAAGGCTCGACGACGACGGTTGCGCCTTCTGGTAATTTAAGGGTACCGATCTCGCGTTGGATCTTTTCGTCCGCCAGACAAGCCGCAGCCACTTGTGCCATAAAGTCAGTGTCGATGAAGGAATGGCGACCTGGTAGCGGGGTGGTAGAAGCGACGGTCGCAGTGTCCAAGTTAACTATCATCTCATGCAAAGTTTTAGCGATGTAAGCCTGCACTCTAGCCTGCCTTGCCGGGTGGACGGCATCTCTATTGCCAGCATGCTCGCTATCAAGGAACTTGATCAGTTCTGTCTTCGGTGGCTCGGCTAGAGAGATTGCGCGATAGAATATGTCTTTGCTCTGGTTCGACTCACGGACAATTCCGGCGGCCTCGATTTTGTCAACATGCATGAATGACAGGATTTGTATCGTATGTAGGAATCACTTCAAGATCACTCACATGGCTGATTTCTTCTGGTTGCAGAGGATCAAGTGGATGGGGCTTCCCCTTGATATTAGCGTCTCCCATGGTAAATTTCGACCACTGGAAAGCTGGCGAATGGAACTTGGAAGGAGTAGACCTTGGCTGTCGGAACGAAAGCGATGAAGAAGAGAGACTCGAAATGGGTTGTGCGAGGCAACAGCCGGGGATTTAACTTCGCAATGGCGCCGAGAGCGGCACATGTGACTATCTCGGAGTTGATAAGCCGATCGTCCGGAACGATAGCGCACCCCCGCACCGGACGGCGTGCATCGCTGTCCCCGAAGGGTAGTTGGAGCCTCAAAAGTGGAGAACTTCTTCCGGTGCCGCTCCGCAAAGGTAAGGAATTGTCGAGGCAGTAGCCGGTTCCCCGGTCATCAACCCGGTTCTTCGCCCATGATACCGGTCCGGCCCATCTATCCCATAACAAGCCGAGATGTCTTCCGCGCCCTTCGGGTGGATCTTCTTCCCATTTGTCTGCCAGTTCATGGCGAACCTATCCAGCCCAAGATACAGATTCGATCTCATTAGGAAGAACGGTGGGCAGGTGTAGTTTTCATACCCATTAAATTACTATTTCTAATCATAAGCAGTCTAAGGTCCATTATGCAAATTTGACTCCACCATGTCTATCCCTTTCCCTCCGGTCCCAGTAGTTACGTTAGAAAACAACCGCTTTAAACATAGTCAGCCGCCTGAGTCCTGACTCCTCGGCTTTCCAGGTCCTACCTCGATGATGTATCAGTTGAGTATCTTAACCTAATCATAGTTGAAGCCAGCTCGTTATTCCAGCTGGCATATATCAAATGTGCTCAAATACTGGCTCTCAGCGTAAGCCACCCGCCTAGAAGAAGGGAGCGGGCAGCAAAATAGCAAACACCGCCCAAGAAGAGGATAGCAAGATAAAATCCCGAGAGCGCTGTCCCACCCATACTCTCTAGCATCTGTCCCCCGATGGGGACGGTTACTAGCAACGAGAAACTGACTACGAAGTTCATGGTACCTTCAAGTTGCATTGTTAGTCGATAAAAAAGACAGTAGCCGTGGAAGAGCACCACACACCTAAGTACCTCCCGTAATCCTTTGGCTCGCAAGTTTTTCCTAAACAGACTGGGCTGTGTTAGCAGGTTCGTTCAACTCTATGGAGCTGAAAATGGAAAATATTTACCTGGTGTGCTCGAAAGGAAGGACCCCGATCCGTAACCCCAAAGCGCGGCAAAAGCATACAAAGCACCGATATGCTTGGTTCCAAAAGGCACAAAAACAACCCCGGTGAACACGATGGTAATACCTATCATGATCAGGAGGATGTTAAGGTGGCCAATTCTATCGCCGATCACGCCGGTCATGATGCGACCGAAACATGAAGTACCGTTCAGAATGGCGACAAGGGAGAACCCGATGTTGGAAGGGAAGCCTGCAGCAATGGCAAAAGTAGGCAGTAGGCCAGTGATTCCAAAGAGAACAAACTCGAGCATGAAGAGGCCCCCGGCCATGAACCCAAATGGTGGGGAGCGAAAGGCCGAGAAATTGAGCAGGGCTCCTACTCTCCCGACGGGTGCTCCAGAGATAGGGGTGGATAGGCGAGGATAGGGGAGAAAGCATACGACGCCCAAGACCATGATGCCAAGAACTAGGAAGCCCATAATTCTCATGGACCACTGCCAGCCCAGTCTAGGCAGGATGGACCGAAGCATCATCGAGATGGTCACACCTCCAAACGAAGATCCGGACAGCGCGACTCCCATGGCAAGCCCCTTGCGACGGTTGAAGAGCTTTCCGATGACTGCCACAGCGACTGTTGATGTGAGGGCACCGCCGATACCGCCTAGTACTCCCAAGCACAGAATGAAGTGCCAGTATTGCGTGCATTCGCCCATGATGAAGAACACGGGCACGTAGAGCGCTACGGAGATGGGAGCCAGCCACTTCGTGCCATAGGCGTCCATCAATGGTCCGGCTTGAATTCCAAGGAACAGTGCAAGCGAGGTGAAGATTCCGCTGATCCAACCTAGATCGCGAGTGGAGTACTCACTCAGCTGATGTAGCTGGAGGTATGACTGAACAGTTCCAACAGATTGCATGAACCCTATCGTGGACGATAAGCAAAAGTAGTCTGAGAGGTACGAAGCTATCATGATGACGCTTACCGTATGATGGATATAGGAACATGAATGATCCTAAAACACATAGCCAGGCCAATGGGCTAGATTCGGGGTCGTGATGGCGAGAACTCGTCGGACTGCGCATCGCCCCCAGCTCGATAGCGCCCGGCGCATCCTGAGATTCACTCATGGCAACTCGATCTCGCTCTTCCGAGGCGCCCATCGTGGCACTCAAAGACGATGTTGAACTTTGATGATGACTACTTGATGTGTGCTAGAGAAAACTTTCAACTCAGTGCACGAAATTTTCTCCTCTTTAGTCGTCTCGGGATCCAAGGCCGTCTGGCCGGGATGCCTGCCGAAGACGGCGTATGCACCTAGCAAGAGTCATTCAACCATGTCGACCACGCCTTGCAACCCTTGCGTCTCATAGAAACGACCGTATGTGGCAGAAAGTGGGGTCCCACGCCCTAGGCTTATCATGTGTTCGCCCTAGGTTGATTGAGTCGATCTAGAATCTCTTTCAGAAAGAGTCTGCATGTCTCCACGTCCGATGGGCGGAGATGGGTTGGGGTAGTAGTTTCGTTGGGTTTCCTCGGGAAACTCTTCCGAGTAAGGCAGTTTTGCGCGGACACTATAGAGTTCACAAAGAAGACAACAACTTTTAGCGTTTCACTAGTCTCAAAGCCCATGGCTTATGTAGATTCTTGAATGTAATGTATTGACACACAAGTCGGGATGTATATACATGAAGATGACCCCGCGCTTGTTTAAATGTTTACATAGATTACAAGTAAGAAGCCTCAACCAAGAAACCGACAGTGAACTTGGAGTGGCGGAGGACGGCGGACCACTGGATAGTGTCGTAGCTCTGTTGCATGCCAAGTCAGCAAATAGTTGATTTCCAAAGTAGGAGTAATGGCAACTTACGTCGTTGGGGCTGTGGATGTAGGGAGTGGAGGTGTCGATGGGCTCATCGCAGACATAGGCGGCAGCTGTAGATTCGAGTTAGATATCAAGTCTTGCACTTGCCAAAAGATTGGCGTCAACTTACGGAAGCCGTTGGAGCGGGCGCTGGCGTGGTCGGAGCACCCGTATCCGCAGACGTCGCTGGTGGGCGCGCTGCCGGTGTACTGGGTTCCAATGAGACGGACGTAGGTGGTAAGAGCGGAATCAACTATCAGGAGTCAGCAATGCTACTACATATGTGCATAGCATCGATGAGTGATGAGCTTACCGTAGTCGTTGTAGACCGAGAGCTTGCCAGAGGGAGAGTAACCGGCCATATCCTGGTTGACGAAGGCAAGGACGGTCTTTCCGGCGGACTTGTAGTTGGCGAAGACAGCCTGAGAGCCGAGAAGGCCGCCCTCCTCACCGGCGTAGAAGTGGAACTCGAGAGTGTTCTTGGGCTTGAAGCCAGCGTTGGCGAGAACGCGAAGAGCCTCGAGGATGACAACGACACCAGAGCCGTTGTCATCAGCACCGGGTCCACGGGCAGTGGAGGATCCTCCGGTGGAGTCGAAGTGAGCACCAACAATGACTGGTGGTCACGATTAGCACATGAAAACTGAGATGGAGGTGGGCGGTTCAACGTACCCAAGTCAGAGCTGGTTCCGGGAATCTTGACGATGATGGAAGGCTGACTGAAGGAGTGGGTGAACTGGGTGACGGTGATGGCCGAGTTGGCAGCCGCAACAGTCTTGACCTGGTTGAACAACCAGGTGGCAGCCTGGGTACCGTAGGTGGAGCGGTAGTAGCGGTTGTAGAAGCTGGAAATTGTTAGTACAGGCTCACAGGTTAGATCAGAGCTCATAATCACTCACTCGGTCAAAGTCTTCAACCAAGTCTGGGGGTTGGTGTTAGAGACCGACGCGATGAGGGTGTTCGCCTCGGTGACGTGGGACAGAGTGGTGGGGTATGTCACTCTAGCCTCAAGGACCTCCTCCGGCGGGGTGGACAGGACCGCCAAGACCTCATCGTCCTTTAATGGGTTAGCTTAATCCATGAATCGATGAGAAATAGTCCAGACGTACAACAATGTCGGTGATGTCAATGAAGCCAATGTGCTTGTTGACATACTCCTCAATCTTCTGGTCCTCCGTGACCCAAGTGCCGGCGTCGGCCTCGGACGTCTTGATCAGACGGAGCGCAGGGTCAACTTGAGTCTCCTCAGTAGCAGGCGCAGCCAGGGCAACCCTGGAGGCCGCGAGGATCGCGAGAGCAGCGTTGAGATGCATCGTTCAAATTGCCCTGTTGATGAGCGGCGTCCGTTGATGAATGGTGCAGGTGCAACGAAAAGAGCAAGAGAACCTCTCTGGCCAAGAACACGGAGAGAAGTCCCCTTTAAATACACTCATCGTAGCCTCAAGGAGAAGCGAAGCATCTACGACCTCCCGCCCAACGCTTGCGGGATGTGGAGGATCAGCCAGGACGGCGGCAGGACCCGTTGCCCCAAACAGGCATCTCATTATGACAACGGCGAAAGCCGTCATGGCACGCAATACAATGAATAGACAGAAACAGGAAGCCCATTACTCAGAAGCCCACAACCAGTGTTCAGTCTCTCGGGGGATGGAGAGCATGCGGCAGGAGCATTTAAGCTTATCATGATCGCCAAGCCCGCACGAACTTTAGGAGCTGCCCAACGGAGCTAGTGTCGGCTGTTGGCTGGGTCATTGATGCTACCCCGGCCGGCAGTCCCGCACACTCAGACTGGGTGTTTTGAGGACTTTATTGGATGCTGCTTGGGGTGTAATGTCGCTGAACACGATTTCGGTTCTTGGCAAATCCACATCACGGAGCGTGTGAGATGTTTTTCTGTGGTGGAAGGAAAGTATGTCCTGACTTTTTTCCTTCCTTGAAAAGTTGCACGACAATCGATTGCTTATGGTATTAGCTTTTTTTTATTTTATTTTTTTTTTTACCTCAAAACCCTTCCTGGAATCTGGCTGCGCGAAATTTCCGTTCAAAGGTACTCTTACCATTGATCTTGTGCTGGATGAGGTTCCGTACCAAATCTTCTTTCCGACGACGAAACACGCCAAGAACCAATATCCACAGGGAGGCTGACTCGTCCCAAAATCTCCATACTCCGTACGTCCTCCATATAGGCGACCCCTGTTGATCTCGGCACTCTTTCTCGCCCTGTTGCTTCATGGCTTCGATCGAAATGGAACCAAGATACCTTTAGGTTTTTGTGTTGAACTGTTTGCATGTCTCCGCGTTATGAAGCTCGAATTACCAAGAGGTCACGTAGGTGAGTTAGGATCTTCGACATTGTATGGGGCTTATGTTGTCCGTCTCTGCCTGTGTACTTTGTTCGGTTGTTGCTTCTCAGAGCATCTGATTTCCCAAGCACGACAGAAGCCGATTTATGGTCTAGCCTGAGGACTGATTTCATGCATAAACAATTCTCTACGAAATTCTCAGAGAGATGCGTTTCCCAGGTTCAATCCACCTTACAGCTAAGTGAGGGAAGAGTTCGAGAACTCATGCGTATCCTGGAACCATTCTTGATATACAATTGGCGTGTCGCTTACGGTTGTTCTGTCCTATTGAGGGTACCAATTACATACACTAGGTATCTTTAATAGCTGTTAACATCCATGGTCAAATTGTCGGCTACCTATATTTCCTGCAGGCTATAATGCCAAACGCCTAGTCCTACCCACGATCTAAATTCGCGAAATCATCTTTGCTAATGCCACGAAAACTTGAAACCGAAAACAAACATGAAAGCTTATGGAGATACTCAGTATACATGCATCTTCTCCAGGTCAGTGATCTCCACCAATTTCCTCAGCTCTTCCATCACCTTCCCTATTTCAAATCGTGACGAAGGATCCAAATCAAGCATGTGCCTAATGATCCAATGCATGTGCTTTTGTTCAGCAGAGCCGGAGGAACAGAGTTCGTCGAGTGTCCTCATGAACCATTCTGACTCTTTCGCAATATTGCACGAACAATTCTCATCCGTTCTCTGATAGCTAACATGCAGCTTCATCACGCCGTTTTGTCCTCCCCTTACTAGAGCCAGAAGCATGGCAAAACAGCATCCGAGCTGCCAGATATCAGCCTTGAGGCTGCTCTCTTTATGTTCCAGTTGCTCAAGAGAGAGGAACGAATAAGTGCTTTGATCATAGTTGGTCTTTGCACCTCGCCAGTACACCTTGCTGACTCCGACATCGGTGATATATGGCGTCACTTCTTCCCCGGCCGTATGAAGAAGAATGTTATCAGGTTTGATATCTTTGTGCTTAATAGAGAGTCCGTGAAGGTAAGCAAGCGCTTCTGTGAGCCTCATCATGATGTTGTAAACGCCAATGTCCGAAGTCGGCTGGTTTGGCTCGAACCAAGGGACGTGCTTCTTCCTGTTGGTATTGGAAGTGTAAAGGAATTCCTGTAGAGTGAAAGGAGCCCATGGTGACATGACAATGTTCATGACATGTGGCTCATCCGTAACCTCGTAGGCGTCGACCAGCGTGACAATGTTGGGGTGACGGCAGTTCTCCAGGACACCTAGCTCATTGAGAACTGCCTTGCGTTCTTTGCTAGAGAAGAGATTCCGGTAGGTTTTCTCAGCATATGGCTTTCTAGTAGTCCTTTGGTGGACCTTCCGAACAACTCCAAAGCTCCCCGCGCATGCGTCAGTCGACACATCAACGACATATGGTACATCGCTCCGGGTGTGATATGTGTGCACATATCTTGGCGAAAAGGTATGGTGAACTTTTTGGGCACAAGAAAAGATCGTCTCGCTAGGCAACTATGTCAGTCCAATGCTCAAGTACTTAGACGGAAAGTAATCGAGCTGGGTAACACAAACTTGATTTCTATAGCTGTGTTTGCGGCTATGCAGGGCTGCGACGTATCTAAGCCCCAGGTCCAATTCTGAGTAGCACGAGGCCCGAAATAAGGGCTAAGGAGATCCGCTACTTCCTTGCCCAGCCGATCTCTGGAAGCGTCTTCCGAGTTCTGCGTGCGCCCTCCCCGAGCGAGGAACAAGGCGTTCAGCGCGCCCTCATCTCCTAGAGACTCGAGCTTGTGGCAGTGATCGAGAGTGCCCGCCGCGAGTTGGATGGAGCTGTGAATGCGGTTGGCTAAATCTGACGTTCTCAAAGGCAAGGTATCTTGGCCTTTTGTATCGAGGTTCGAGACTATCGGGCGGCTTACACAGACAAGTTCATGTTCGTAAGCTCGAAACGCGGCAACGAGCTTCCGGATCGCTTCTTGCGCGAGTATGTACAGAGGCTCCGATACTATTTCCCCGGCCCAGAGCTCGAGACGTGAGCAGACGTGGTAAGCGGCACGTAAAGTGTCATAGACTGCATCATTGGTCTGATCCATTTCATACATAGAGTCATGTGTCTTTCGGTACGCCTTCGGTGACTATCCGGACGGTCGCCTCATGTCAGAACCCAAGGTAGGTTTGCGCTATGGAAGTGGTCCGCCAAAGTTCGCAAATCGCCTCTACGAGCCGCCTGCCTGCGCCTAGCTCCGTTTTTGCCGCTATTGTGGGACACGTGGAGGGCTTCAACCCCTCTTTCCAGAAGTTTTGTGGTGCCTTGAACAGGGGTTGTCCCCGAAGTGACTCCACTCCAATCCACAACGAATGGAGGTTGGCCATCACGAACAAATCCTTGATCCTGGACCACAAAGTGGTGTTACGTCAACTGTTCCTTTCTCACTTCACCTTTCATCAGGACTCGCTTTGAAGATGTACAAGTCGGGGCCGACGGCAGGGGCTATTGTCTCTGTTATTTTGCATTGGTTCTACCCACTAAGCATCCCACGGAAAACCTTCCAATAACCTGCACGTCTCAACATTTCCGTCAGTCTTCTTTATTGTTCTCTCTAGGGAGAGATACTCTGTTGTCAGTCCTACAACATGGGACCAGGCTGATAGAGCAGCTTCTGAGAATACCAGCAAGTTCACGTCCTTTCAAAGCTCAAGTCTATGGAACATTGAACAGATCTGCCGGCTGTCAGCTGGGCCAGCCTGTCACTCGTAAAGTACATGTAGTTGCCGTGTTTCACCCAGGGTAGAGTTTGGGTATATATTAGCCATTTCTATTCAGTAGGAAGGAAGCTTCAACAAAGGCAAAAAACCTTACGGTGGCCCAACGTGGTGATGTCTAGGTGAAAGTGCTAGGTGAAAGAACTCAGTTTATTGAGATTCAGCCACCGCACGAGACACTGGGAATTGGTAGAAAGGCGATAGGTTCTAGTATAAGTAATCGGTTCAATACTTGCTAATGTTGGAGCGCAAGAGATGAGTTGCTAAGGAACTGTAATAGCTAATAGCCGAGCTCGGAGTGATTCAGGTTTTCATATCCTTCCGCAGCGAAAGGTCTTTCTCCAAAGCTGCCGATTATACTTGCGATTATTAAATTTAGGCGCAACGTCTCGAGCATCATTCGCAGCGATTGATATACAAACTGTAGACTGTAAAGCATTTAAGGAGTGACGTTTAGAGAGTTAATCTATCTTACCTTCAGTAGCGTGGCCAATCATAAGGCGGGCAGAGTTCAAAAAGTGTTGTCAAGTTTCCTTATGGGGAAAGCTTTTCCATCGCCCTGAACAGAACATTGCCCTCTCTGCAAGTTTCAATCTTTAGTCGTGCTAAGTTGTGTAGGGGTTCCCCCGTAAGCACTGTAAAAGCAACAACACTTTGGGTCTGTCCGGCAGTTGAAAAACTGCTGTGATCGTCTGTTCATCTCATAACAGAAGAACTAGCATACCCGAAGGGTTGTGTAGCAAGGACCTTCAGTACTATTCGAGTGACAAGCGTCGTCAAGAATGTTGTTCGGAAGGTCATCGTCACATTGAAAAAATATGTGTAGCCAAGCTACGGTCTCGCATTCACTGAAAGACGTTTTAAATATGGCGTCAAAGCTGGTTTGTTATCAACCGCATGTAATGATTATGAGGTGCAATCATGTTTTGTATTTATGTTCATGTCATGTCTTTCCCTATGTGCGCAGACTCTGCAACACAGGCCATGACTCCCAACATGTACATCCCCAGTCTCTCGATGAGTACCAGTAGTGTGGTTGTAGTGTGGTTGTAGTGTAGTATGTACTCAAGTAGCAGACCAGCGACGTATCCAGTACAGGAGCCTCTTCTCATGGTGGTACATCAGTCATGTTATGTCGTGAGGGAATGCACCAATCATCCCCTTAAAGCCTTATTTCGCAGCATGCTTCACCTTACGCTTCACCTCGCGCCTCTCCTCCGCCCAATAAGGATACCCCTCACACTCCCCACCCTGATCCCACTCCTTCCTCAACAACCGATCAACTTTAACAACCTGCTTATCATACCACAAATCCAACCAAATCGCATTCTTCCTCTTCTCCTCCTTCAAGTCCTTCATCCGTCTGCGGTAACACTTCTCAATCCTCTTCGCCATCAAGATATCATTATTCGACATCTTCCTCGGGTACGCGTCGGCAGTACCAGAACCGAGTCCACCAGGCCGGAACTGCATGTTGCAGGCCTGCATCCTCATACCGTAATCCTCGTCCATGCGCTCGTGGTCGTGAAGCTGGCATTCTTTGAGATAGGCGAGCTCTTCGTGGAGTTTACCCTGCTGCGTGATGGCGAGGCAACGGACGTGTCCTGTGCGCTGGGCCAAGTCTGAGGTGACGGTGCCGTGGTGTTGGATTGCGTCGAGGCCTTTGTAAACTTCGGGTTCTGGGACGAGGAAGCCCTTGGGCCGGGGGTAGGGGACCATGTGGTTGAAGATGCGAAGCATTGTGGCTGTTTGTTTGTTTGATGAGGGTGATGGGTTTTGGTAGAGGTACAAGAGACTGGGTGAGAAGGCTCTGTACTCCTGACTAGGTTTGGTGAGGCTGAGGAGTTTTGGGAGAAGTGGATAAGATTGGATGAGAAGCCTTTGGACTTCTGACCAGGAGGTGAGGTGAGGTGTAGTTTGTGTGCTGTAGGTGTGGCAGTCTCCAATATATAGGAAGGCCGGACCGACTCTGTCTGATGAAGTACCAAGCTCTAGTCCTTCGGTGAAGTGGAATTGAGTATGTGGTTGTGGTGCAGAACTCTAGAGAGCTTCTGGACGCACAGAGTCAATCGAAGATATGTGAGTTGTATTAGACAGGAGTTAGTGGTGTTTCTCCTAGAATAATCAAACAATCTGGTAGGATATGGTCCGAAATATATAGCCTCCTATACGCCCTCAAGGTACGACATCATCCCCTAGGGTACACCAACAGATCAACTATCGTATACCTTTATGAGGGTAAAGCACCATCTTCTTTTCTATTTCAGAAAGAATTGAGTGCCAACTTGCTCATCGAGGACCTTGCTGGGGCATTGACACCATCGGAGTTGAGTATGGTGGCAGTTGGTTCCATGGCACCAGCAAACGATAAATGCGAGTCCTTCTGCGTCGAGGCCGAAGAGGTTGGGCATGATCGTAATGTGGTGTCGAGTCTGACTTAAGGGGATTGGGTCAACAACAGCTCATCCGGGAGGAATTCTACTTACGTGGACCTGCCGACCCTTTGTGTCAAGGGAGCATCACTTGTCAAGATAACGCGAAACTGAATTGGTTGCTTCCCCTTGTTACGTTTTTGCATCTGTAGTAAAGGCGTTGAAAGACAGAACGTTTACAACATTCAACTTGTGACAAAGGCAAGTCAAGTCAAGCAAAAGAATGGAAAAATAAAGTATGGAGAGCTGAGCTCGGATCCAGTTGTTCTATCTCTACGCCTATAGTCTCCATATTGTCTAGTGCTGTATTTGTCGCCGCCAAGATCCGACGTCTTATGCTGTTACTCCGTGGCCAATGCTTGAAAGAACAAAGTGAATCCAACCCAATCCAAACGAACGCTACCGATTAACGCCATAGTGCCATGTCATATGCTTGCCCTTCTGTACTCCTTCTTGAACGTCAATGAATCCTCCTCTTGTGCCCAGCTCTCCACCGCGAACCCCAACTCCACATCCGGCTCGTGATTCCACCTCCGATTGTTGTAAAGCTTCCCAAATAGCGGTGAGAGCCAAAACCATGCCGGTATAACCGTGTGAAATCGCATCAACTAGAAGCTGAGCAGGCCACTTCTTCTCTTGCCCAGAGGGTAAACCATGAGGGCGCTCATGAATAACCCAACAGTGATACCAATGGCGACTTGAATGACACTGAGAAGAACCGCAAAGGCCGAGTTGTTAAGGTCGGAGCTGTCGGTTGATGTCGAAGTACCATTATTGTTCGTGATCTGATCAGCCGACGTGACACCTGCCAACAACGACCCGCCTGCCGCGAGACCACTAGGGACCTGCACAAATATAGCTGGAAGCATAGCGGCGGCGGCGAGTCCATATCCGACAGTGCGCTTCCGCTCTGGGACGACCCCTTGGGCCTTGTCCTTCTCAGAGAAAGCAGCGGTAGTAGGTGTTGCGGGGGCCGATCCTTCGGGCGTGTTCTCTCCGGGGGTATGGACGCCTGTGGGACCGGAAGCTCCAGCGGTTTGGCCAGACATCTGGTACATCTCCGGACGAGGACGCTCGTTGCGACGACGGCTAGCGCTAACGAAGCGCGGGGCCATACGAAGATCCCACCAGTCGAGGAAGTCGAGGAAACAGTTGTGGGCATGCCGACCAAGGCGGGAGTAGAGGTTAGCTAGCAACCCCACGGTGAGGGCGCCAAGCATGTTCGAGATCTGAGCATTGCCGACGAAGAAGTCGGACGAGTAGCTGTTAACGAGAAAGCCGGCGAGCGAGATGGTGATCATGACAGGCGTCTGCTTCCACTTGGCCTGATTGATAATGCAAAGGCAGAGGGTGAAGCCCGGCACAAACAACAGGTACCAATTCCTATTAAGCGGGTTGGTGCAGGTCGTTCTCGACTCTGCGTGGCGGTCGATCATGCCGTAGAGGGCAGTACCAATCGTAGTTCCGTATCCGAGGAAGAGCGTGTAGATCATGGCATAAACCATGCGAACACTGCCAGCGACCAAGTTGTGGCTTTGCAACTCCAAACTACTACAGAGGACCATGTAACCTGGAAGAATCAGGGCGATTGAGCTCTGTGCCAAAGCGGAGAAGCAAAACAATTCACCATTGTTGATGGAACCGAAGGCGCGGGCCAAGAAGGAGGTGACGATAGAGGCGGTGATTTCAAAGACGTTCGCATACAGCTCGTTGCTCGGGGCAAGGATCAGCTGCATCCAGCCCAGAATGCAACCGAGAATGAAAGCGATGGGCAAGTCGATGAAGCGTCCCTGGAAGGCGAAGGGGGCGACACACACACTGGCGAGGCCATATACGGGCACGCGCATCCAATTGCCGAACTTGAGTTTGCGAGCTGTAATACTCTCCAACATGATGGTAGCCTCGTCGGCGCTGATCAAATCGTGGACAACCTGCTTATAGATGTCATGCACGTCGCGCAGCTTGCCTAGATCGACACCGTGTGCGGAGCGGACGATCTTGACCTCGGTGGTGTGGGTCGCGCTGTCGTCGAAGCTGATAATCATACAGCCAGGAATGTAGAGGAACTGGCCCTCGATCTCGAGGACTCGTGCCGACATCTTCATGTACTCTTCCAGTCTGTGGGTTGGAGCTCCGTACATCATCAGCGCCCTGCACAGCTTGACGAGATACTTATGCCTCGACAAGATCTGAGCAATGTGCTTAGTAATGCGGTGTTTGTCTTCAGACTTTGATGACTTTGGTGAAGATCCGCCCCAGACTCCAGACTTCTTCCTCTTCGGCCGTGACGGGGGCTCGGTCTTGAGCTTCTCGGTGAAGCCCTGGCTAAACACACTCGAAGCCGGCCCTGCCATGGCAGACGACGACTTCATAAGCTCAGCCAGAGCCATGGAGGAACGAGAGCCTTGCTTCTTGTGGTAGTTGAATAAGCCACTGTTGGGGCGAGAAGGCCGAGGAGATCCAGGGGTTGAGGGCGCAGCGGAGGCTGGCATAGAGCCCGGAGGCGAGTGATTGGGCGTTGCTGTAGCTGGTGTGTTGGAACCCGGCGTGTTTCGACCACTGCTACCACCGCTGCCGTTCTCGTTGTAGAGCTTGAGGAGCGATGACAGAATGCCTCCGTGATACTGCTTCGGGGGCGGGACATAGTCGTGGGCGTAAGACTGCTCCAAAGTGGGCGTGGCAGTGCCAGATCGAGCACCTGGAGGCGCCTCATACTTGAAGTAGTCATTCGGTCCGCGGCCGCCCTTCTTGGCCCGTCTGGTGTGAGATCGGACGAGATTCTCGGCATCCAGGTGCGAGTTCTTTCTGGGACGGGACCGGACCTTTCGTCGCTCATCCGACCCATCAACCGCAGAGCTCAAGCCGGTAACGTGGTCGGTTTCCTCGTCATCGCTGAATGGGTTGTAACCGTCGATGGAGTTGCGACGAGAAGGGGGTGAGGAGTAGTTCTCGACACTAACAGCCAAGCGGTTGGCACGCTGGCGAGCCTCCAGACCCGAACGCTGCTGCCGCTCGCCGGCGGTTTGCTCAGCGAGGTCGGCCTTTTGCCTTTCCTCTGGTGCATCGTAGCTGGTGTTACGGCGGAGCACGGGCCGGGGCCGGGCAGGCGTCTCGGAAGGGTTGTTCTCTTGATTCTCTGAAATCAAGACCTGGGTCAGAGCACGGCGCAGCTCACCAGCATCCGGAGCTCCCGCCGGGGTTGCGTCGTTGTCTCGTCTTGGAGTAGCAATGCGTCCGGGTGTATCAAAGGGGTTAACTTCGGGGGACATTGACTGCGCGAAGTAGTCATCGTCAATGACGATGCTTGGTGGCCGATTGTCTACCAGGGGTGTCTGGCTAGGCTGAGGGCTGTCGGCATGGAAGCCAACCTTCTTCTTCTCCTTCTTCTCTTTTCGAGCCTGCTGTGTTGCCGACGAAGGGTGAAGCAATGGTGGAGTTCGAAGCTTGGGCTGTTCCTGTGATGGGTTCTCGAAAGGATTCGGTGGTGTGTTGCTGGAGCCGGAGCTCGTCTGGCCGGACTCTTGAGGCGAGCCCGACATGTTGTCTAAAGAGGAAGTGATCGCCGTTTCCAAGCTGCAGGTTGAAGCTGATCGATTGTCCTCAACTAATTACGAAGATATCGCAGTTGGTGATACAAGAGCCTCTGTACAAGATAGCTGTGACCGGGTAGGTTAGAGCTGCTGGTGAAGATGCAGATTTTCTGGGTATATCGAGTCAAGTATCCAGATATCGATGGATGAATAGTGTCTTCGTTATCGTGGGGTAGTGTCATCAGTGGACCTCACGGCGGTAGCACTCGTGGAAAGTAGGCGCCATTGTATGAGGAAGTTGGAAAGCTAGTTGAAGAGGGTTTGAAGGGTGGGAGGAGGTCAAGGAAGAGGAGGAGGAGGGCGAAGAGGGGATGATCAATGGAGTCGGGAAGCTTGGAAAGCAGGCGGAAGGAGCGGAGAGACGGGACGTAATGAATGGCGAAAAACACAAGACGGAGAAGGGAGAAAGAACTGGAGAAGCTACAGCTGAGAATCGAGCGGAGGAAAGCAGATCCCAGGAACACACAGCAACAGAAACGGCAACGAGCAGACCGGGAGGCTCCACGGGCCCGTCGTCGACTCGTCGCCGGTTCCTTGCTTGGAGCGTGGTGACCGTAGTGGTGTTTCTCGGCCCCGGTGCTAGAGGATTGGCGTGTTTGGTGCGACCTCTGTGTTATCACGCAAGATTGACGGCTCTGCTCTGTGGTATCCATACACTTGTACGCCACGGCGTATCCGTACATCTGTAGAAAACAGAGTATTTGCAGCTGTGTGTCTGTGGTCTGTGATGGTGGTGGAGAAAAGGACCTTGAACCATGTTTGACGTCGATATCCACGTTCACGCCCATGGCCCCACGCTCCGTCACCACACCCATCATGGCCATGGATGATTGACAATCCCACGCCTCGCCATGCCGGGCCCTACGAGGAGTGGGCTGTGGCCCTGCTGCTTGTTCATGGCACCTAGGCCAAGCCAGACGGACTCTCTCGGCTGGCGGGGCGAGCGAGAGCGAGCGAACGTGAGGGTGCTGGCACGCTGACTGGGAACGCTGTGTGAGGGATGAACGGGCGAGCGAGAAAAAAACACGAAGGGTCCACAACAGTCGTCAGAGAGAAGTGGAGAGAGAAGTTCGAGTCGACGATGTTGTGGTGGGTGGATTCGGCGATAAGAGTGCGCAAGCTCCAGCCTCGAGCCGCATCGAGTGTGTGGCTAACGAAAGGAAGTGTGTGTCGAGTAATGACATTGATTGCTATGTCGGAACCGTTAGATTGTTAGTGCAATGAGCTTGCAGATTGCCATGCCGTGCTGTGCAGTTTCGGCTTTGCTGCAGTCTGCGAGATTGCAAAGGCGACAAGATGGAGGGAAGAGGCAACCTGAGGCAAAATGCACGGCAGAATGGGAGGGAACGCGCCGAAAGGTACCTGTGTAGCTTTGCGATACGTACCTCACCTGCTTAGTGTGCAGCTCTTGCCGCCGTCGAGGATTTTCCCTTGCGCTAGAAATGGCAGTGTGCTAGAAAGAGTGGATCCTGCCGCGGAAACCCCTATCGAAGACCGCCACACCTTCCCGTTCTCTCAGTGATACAGTGAGACCCTTTAGTGAGTGAAAACTTTGATGTGTGAGACTGTGAGTGAGTGCGTGTACAGATATGAGTAAGAGGGTGAGTGAGCGTAATGCTACTGAATATGAGAATGAGAGTCATACACAGACGACAGACTGAGAGACTCAGTGACAGGCGTCAAAGCCAAATGCTTTGAAGGACGTGATTGAGTCTTCAAGATGCCACCCCTCCCTCCCCTCCAGCCCTCCAAGATTCCCGCCATCCCTGCCAGGAACCCTTAGCCCTCCATTCTGTGCATTCTCTCTGAAAAGAGAGTGTGTGCAGCGCAGCTAACCCCCCCGTGCCTGCGTCGGTGACCCCCATGCCGTCATTTCAACTCACCCCCTCCTCCCCATCCCCCTCCAACACCCTCACCTTACCTCACTACTACTGTACGCTTTCGCAGCTTGCCGAAGCCCTGCGCTTCCGACTTGCCCTAAAGTGAAGCTCTGCTGAGCTGTTCGTTCCACCAGGCGCCTATCATTGCCTCTTCTCGCGACAGTCGCAGACCGTCTGGAGCTGTTTAGCGCACTTGCCTCGCGTCACACGTGCCTGCACCAAGACTACGCAGTGGACTCGCTGTCGTCGTTATCAGTCGAGTCTCTTGCGTCTTTTACGCGCGCCATACCCGCACCTCTCTTGGCCCTTTTCAAGTTCGTACGGATAATTCTCTCTCACCTGAGAATGGGCTGGCCCACGGTGAGGAGAGCCCCGTGTGCCTCACTGCCCGTATCTGTAGGTGTGAAATGACAAGAGCACAGGAGACGAACGCTGTGAGGACACTTGTGTCAAGGAGGTGAGGTGCGCACATCACTTGCCTCACTCCATAAAGCGTACATGAACTGCTTCTAGACTTCTGGACCACGGGTGTTGGCATTAGTTCGCCTTCAAACTATCAAGAGAGGCTCAATTTAACGCCACGGACGCGTCTTTCTGTGAACATTGAAAACGCGGTTTGAAAACTCAGATGCTGTCAAAACTCATACAGAGTCTCATTATTCAACAACGAACACCGAGTCCGGCCGGCAATGTTCCGGCAGTAGCCCAGCCAGAGACTCCGAAAAGCACGGGCTGAACGAAGAAAACCTTTCAAGCTAACGGGCATTGGCATCCCAACTTCTTCCATGCGTTCCCAACAGAACGTCTCTGGCGCGATCTGACTTACCTTAGCCGTTCCGCTATAGTCTGTTAGGTCCGTCGACCCGTCGCCGGTGCCCGTTCTGGGCCTTGAGAACACCTAAAAGAGTCCCAAAGGGGGAGGGTGTGCTCAAGCCATGTTCCCTGTGAGAGGTTAGAGAGGGTGTGGACGGGAAGCACTTCGGAGGTGTGGTAGGTTCAAGCACGGGCGGCGGCTAGAGTCAGACAGATTAGAGAGTGAGAGAGAACTACGAATGGCTAGCCAGCAAGCACATGAAGAAGAAGCAACCACTGCCGTAGTGCTGTCGCAGATGTGATCGATGAACCAATCTTGCATCCCAATCGGTTGCTTCAATGGTCGTAGGGCCGATTGAGATAACAGAATGCGCCCGACCGAGACTCCGTTTGCCATTTGCCATAACCTTTTTAGTAGTCGTCATTTCGCCGCCTTGGTTTGAGTTTTCTCTCTGGAATGCTCCTTTTCATTGTGCAGTCGTCACTCTCACTCCTGTTCGGCAGTACCAGTATCACCTGCTCGTGTCAGCTCAGACACACATCATTTGCTACCGAACTGCTCTGCCCTCAGATCACCAAATCTTAGCTTTTTCGCCGCAATGCCACAGAATGCCAATCACTCTCACACTCTGTAAACCTGCCATGTGTCACAGTGTCATTCCGTTTCGAGATCATCTCGTCAACGGCGTACCTGAGCGGATGATGGATTATCAGAAACAGTCACATTCGGACACACACGAAAGAACCTCTCAAAACAAAACCTCCCCCTCCAAAAAATTATCATCTTTCGCATGACTCCGAAGCCTGCCATCGGAACCCCTCCGTCCCCTGCTAGCTCCAGGGCTCCCAAAAGCCAAACAGACGAAACAATCAGGGCAGCTCCCTGGCCGAACATCATGGCACCCCTGACGCCGCCGCGGCGGGCATTGTCATTGCTGGGCTGAGTGGCGTATCTATGCTAGAAAGGAATCCCCCGATCTGGCAGAGCATCTCTGCGCTGGCTAGCCCCCGTGTGAGCTACAGTCTGCAGTGTTCACATCCGTCCATTGTCTCCCGGGCCAAACATCCGAAGCGCGGAACCTAGCCAATGGCAAAAAAATGCAAAGGAAAATTGTGCGCTCGCGCGGCCGCCTGCGTCCATCCCGAGCCACCGGTGCCAGCGGTTGCGAAAACCGGTCGACGTGCCATGGCGAGACTATATGACGTAGGGGCGAACGGTGCAGCATCGACAAAATCATGGCCATCCCACACGCCCCCCCCCCCCCTTTTTCCCACCCTCCCGGATGGCCGACTAAGTCCGCCTAGCGAGAGACGAACGAAGGTCCATCTCCAAACTCAGCTTGGTTTGCTACCGTCACATTCTCTGCTGTTGCTATTCTTTGATATGCGTCCTTGACAGGACACCACCTAGAGTGACACGTTCGAGAGGCTCTGCTGTCCGTTTCCAACTGGCTCGTCGATCTTCCGGGTCCCCTTCGAACGAAGGACGGAACGGACGACGACCCTTACTCGATGATGTAAAACAGACCCCACTATCACATGAACATCTGTTCAGCGTTCCTTGGAATTGTGATCTGACTTTGAGTTGGCGATCCTGATTCGTCCCAAGGTTCACCATCGTCGGTTCTTGTTGTTCTTCATCATTCGAATAATCCAATCTATCATACCTTTTCTTTCTCTGTCAGTGGAATCCCTCCCCTACGAGTCTACGCGCGTAACCCTCGTATCTGATAGAACTACCACACTACACTACCCTAATGCCACAGCAACGGTCGCGACCATGATGTGTCCACCGATGACCGATCTACTGTTTCTATCCTGAGTGAGGCTGTGACGCCCGTTCACCATCCTGGCCTCCCCTCCTACTAACTCCCCCTATCACAGCATCCATGCGGCGCGCCGTCCATCATTCATGCCACGCACCGACGCTGCCATCACAGATTGCCAATCTCATTCGAACTTAAGTCGTGATTGACACCGATGTGTGTATGTGTGCGTGCGTGTGTGCCGTGCGTTGCGTGTATGCGTTTGCCCGCCCTCCCGTGCCGCCCGGGACACCGGAACCGGGAGGAGCATCAATCATCGTGAATCAGATCCGTCCACACACACGCCCCATCATCCCACCGCAAGAAATCGTTTCGGTCGCCGTTCTAGACCGCCCTACCGCGACGGGAGGAAGATGGGGTGACCCCTCCAGCTCCTTCTCTCGAGTCCCGAGAAGCTCTACGCCAGATTTCGCTGATGCCAAGCAAGCTACAGAGACGAAGCTTCTCCTCCCCCTCCTGCGTTCCTTTGTGCAAGGCACCGAGATCCGTCATCTTGAGCCCGCGGACCCGTCGGTTCCCAACTTGAACCACGGACACTCGTCCATCTTACCTATCCGTACGAATACCCTTCTTCACCTCTCCACCGGGCCAGCGGGAGTGGATATATCGGCCGTTCCAGCTTATGTCTTGCTCGTCCGTGTGATGACAAAAAGGGGCCCCCTGTCGCTCATCGTCGACTCACTCAGCTTTCACAGGCTCACGTCCCTTTCACGTCCCTCCTCTCGGTTTCCCTAATCCGGAAATCCCGAGCCTTGGGTCCATATTTCGAGATGTCCTTTTTTTTTCCCTTTCTCCCCCTCAGGTCCCCATCTCCTTTTCTCTAAAAAAGACTTTCACGATCCGACCGAGTTTCCCACTACTCTGCGCTATCGCCTTTTCGCATGTCTCCTCCTCGGCGGAACCCCAAAAACTACTCCATTCCACAATAAAGTCGCCCCCGGGGCCCCAACTGGGACTGTCCTGCAGCTATCCCGTCTTCCCCTCTCTTCCCATTAAGCTGGATTCGGTACAGGATCCGAGGGAAGGAATGGGTTTTTGTTGCTTGAAGCCGGGATCTAGGGGCCAGAATCTGGTCTGACGCGCTCCTCCTGCAATGTAGAACCCCTCACGACTCCAGATCCTTTGTGGTCCAACTGATTGTTTGTCAAATTGTGATTTAAATCTCTGCCTCGCCTCATGATCGTGATATCCATCACGCTTCGGGAAGCCCTGTTCAAAGTTCCAGCCCATTGCCTCCGATCCACACACATGGCAATTTGACTACCCGTGCCCCCTCGCACTTTCGCAGCGGCAAGAAAACCCTGTCGACAACTCCTATCGGGGGCCCCTGGTGTGATGTGCGCAAGGGAACGAAGAGGCATCTTTGTCCAGGCCCCTGAAGGGAAGAGCTCTCCCCCAACGGTGGAGTTTCCCTCCTTCTTGTGACCATTTCTCAAGTCCTTATTTTTTGTCACACACGATAAGATTTTCCGCTACAAGATCTCCACCAGAAATCCAGAACGCTGAGCCCCGAGCCTGCCAGGGAAACAAAAGCTGTGTCGGTAGAGCCCAAATCCTAAAATAAGATGAGACCTTCTTCGTCCGGTCGGTGATGGTCCACTTAATGTCGCATCCCGTCCGAAACAGAGGCGGTATCGGGGCCATCTCGCGGTTCGTGTGCCCACAACTCTTCCCTCTCATCGCAGCATCGCAGATGGTCCGGAAGTTGCAGCCGGACTAAACAGAAACTCTGTTCTACGGGCTGATCATTGATGATGTGGCCGAACTATCTTAGCCCTGCAGCTGCTCGAAGAGGGAGGTATGCATTCGTAGGTGTAAGCGTTGCAGTCTAGTCAACGGCGGGTGAGTCCGCGCCGAACATCCACCACACGTTTTCAAGTGCCATCCGGCATTGGATGATCTATAACTCAAAGTTCAGCATGAAACGAGCGCTGTGCTGGGCAAAAGGCCCAACATAGTTTGGGGGCTGTTTTATTCTGCTTTCCACCCCCTTTGGGTCGTCGGCATGCTGCATGACGACGGATGAGATATTGGCGTGCTGCGATGCAAAACTTTGATAGCATGCCGTCGGTGATTCGTGATGCTGCAGCAGTATTGACTCGACACGGCCAACATACTCAGCACGCCGTGAATCAGGGCAAGGTTTGCAATCTTGACACTGCACGCAACATCACATTCGACATGTGATGCTGCCATCTCAATAACTATCCGTTGACGCGTGTACCTCTCTCTCAGTCACATCTGCAACCCGGACGGGCTCCAGTGACTATGCCGCATCGTCAAGTCTTGGTTTCAAAAATACCCGTAGGGCCGATATCAATGCCACCCACCGACAACCCGTGAAAACGAGAGAACATCAAGGCACGAATAGGAAGGTGGCCGCAGGAAAACGGCCAGGTAGCCAAACACCTCGCCGTGAAAAAGCTTGACCGAGCTGTTCTTCCTTGCGGTGACAAATGTCACCTACCGTGATGGCTCGTCTGAGCCGGATGCAACACACCGTCATAGACGACCCCCACGCCGCTACGCCACGGGTCCGCGGCAACTTACCACACTCCCGGGCCCACCTGATATCAGGAACAATTATGCTTTTTTCCATTCTTCTCATACTTTCGTGCCTGGTAGCTAGGACTCGGCAAGGGAGGAAAAGCTCGATGCACCCCTTGAAGCATGATATTGGCAGCCGCCCTCATTTCATTGCCAAGTTAAGAAAAGTTGGTGTGCAGGGTATCGGCTACACCGTTCCAGTGGTATCACTAGCCTTGGAAATGAAGCCATCGTGAAGTCCGCAACCAGTGATCCTTTCAAATGGCTCTCATAAGGCAGGGAGAAGAAAGAGAATCGACCTGTCACATTCGAGTCCTGCGGCAAATAACCCCCTTGTTGTTGTTAGAGCTCAGAGCCCCCATCCCCCAGTAGAGTCGGGTTGTAAGACTGCGTAATCTCCCATCGCAGCCCAACGATGCATGGTTCCCTGGGCCCTGTCTCTTTCCATGAGGCTTATTCACGATGGGCCGTCGACGGTCCGTGTGCTGCTGAGAAAATTTAGGCGGATCCGGTTCGCAGGCAGGATGCACGTGTGGATCGGATCGGGGAATTTAGTTCATCTCAGGGGGATCCATCGAACACTCCCCCTTATTGATCGCCGACGACGGCAAAACAGTCGTCGGAGGGAGACAAGTGCTATGGCAACGGGGAGCCAGTGATTATTTTGTTGATCTCTTCAAGGTACGACTTTTGTCCTGATTGACTGGTTGGTTTGGTTTAAAAGTGTGTTGAATTGCGGTTGGGCGAAACATCGAAAGCCCGCTACATAAATCTTCACAACAGTCTAATAGGAGTTGTACAGTACATATGAAGCTTGACACAGACATTTACAGATTGCTGAAGTCTCTTTCCGCCAAGAACGGAGAAGGGCGCCACTAAGTACGGGGAATAATGCGCCTTTCCAACAACGTCGACTTGGATGATACAGATGTTGATCGATACTACCTGAAATCGCAAGACTAGGTATTGTCTTGATAGCTGAGCATACAAGACTGCGGATGAAATTTGAAAGATCAAGGAGACTCCTGGGACCTACCGGGTATCGTGGGTCTCAAATTTGTTAAATGCAAGTGCTAACGCAGAAACCCATCTTGTTCCATTATTTCCCATCTCCAAGTTGCACAGCTCAGCTTCATGACAACTGAAATAGCATGAGATGTCTCCGTGCATGTAGATTCATCGAGAAAATGCAGTCTTCTAGGTAAATTCCGTCATTCAATACCTCTAACATTCTACTGATAACCTATTGATATTGGTAATGATGAAGATTCTGGTCTAGTATGGTTTCGGGAGGTCAACGCTGTTGCACACATTACTAGCATACACATGCCTACTTGTGTCAATGCCAAGGCAGTTGACCTGGTCAAACAGCTCAACGTAGGTCTTTAAGAAGGGTGTTGTAGTCACAACTGTACATTGGTCCCCGCACCAATGATGAGAAGTAAAGCGTTGATAGATCCAGCATGCATGACATAAGATTGGCTTCCAATACACGCTTGACTATCTTAGAGACAATATGACAGGAGCAGAAGTAGTTCTGTTTGACTATCACGTGTTTGATATTCTTCAGCTTCAAGTAAATAAAATCACGTCAATTATTCGTGCCCTCGATGTTAAAACCTAATAATGATCACAAGATATACCTCTTCAGACGTCCGAACCCAAAGGGTGACCGAAGTGCATTGTTTCTCTCACCTGTCCGCCTCGCATTATCTCCTTTCCTTCAACCCATCTGAACATTCAACCAGCGGATGCAGTGGCAGCAGGCAAAACCGAAACGGTGAGAACAAAAGCGGCAGTAATCTGAGAAGTCGAAGCTGTACTTGTTTGAGTGGATGATGATGCTGTGAGCGATGTGGAAAGAATCCCAGAGGAGGAGGCTTGTGAAGATGGAGATGTGCTCGATTGGATGCTAGTCTGGCTAGTGCTCGATGTGGTCGCGGATGTCGGAGTGCTTGAACTTGAGCTTGGTATCGGAGATGAACCAGAAGTCGTCGAGGAAGTGAGTATAGACGGCGATGAACTAATAGTTGTAGTCGAGCTTGAGATGACGGAGGATCCTGAGCTCCCGCTAGTCGTGCCGGTAGTGGAAGAAGGAGTAGAAGTAGATGTTCCAGTGCTCCCGGATGTCAAGGAAGAGCCGATGAAGGATGAAGAGCTGGTCGTCCCGCTGCTGCTCGTGACGTTCGAACTCGCACTTGGGTTCAGATTCAAGGTGGTAGAAAGCCCCGTGCTAGTTCTGGAGCTACCAGTGTTGGAAGTGCTCGTGGATGAACTTGTTCCTGAACTTGAAGAAGGGGTAGTTGATGATTGCGTTGAAGTTGTCGAAGATGTTGAGGAGGAGGTGAGTGAAGAGGAAGAGGTAGTACTAGAGTCCGTAGTGGTGATTGTTGGCCCGCTGCTTGAGGAGCTCGAAGTGCTGGATGATGACGAGGTCAAAGTTGTTGAGGTGTCAGTACTGCTCGTTCCTGAAGTAGTTGAGCTACTTGTGTCGGTGGATGTCGGAGAGGTCGTCAGGGTCGATGAGCTCGATGAGCTGGAAGAACTGGACGAGCTTGAAGAACTTGAGGAGCTCGAGGAGCTCGTTGAAGTTGTCGTTGTCGTTGTCGACATAGAAAAGTCGAACAGGCTGAAATACTGAGCGGAGCTGACAGAACCGCCACAGTAAAGGGTATTATCTGCAGGGCAAAGGATATTGCAATTACTAGGGCTACCAGGTGAGAATAGGATATTGGTAACACCTGCATTGCTGCAGTAACACTGGGTCGAAAAGATCGCGCCGTATGAGCGGCCGAGGGTCGTGAAGCAAATATTTCGACAAACCGATACGCTATTGCTGATATCGACAGAGGTTAAGGTGAAGACCTGCTGGAAGGCGAAAGGTGTGCCGCATCCTAGGTAGACGGTGTCGGGGGGAAGCTGGCTTGCTACGCTCACTGCCAAGCCAAGCAATGCCACGAATAAGACTATCATCATGGAGCTGAACTTGATGTTTCCGTGAGACTCCGTGATATAGTACTGCCCTGAGTATAGGTTGCTTATTTGGAAATTTATGTTGTTGTGGCCTTGATTCAGTGTCTGCCGGCAGGCGGGTAGATGATTGGAGATGGGGACCCTTGACAGGAGAGGACGAGACCGAAACAGAGTATTTCGTGATAAAGGGAGGGGAAGGGGGGTTTTCAGGTTTTCGACCGGAAGTTCAGAATCGAAGAACACGGGCCGGGGCAACATGAAATAGCCGATTTCTATCTATTCTACCTACCCGAGGGATGTTCAAAGTATGTGTTGACTGTAGCCGAAAACGCCAAAATTCCTGCTACTCAGTCTGGACAGGGCCGAGGCAGCCGTGGTGCGCTTGCATGAAAATTGTTCAGCTGAATGACTTCGCATTCTTTGACGCCCAACAATCGTTATTGTCTTGGATCAATACCGTATCGTGCAATGGCAATGGCCATCCGATTAGCCACCATATTTTCGTGTCTCGGAGATAATCCGAATTCGATACCAGCTGAGTAAACAGGGAACGTATCCGAATTTGTATGAACCACGCATGGAGCATGGTTGACTATTAGCTGAGTACCTTTAGATTTCAATCAGAAGATGCAGGTGGTCTTCCTGACCGCTGACGAGGTGGGCGTCATGTTGGGTTACACCAAGATGGACTTGGCCGAATTGCTGGAGTGCAGACAACAATGTAATGATGCACAACAGGTTTCAATATGACCTCCGTGTTTATACCGTAAAGCCCCGACCTACTGTTCAGGGGTCGCAACGGGGCGGCGGGGCGAACCCCACAGCAGCGCCGGCCCAGACGCCGAGTCGGACCGCTTGAGTGGGTCGTTCCGGAGCGGCACCGTTGATCAAATGGCCGGATGACTTATTGCACCTTCTGCCTTCTTGTGGCAACTTCCGAGGATTCAAGACAGGCAACAAAAGCCTGGATCTGCACGGAAGCCACTGAACCGAAGATGTATCCGAGGAAGCTGCCACCCTGGGGGCATTGTAATACGTCACCTAATGTACGATACTTTCCTTCTAAGTAGGAGAATGCTTCCTAGCGCCGGCTGAATTGACTTTTATCCCCATATAGGTACGTCGTCTCAAAAGCTGGGATCGCAGCACAACAAACATCATCATGGAGCCTCCCACCAGTCACTCAACATGAGCAATCAATCCAAGTAACGAGAAACGGGAACAAAAAGGAAGATGCCTTCCCCAATCCCCCGCCTCCTCCCACCAATCTTCTCAATCTTCGACTCAGGCCTCGCCGAAACAGCAAACCTCCCCCTCTTCTACCTCTCCCACGACGCCGAACCCTCCGAGGCAGACAACGCAATTGGCATCAACATTCACGCAGGGCCCTTCTCCACCGCGCCCATCATCGCGCACCTCACCCACCGCCTCGTCAGCCTACCGGGCTAGAAGACCCGTCGCACAATGCAAGTCCACCTCGAACAGCCGCAGTCTTCTCTTCCTTCACGCCCCCGCCGCCGGGAAAGCAACTCCAGCGACACCCCCAAGGTCCTCCTCCACGAAGACCGCGGCCGGCAGGGAAATGCATTGGGTTTCCGCTCGCTTTTGAGCCGCATCATCCGCGGGAGGGGGTATCAAGGCCTATGGCGCTTCACGATGCGTCTTCGAGATCCTTGTTGGGCGGAGATGATGACCGATGTCGATTTCGAATGGAGGCATAGTCGAGGGTTATCCATTCGGACACTTCGTCTTTCGGATGGGTGGCTTCTCTGGCGGAAACGCACGCCCGACGAAACACGCATTCTGAGAGCTCCTCGACAGTCGTATCTCGGAAGGGGAGGCTATGCCAAACTAGACGAAGAGTTAGTCGCCATGATATCGATTGACCTCTCGCGACCGTACCTTGGTACAGGATTCCGATTCCTCAACTCCGCCGCCGTTCCACCTAATGCAAAAGAAACACCGTTCTTGAACGACGACTTCGCGTTGGTAGCAATCATGTCCGGCATTGGCATAATCATGGGCGAAAACGAAACTCTAGGCGGCGTTTTGACGGCCGAGGAAATACAAGCTTCACAGAGACCTCACCTCAAGCGCGCCGCGTTAGTAGAGAAACACACACGCGAGGCAAAGGAATGGCTTGCAACACTAGACCTACTCGACGACAATGACCACGACGACGAGCCGCCCCATATACGAAGGGTTGAAAGAGTAGCTCCGTGGAGAGACCTCCACGGGTCAAAAGGAACAACCACACGGGGAAAGGAGGGAGGCGGTGGCAAGACAAAAGGGTCCAAAGGAACAGCGCCTGGAGAACGCCGACAGCGCAGTCTATCGGCACCCGAGACTTCTTCGCAACGGAGAGCCGGCAAGAGAACTCTGCATCACGATCCGAACCGCAGATAGGAATGGGAGAAGAGGCCTGCCGTGTACGTGCCGAGGAAGAGGGAGAGAACAACCAACGCGTCTGCGGCGACGAGACGGACTACGCCGCTGCGTTCTTCACAGAGAAGCTCGTATGGAGATCGAGACCCGACGAGTCGGAGTGCAATCTTGGCACAAGGAGGAACGCAGATCGAGTGAGTTGGTGGGATATGGCGTGGGCTTGAGAGTTTGAGGGCCTCGAGGAGGTAAATCCCTTTCGAGGGACGGTCTTCTCAAGCACGTCTGATTCCAAGGTGTCCAAAGAGCTTTCGAGGTCGGTCGAGTTGGTTATGGCTGGACGAAGGAAGTATCCGGTACAGGCTCGCTCTACAATGACAGTACTAGCAGTAGAAATTCATGACATAACTATGGCGTGTGATTTTATTACGCGAAACTGAGCGTACGGTTTCTTTTTGTTCGTTTTTTGACGACTGAAAAGAAAGAATGGAATGGTCTATGGACTTGCAAGACTGCCTGTCTAGGACCTCGTCCTATTTGCGGATTATTTACTCCAGAAGGGACATATTGTGCAGAATTAGTACATTAAGATGTGTAGGTGCCAGGGTCGTGGTAGGACTCGTAAAAGGGACTGATGCTAGCTTATGGTTCTCCAGACTTTGAGTATCGACACGCTGACTTCACAAATACATCAAGCCATCCAACCTTCAGGAGATTGAAGTTCCTGAATCAGGTACAGCGATACCATTTGCGTTATTTTCTACGCAAAGCCTCACAGGGCACAATAACGCGAGTAACCATTCAGAAGACGGCCACTCACTAGACTCGACGACTCCATTCCCGAACGAGAACTTACCGGAGGATTTCGTGCCAGCTAAGAAACTCAAATCGTGGCCCCTATTCATTGACCTCGCTTATTGTCACAACTTCTCGCGAAGAAAGAGAGAAGCGGACCACCAGTATCCAGGTACATGGCCGTGGTGGCTCCTCCGGGGGACTCCGATTAGCTTCGCACACGACCTTTGACAACCTACGAGGCGCAGGAATTGAGCAAGACCAAGGGCAACCAATAGCGTCTGTGTTAGGAACGTGGACAGGCTGAGCGAAGTTGAGCGATATGAGTACCCAACGCAGAGAGACGACAGAGCCCAGCATCACGTCAAGCGTGCTGCATAAGATCCTTACACAGCCTCAAGCCTATCCCTTCAACATCGTAAGATGCCAAGGCAATATTCATTGGGCCAAGCTTCACTGTGAAAATTGCAAGCTCAATTCCTCTCTTTCCGCGCTTGCCAGTGTGGGTTCTGGCTTTGATTGACTTCAGCTGAGTTAGTCGTGATCTTAAACCCCGCATCGACGGGTGAAAGACGTGCAGCAGGAGGGAGGACGATCTCCGTATATCCCCGGATCTGCAAGAAGGCCTCCGAGATCCCCAGAATCTCAAAGTGAGCGGAGAAGTCCATCAATCGTCATCACTCGGAATGGAGAGAAGGCCCCATCATTGAGCCGATGGTCGTCAATGTTGGTGCTTGGCCTCTGCAAAGCCGCCACCGTAGGAATGACAGCCTTGCCCTAGCTGGGGGCCACGAAGAAGTTCCGGAACGAATGGCTGACCCAGGAACAAGACCGATCGACAGGCGGGCGTTCGGTAGGCTAGCGGCTCGAAGAGAAGGTGGCATGTATGGTTGTATTCATCGTCGGAGACGATTTGACCAAAGCTAAGCAAACAAGCTCCATGGTCGTGCCAATGGTGCGTAAGCCAAGTCGGTTGACCTCTTGGTTGTCCCTCCATTAGCGGAGTCGCGATTCATGGCACAGCGCCTAGTGGTGTGCGAGGAATTCTCGTGCTCGTCTTGTCATGTCTGTTGCCAAGCAGGATGTAGCCGCCACGTTTTCAATATTGAGCCAAAGCCTAGCCAAGGAAAGGGGGGAAATGGACTCGGGGGCCTTGGCGTTTCTTGTATCTGGAGCTTGGGTTGCTTGTACGTTGGTTTGATCAGGGACCGTCACCTCGGACACGTCGGACCCCAACAGACAATGTCCTGAAGCGAAACAGATGTGCATACTGATATCGTTTTGTTTCTTGCTGCTGTCATCTAATCTTAGCACTCGAATGCGTTGCGTAGCACATGCGACGGACCCTGAATTTGTCAGAAACAAGCAGAGTGGGAACATCCTGTCGCAAGCTATTCCCAGCGTCGCAAGCAGCACAGACAGGGTGTCACAGGCCAGGCGTTCTCAAACATGCGCGGTGCTTGGAAACATGCTGATAAGAACCAACCCACCGGGCGATATCTAGCGAGGAGAATCGGAACACCGATACCACAGTCCACAGGTGAAGAGGTTGGGAAGCTAGTTGCGACGCAATTCCAAAAATACGAGCATGTGCGGTCTTTCCAGGTTCCAGGCTTCTAGAAGTACTCTTAGTCGCGCCGGGGAAGTGAGACATTGGCCGGAGCAGCGGGAGGCTCGTCAGCAGCCGTTCGATTAGTGTCAATCAAGGTGCCGTGGCCTCGACTCTCAATATCGCCCGATTGGCCCGAAGCTACAGTGGTATCTGCACAAGTTGCAAGTTTGAGGGGATCGGGGACTTTCGATTTCCACTGACAGGCGCTTTGGCAATATCGCAACAGGGCCTTGCGGCTCACCGCCGTTTGGGAGCGGCGAATTTGAATGATTCGGACAAAGTTCACGGTGGAATCTTGAGTTTTTCGGTGCGTATCTCCCATGGCATGATAGCGGCCGGTGGGAATGGTAGTATTCCAAAAACCTAGGGTAAGCACGCCGCGGCAGCTCGCCGGAGCAGAGGCCAGAAGGTTGGAAAAGGATCTCGAAACACTCGGGAGATGCGCTTGCAGATGTGTTGCCTCGTTGCGGTAAGGATTAGGATGTGCGCCGGAGCATAGTCAAATGGTGGGTGGTGACGGAGGTGGGGTGAAGCGAGGATGCACTGGTGCAGACAGGCACATGGCCGGCCAGGTGTTGTTGAGCTTGCGAAAAGGGCCCGGTTTGGCGAGGATGATTGACCCGTTCTTCTCCGCAAGGAATACTCGGGGTTTGGGGTTGAACGGGGGAGATGTCGTTGGAGAGGCGGGGAAGATGGGGAGATGGGGGAGCGAGATTCCGTCGAGAGACACTTTTGTGATTAAGGACGGTCGATGTGTGGTTGAAGGACTCTCCCACGTTACGGCGAGGGGCGGGCGTCTTTCCATGTTGAGTTTAGACGAGGGGTGGGCAAGTCCAGGCGAGAGGAGGGACGGCGGCCGGTGAGATGAGGTGAGTGGTCAGCGGTGGTCGGAGAGGTCGAGTGCCGGGACAAGTCGCATCAGGCTATCAGCCTCTTGGTCTTCTCTGGAGCTGTCCAGGCAAAATTGCTCAGTGCGGTACATTAGCTTGGATGTAGCGACTGGGATGTGGGAGGAGTTTTGGCTGACTGGCGTTCCGTTGGCGGCAAGCAAGTGAGAGGCAATGGCGTGGTTTTTGAGGGTACAAAGTCTTGGCAAACGTTGCGATGTCGTGTACTCGTGATAAGCCGTAGCTCGTGGATGGTTCAGTTGGTGGTGATGCCCAGCGGAGAGGGACCCTAGGTGCGACTATGGAGAATCCGTACCTTGGCCTTGGGCCATTTGACCCAGCATGACTCGGCATAAGGTGGATTGAAGAACAGGCTTGGACGGACAACTCCAGACTCCAGTCTTTGCTAGACGTGCTAGGCTGGAGATTTGACATCTGGAGGCCGGGGAAACAAAGATTGGGGAAATCTGCCCGTGGGGAACGGTGATGCAGAGAATGTGAGGGGGCGAATACGGAGGATGCCATTGGGCAGATGTGGTGAAGTTGTGAGAAAAAGATTCGGAAGATGGCCGAATATTCGCAGGCCAGAGGAGGGGGAAAGTGGAGACATTGGCGCTATCGGTGTTGCGCCCGACGGAGGGAGCCCCCGGTTGTCCCCGGTCGTGCTTCCCCAAGAACCGTCTTTGTCGTTTCCTCACAAGCGATGGGGGAAGGAACGAGGTATCGAGAAACGGTGGAAGGAAGTAAGGAAGTAAGGAAAGAGTGTCAACTAGTGGCAGAGGCAGTGACAGTGGGGGGGGGGGATGCCTTCCGACGGACTATCCAACTAACTAGACGCCCACAAAGGTGACGAGTATCGTGGCCTTGCCAGGAATGCGCAGGTAATACGGAGCCAGCAGACTATTTGACAGTTTCGACGGACCATCATGGGGCCCCGACTTGAGAATCTCTGGGGAATTAAAAGGGTCGCGGGGATGAAGAAGTATGGATACGCAGTAAGGAGTACATAGTAGGGGTTGGTGGACACTCGCACGCACCGAACTTGTTTGTAGCGTGCCATTTGCCAGGCATTGACGCTTGGGTCACTGGGTTGCAAAGTCGCAACACTTACATGACCATTGGCGGACAGCAGTGCGCGAATTTCCTCGACTTCATTGAATGTCACTTGTATTTTCCCCTCCACTATGGTCCATGATACAATTTTCATTGGCCAAGAGACAACACAGGATGAGAGACATATTCTTCCATTCAGTATTAGTCTGTCGTAATACGGATGGTACTAGATTATTAGCATCAGACCATAACGCCCGTTAAGCTTATTTCCCCGTTCCTCCATCATCTTGTACGGTGGGACGGACTCTGGCTGGCTGCTAGTGCATTGGGCGGGCATTGCCCATCACCCATTACCTACCCATCAGTGCGGGATCGGCTATCTGCTAATCCAATGGGGGATGATCTGGGGGAAATCTGTTCGCGAGCTGTCAAACGTGTCAGACGTGTTCGTTTGATCTCGCGAACCGCTCTGCTGGAATCGACGAAACGACCTCACTTTGCGACAGTTTTTTGACCTCACCTCATTGATATCGTCAATTGTCGTCGACGTCGTCGAGTGCGGCGACAATTTACTCAACTCCCTCGCAGCGCCGAGCAACTTGGCGTGACGGGATGGCTTGCCGAGGAGGACACAAGCACTTTCTTGGCAGACTCATCGCCCGTTGGGTCTTGGCGACTTGGCCTACGTCTGGTCAGCGTGGCCCATCCTTGCCCGTCTGCTTAGGTGTCTGCGTCCTTTTCCCACGCTTGCGATTTGTGGTCTTGGTGTTGGCATTAACGCTGGCGATTCCGGTGTTGCTTGTTCCCCCCCTCTTGCAAGTTGCAGCCAGGTGGCGGCAGTAGTGCGAGGCATGGAAGAAGCATAATTGAGGAGGAGTACATTCTGATGCGAAGATGGTGCAATTGAGAAATCCGAAGTTGAGCGTGACTTCCCTCCATGTTGAGTCCTGACTGTGTACGTATCTACCTTGCTGAACGGGATGTGTTCTGGCGCTCCTTCTGGAAGGCAGCAACCGATCAACGAAGGAAAGAAGAGGAGTCACGGGACGCCAGTGGAGGCGCGCTTTCCTTGTCTTGCTCTCCCTTAGGTTCAGGTCCCTGCTGGACCGGGAAGGGAATCTTAATCATCGTGAGAAACACAAAAATGAAGGCAGGCGTGATCGTGACTTGGTGGGTCATGCTGCTCAAGTGCCTGCCGTTCGTTCGTCTTGCATTTCCCTCGTTCTCTCCCAAATCCAATCTCTCCCGTCATCCAACATCCAATCGAAAGGGTACGTACCCCTTACCTTTGACCATCTCGAATATCTGACACTGACTCTGACTCTGCTGCTCATCTCCCATTCCCTCCGGTCTCCTCTTCTCCCACACACACACCTTTTCCCTCCCGCTCCATTGAAGGATTCGGCCGTGATGCAACATTGTTCAATCGCCCCCATCCAACTCTCCACAGACCAAACCCCAACACAGACAGCCAAGACCTCCTGGACGTGTGAGGCGCAAACTTTTTCTGCACTCGCTCCAACCTAACCCTTTTTCGCGGCCCTGACTAAGGTAACTTTTTCCTTCGTTTCTTCCTGGCTTCGTTTGGCGTTGGTTCTCACTTCTCACAGTGCACACTATCGCCGCAATCGAACCCCCGTTGCTATTCCTAGCGTTCCAATCTGCTTATTCTTGGCCCTCAACTCCATCCGTTTCTTACACTGCTCCGACAGCGCAACATCATAGTTATCACTACCACTGCAATAGTGCCATTCAACATTGTATCGCGACAAAGGCCAGCCATGTCTGAGTAATCGAGAGTCGTTTTCCGTTGGGTCTACTCCGTGCCATTCGTTTCACCGTTTCCTATTCTGGTCTGCCACAGCGCAACCTGCACCATGCCCGAAACCACAGAGTACAGACACCAAGACAAGAGAGATGGAGGCGTGTGACACGTTTTGTGCGACCAAACGAAGACCGTCGTCACTTTCTCCCACGCATACCAACCCGAAATGAAGTTCTATCATGGAGACAAGAGGGTGTCCGGCCGGCGACTCCCAGTGGATTCGACATGATGCGCGTTAACTTGGATCCCGCCTCATATCGCATCTCACTTTGCCGCACTTGGACATGCCGGGAGACGGACGCTTAACCCATGGACCACGGTTCATCATTACAAACGCCAACCAACCTCTTCCCCATCCAGATCCCTCGCCAGTAGCTAGCTAGCTGAGAAGCCGGCTGCATGGGGTGATCCATCATGTGCCGGAGTGAAGGCCGTCTCCCGCACGCTTGAAATTCCGTAGTGGGCATAGACCAGACGCAGGCTACGCTTCCTCTCCCTTGCCAACGAACGCCATCGTATGCAATATCCCAACATGGTCCGCGCCCTCGTAATCCTCGTGGTCCCTAGCTTTCCCTAGCTCTCTCTCGGGACCGTACTTCGCCAACCACCATGGGCATGGGCATGGGCATGGAACAAACACCCTGGTCTCCTCGACCTCGACCCCTTGTCTGCCGCCTTTTCTCGTGCTACTTGCAAGTTGCATGGTATCCGTATCGAGGCACGCCGTACGCTCTTCTACTCTCCCCGCTAGAAAGCTCTAGCTGCCATCTAGCAAATCTAGCTCCCATGTAGCATATCTCCCTCTGGCCTCCTCACCATGCTCATCCTGTCCTCTTCCCCGACGCCGACCCCGCATCATTGACTCCGACCTCCCCACGCATCCATCAGAAACAGTTCTGGCCTCCATTGGCCAGCCTGCCCGCACTAATCATCACGCTTCTCACTGCAGCGTTCCATCATGGGAGATGATCGCTTTCGAAACCGTGAGCATGTCGGTGCCATCCCGGTCACTCTGGACCTCGATACCGGTGCTCTTTGTTTTTGTCTCTCTCAACTCCTTCGAAACCACCTTATCCACCTGCTCCATGTTGGTGAACTCTTGGCACCGACGCGATGGACGGTCTGATGATTCGCCAACCTGCATGGCTATCGATGGCTTGCCCAACTATATGAAGAAGCTTTGTGTCCCCCTCTTCATCCCATTCTGCTGAACTCAACCAGTCGTGCCTCATCCTCTCATCTCTTCTTCCTCCTTTACCTCTCCCTTGATCACATCTTCAACCACCTCAGTCACTCATACACTTGAACGTGTCTTAGAGAGCCAACAAAGGCAGACAGACATCCATCATGTCGACGTCGACTGCGCAGCCCGCCGACCCCGTCGCCAAGGGCGTGCTGGCCACGGCCAAGCAGTCCCTGAAGGACCTCTTCATCTGGAGACAGCGTACCGTTGTTGTTAGCCCGACTGGCGAGACGCACACAGAATGGCAAGATCCCGACCCAATCAAGAACCCCATCAGCCTTATGGCTCAGCTCAGCCCTCGCGACTGGCTCTTCTTCCTCTGCGGTTTCTGCGCCTGGACCGCCGATGCTTTTGACTTCCATGCCTTGTCTATCCAGACCACCAAGCTGGCCAAGTACTACGACCGCTCAAAGACGGATATCACCACTGCCATCACCCTGACTCTGCTCCTCCGTTCCGTCGGCGCCGCCTTCTTCGGTCTGGCTGGTGACAAGTATGGTCGCAAGTGGCCCATGGTTCTCAACATGATCATCCTCGGTCTTTTGCAGATTGCCACCATTTACAGCAAGACATTCCAGCAATTCTTGGCTGTGCGCAGTTTATTCGGTCTTTTCATGGGAGGTGTCTACGGTAACGCCATTGCCATGGCTCTTGAGCACTGCCCGTATGTCAATCGATCTTCTGCTTTCCTTCAATGGCTCGCTAACAGTCTATCAGCTCCAACGCTCGTGGTTTGATGTCCGGTATCCTACAACAGGGCTACTCATTCGGTTACGTCCTCGCCGCTTGCGCCAACCTCGGCGTCGGTGGTGGCACTGAGACCTGGAAGACGGTCTTCTGGATTGCCGCCGGTATCTCCATCGCCGTTGGTCTCGTCCGCATTGCTTTCCCCGAGTCCCAGCAGTTCCTCGAGGCCAAGGCCCACGGAAAGAAGTCGGCCTCACCCGGCGCCTTCTGGCGCGAGACCAAGAAGATGCTGGCCCAGGAGTGGAAGATGTGTGTCTACTGCATCATCCTCATGACCTGGTTCAACTACTACTCTCACACCTCGCAAGACTCGTACACCACCTTCATGATTGCTCAGAAGGAGATGGACAACGCTGGTGCTTCCCGCGCCTCCATTCTCATGAAGGCTGGCGCTTGCGTTGGTGGCACCATCATCGGCTACCTGTCCCAGTTCGTTGGTCGTCGCCGCGCCATCATCGTCTCTGCTCTCATCTCTGCCTGCCTCATCCCCGCCTGGATCCTTCCCCAGGGCGAGCGCAGCCTGAGTGCCAGCGGTTTCTTCATGCAATTCTTCGTCCAGGGTGCCTGGGGTGTCATTCCCATCCACCTCAACGAGCTTTCGCCCCCGGCCTTCCGCTCCTCTTTCCCCGGTATCACCTACCAGCTGGGTAACATGATCTCGTCCCCCTCTGCGCAGATTGTCAACGCCATCTCCGAGCAGACCTTTGTCAGAGCCCCTTCAGGCCACAGCGTCGAGGCCTATGGTCCTGTCATGGGTATCGCCACGGCTATCATCGCCATGGGCATTGTCGTCACCACCATGTTCGGACCCGAGCGTCGCGGCCGCAGCTTCGAGCACGCCGTCGCCGGTGTGCAGGGTGAGGCCGTCGAGACCAAGGAGATTGACGACCACGACGAGGAGAAGGGTAGCATCAGGGCCTCCAACGTCGAGGACACCCGCAAGGAGTAAGATCAGTCGCTGCCGGGCTCAGCGATAGACGTACAACACTTATGGGAAGTACAATTGGAATGTTTTGGAATTACGGTACACAGGTACAGGGAGGAAGCCGGGCATTGGCCTCCAATGGCTGTGATGCCATACACAATACCCCATGGGAAGCGCCACGGCGCGAATGAATGAATATAAAGATTGATACCATTTTCAAAAAGTCCCCCTGTCTTACCGCACTCGGCCGTGACGATCAGCACATGTGTGCGACATGGTGTTTCACATCACGACATATCTTTTTTCCGCTCGTGTTGACAAGCTTTCCGCCAAGCCGCTGGCTGAGTATCGGCGTCGCTGGGCGTCGAAGCTTGCGAGGGCTTGTCTCTGTCTGTTTTTCTTTTGCAGTTCATGAGAAATTAGTCATTGGTGGTGCTAAGCCTGATGGGGGCGAACCGGTCCAGACCAGTGCCAGGGACCCACTTATTCCGCTCCATCTTCTATTGCCGCGTGGGCAGTAACCGGCGGTCGGCTACTTGTTCTCAAGAGATCAGACTGATAGTCGGCGTCTCGAGACGGTGATGGCCATTCTCAATTTGCTCAGGAAATCCTCAATAATGATTTCTTTGGCTTGGCTGGCTTTTCTTCAGGCTGTGCGGCTGTTCTGATTGGGTCCACTGCCCGAACCCATACTCCCTAAGGTTAGGGACAAGAGCTTATTGGAACAGTGAGGACGCTGGCTGGTACCGGTAGACGGTTGGAAGTCTCCATGTCAAGGCAAGGTTTCTTGCCGTTTGGAAGAAAATAATACAGAGACCTATATCTGAAGATTTATCAAATCACTACAGCTAGACGTGTCGCTACCCTGGATTCTCTCAATTGTACGGCCAAACCCCCGGATGGATCATGGATGTGATTCACCAGTGTGACGATCTCACATCTCTCACTTTCCCCGACATCTCCAGACTCCACGTTTTCTACAATGCAGGGTTTTTGGTCGGGCCTTCTCCATCTGGGGCTCTTCCAGTCTGTGCGGTGAGACATTTGCGATCAGCGATGCCCCGATGTTGGAAGCACGCTCGTACGATATCATGTGGGCGCCAAACCGTCGCGATGGGGCCGGTTCACGAGGTTCACCGTTCCATGAGTTATTGGGGCACCGTTTAATTGGCGTCCGTTGTGGGGGTGTAGTAGGTGAGCCCCACACGCTCCAGATTTCTCCAAGAGTTTTTTCGATGGGGCGCTCTTTTTTTTTTCTGTTCCCCTCATTTACCATGGACGTGGAGTGCTCCGTACGGATGTACTCCGCTTTGCGCAGAGATGTTTTTGTTCGGACTCGCTCCAGTTTAGGCGCTGAGAGTTCACATGGTTCCAGACCCAGCTACTCCGTATACTAAGTCGAAATCGTCAAAATCAGGGTTAAGATAGGGGGGGCCTAGTGGATCTGGGGGAAAGACGCGTGCGTGGTGCGCGGAGAGAACACCGGTGCCTTCTTTGAGCTGAGCCCAAGGATGTGGGCGTGGGGTAGGGGAATACTTCCAGTTAGTACGGAGTAAAGTAAGGTATTATTTGAGAAAGATTTTGATTTGACTCCATCGCGAACCCGAGGACTTGGCAACCTTTCCACTTTTTCTTTTCTTCCCTTTCCCTCCTTCTGGGATTTAAATTCCTTCTTTTGTGAGGCATCCTCCTCGGATGTTGTCCGTCTTGCCTAGGCACTAATGTCGCAACCCGGTTTGCTTTTTATGTACATGCGCGGCGCAGGAATCGTGTTGTCCGGGTTTGGGCTTACGGGTATTTATGACGGGTTGGGCACTCCTTCCCGCGGTCCGGGGTCCTCGGCTACGCTGCGCCGCTGGACGGATGGCCGGTGTTGGAATGTGCTTGAGATCCGTGGGATGAGGGAGCCGGCGGTGGTGTGATTCCGGGTTCCGGACGAGCGGGACGGGAGGATTTAGTCTGAGCTTCTCGGCTAGCCAACTGGAAAATTTGCTGGTTGAAGAGTAGAGGAGATGATGTGATGACAATTCAAATGGTTGAAAGCCGAGATTTTGAGTTCACTCGACCTGCAATAAACACAATCTTGTCAAGCTCCTCGATTATGGAAGAGAGTAATGCATATGATTGTTTACCATTGATGATCTAGGTACTTTACCTTGCATGGAGGAATCATTACAAACATGTGTCGTTCAAGGCAGAAATCCACGCTGTCTCTCGCGAATTTCGTTAGCCTGGGCATTGCCCATGTCACATTGCAACATCTCGAGCCCGGCTTGGGCAAGGTTCCCGTATGTCATGGCTAAAGCCGCGTCCGCTGCAGCTCCTGTGCCTCCCAAGTTGATCACGACAGAATAATTCGTTCGTGCGACGTAGGACGCCAAGTTGGACAGCTCACCCACGAAGGCTGCCACCTGGTCCACACTCCATTCAGCTACGACGAGCTCGCTGAAATGCTCCAGAGTGATCAGAAAGGCTGGAATAACGAGTATGCTATCGATGTTGGCCGCTAGACGGCGAGAATCTGCGACATGTAGACAGTGGCCTGTCGGGAAGAGGTGATCCTGAGCGATATCACTAAAGACTGCTATATTACTCAAGGTCATGATGGTGATGGTTTTCGACCAGAAGTCCCAGAATTCGCTTTTGATGGGGTCTTTGGGAGCAAAAGAATCGGCCATGTACAAGGCGCCGGCGCTGACGACTGCCGTTCCGGTCAGTATATTGCTGAATCGGTTCCCTGCTGGGAGTGCGGCCTCGAGAGGGCTGATGTATGCGGTTACAAAGCTCATGGTGCCGGCGGTGAAATGGCCCAGAGAGTACATCTTCTCATCGAGCGCAGTCACTGGCTTGGCGGATCCAGGGGTCGTTGGCTCCGTGCTGACTACGCTCACAGAGTCAGAGGAGGAGACGGAAGTCACAGAGGCCTTGCTCTTGTGCGCCTTGGCTTGTTGCTCACGGGCTGCGGGTGTTTCTGGCGAAGTAAAGGCGGCTGTCGTTATGATGCCGGCATTCACTGCCATGGGCTCCGTAGCTAGCGACGCTGATGTATTCGACACCCTGCGAGCCTGCAAATTCTTTGAGATACCGGCAGCAGCACCCGCTTGAAGGGCGACATCGTCGGCGGTGAAGGGGGCCTTCTGGGTAGCCAGCTTGCAGATCACCGTGAAGGACATGGCGGGGATCCAGCATATTAGATCAAGGTATGATATGTCCGGTATGCCGATATCGTTGAGAAGATCTGAGATGACGGGGATGTGAATCTTGACATCTAAAAGGGCAAACGCGTCGCCAGCAAGATCGATCAAGACGTCGAGCAAGGCATCTGCGACCACCTTGACACTGGAAAGCACACCCATTGCGATGATCCCGAGTAGATCTTTCAGGATCTCTTCGACGGTCATGGAGGAGAAGCGCTTGGCCAGGTCCCTGAGCTGAGAGACAACCGCTGATATGTTTGCTTCCTCCTTGTCCAGCGCATCTAAGAGGTCGTTGATAATGCCTGATGCTACTTCTTTCTTCGCTGGCGGCGCCCCTACAACTGTCATATTGGCGCCGTGGTTCTTAAAATGGGTCATCATGGCCTGAGAACCCGAAGTATGGCCCTTGGTGGGATTCGTGGCACTCGCCGCCGCGGGCTGTGAGGCCTTGCTTCCGAGTGAAGAACCCCAGTCCTTCATGCCAGCCCACTTCTCGATACTCTTCTCCGCGTGTGTAATTTGCGCATCAAACTCCGTCTTTGCAGTCCGAAGATAGTCAACCTGGCTGCTCAACCACTGCTTCGTCATGTTGCAGAGGACGTCCTTGGTCCGCTCGATATCATCCCAATCATAGAGAAACTCGACAAAGGACATGAGTTTCTTGATGCCCGTCTTGATGGCGTTGAATATCCACTCCGCCGCGCCGACAATAGCTTCGACCGAGGTCAATGCGGCACGGTAGACTTTGCCAGAGATGGTGGCTACGAAGTGCCATGCTTCAGTTGCGTCGTCCTTGATGATGTCGACGACATGTTCCACGTCGGATTTGAGCCAGCGGAAAATGTCGCCAGCCGCAATGGCGGCGTCATGAGCTAGACTGTCAACCGAAGACGAGGACGTGTATAGCGTGTGTGGAATCACGCTCATACAAGATTTTGGGGCGACTGTGGGCTTGACGAGTCCATAAGTTGTGCCGAGTTTACTGAGGCTGTTCGCCACGTTGGCCACATCATTCGATGACACAGTTTCCTCTACGAGAGCGGTCCACGTAGGCGTGCCCTTGATGCCGCCAGAGACCGTGTTGGTTGGTACTTTGGCGTCCCGGAGGGCTCCTTCGCTACTGAGCGCTGCTACAGTCTGGAAGGACTTCTCCATAGGATTGATGGTAATCTCGGCCTCTCCATCGTTGCAACCCACCGTCATGAGAGTGCCGTTGATGCTGTCTTGCAGGGCCTCAACGACTGTCAAGCTTCCGGTCGCATCCGTAGCCACCGTGACAGGTACCGGCCTAAGGACGTAGTAAATCCCGTTCATGTACACGGGCGTGCGAGAACTGGTAGAAATCGCCAGATTGACGCCAGGAGCTGGAAGTTCGTGTTTATCGAGGACTTGAATCGTTGTCGTGTATGACTTGAATTGGAGCGGCTTGGCCTTAGGCTCACTGGCCTCGAGCTTGATCTCATCTGTAACCCACAATTTTGCGTCTGTGCCGGTGGCCTGCGTCAATCTCTCAAGCTTGCCGGAACTTGATGTGAAGATTGCATTGCCGCCGTCGCTACGGTTGAGATAGGGCGTCATCTGCTCCACGCCGAACACAATTGGCACAGGGACACTCCAGGCCCCGTGGTTGTCGAGCTGGCTGGATGGGCAGGAGAGGTAGTACACCTCGTTGCTGGCATTCTTGCCCCAGATCGTCGTCACACCTCTGTGCGTCATGGCTGCTAACTCGCTGGTGCCCGAAAGTACGTTGCTATCGAGCAACTGTATGGCCACTGACCCGTCAGTCTGGCGTTCAGCTGGGAAATAGAAGAGAGTCGAGTTGTTGACGGCGAACAAGTCCGTCGTTCCGTCTGGAGATGCAAAGGAACCGGGCCTGCGAGCGGCGGCGATGGCAGATGCCTGCGCGTTCTGCGGCAGGCTGAGGCGGCATGGTAACGGAGGACCGTCGCCGAAGGCGTTCTCGATGGGCACGTAGACAAGCTGAGCAGAGTTGCCGGCGGTGCCGAGGGTGTACACTCCGTCAACAAACCCACAGGCGACCCTACCCATGCAGCTCTGATATTCGCCATGCTGAATGTCTACCGGGAGACTATGCGAGGTCCAGTATCTACCGGATGCCTTTTGAGGATCAACGTAATAGCGGACAATGTCCTTGGAAGCCTTATTTGACGAACGTTCAATGTCGACAATGATGTGCTGTCGGCTACCCTGAGGCTCAGCAAACATGACGCGGACAATATTGATTACAGACCCTGAGCCTATGCCGCCCTCTGCGTCAAAGTCAATGGCAGACCACTGAGGTTTCGCCGTCCAGGATGTGTCGGAGCTGGAGTTGGAGAGGGAGAGGAAGAGCTTGTCCGAATTCCCCTCAGATACCACCAAAGCCATCCCAATGGTGCCGTCCATGACGCTCTGTCCCACGTCAAAAGTGCGTACTGACGTGAAACCAGACGAGAGAGGCATGCGGACCCAGCCAGTCTTAGTCGTGCCGCTCTGCTCCATGATTACATTGAAGACGTTGTCCGTGCTTAGCGCGAAGAGCAAGGAGTGGCCGTCTTCAGTTTGGAGAGCTTCAAACTTTGCTGTAGGAGCCACGATCTCTCCCTGGATGTAGTTCTGAATGAGATCGGTCGTATGGGTCATGGAGTATGCCGGCGGGTCGGTGGCTACAGGAAGCTTCGGCGCGGGTCTCGTCGGAAAATGGTCCCGCGAAGGGTCGGAAATCGGGGCATCTGCCCGAAGCGGCGGCTGGAAGGGCTTGGTTGGCGCCGCGTAGGTGATGTCGCAGATCAAGTCTTGGTGGTTGGAAAACCTGGCTGATGTGTACGTGAACACCTTGCCACCAGGGAACACGAAGTTGTGCGGAGTGGCAAAGTTGATACTCCCCAGGTCCAGCCTCGCCAGATCTGTAACCTTGTCCTTGATCTGTTTGAAGTTGTCATTGACGCCTGCATATAAATTCCCCCAATAATCGGCATCAGGTTCCTTTGAGTCGTCCTTTTGCTGGAATTTGTTCTCATCACGTATGATGTTCAGCTGGCCAGTCTGGTCCACGGACAAATCGTAGGTGTCGGTGAAGGTGACATCGTATCCATTCAGCGGTGATTTGGCGACGCCCTCGCACGACAATGATATGACAACCCACAGTCGTTGAGTGATGATGATGGTAGCCTCCTTGACCGTTACCTCACAGGAGTAATGAGGGACGACTGCGAGGCTGTCGTAGAATACGCCCCACATCTCCGAGTTCTCTGTTTGCACACCCGGGTCGTTCTCGGCAGACCAAGTGATGTCAATGATCCATTCCCCTTGATCAGGGGCTCGTATATCTCTGATGTGTGGCCATTGACCAGGAGTAAACTTTAAATCTGGCGTCCAAGTGCCCAAGTTGTCGGTGTAATGGATGTTAACGTCAGAGGTAAGGCAAGACTTCTGAGCGGATGGCAGGATGATATTCATCAACTGCTCGGCGAATACACTTCGCTTGATGGCAATGACGCCACTTTCGCTCTTCACGTCCCAGGGCTTGACCCAGTTCCAGTAAGGATCCGAGACTCCTGGAGCTCCATGACAGTTTGTCATGCAGAGATGGTTGAGTGTCGCCGCGGCAGCCTGTTCGGGGGTCGGATTGTTGACGACACAAGCATTGGAGTCCTTGTAGCGACTGATGCCGACTTCAACCGAAGTCACCTGAAGTGTGGAAGGATCTGGATGGTCTTCAGCAACGGCGGCGACAGCAAGAACCGGTTTTCCGTAGCTCTTGGCTACTTTGCTGAACAGGTCCACGAAGTTCTTCTGCAGGATTTCTACGACGGGAGAACCGGTTGGAATCCCCACGAAATTGGGTGTGCTTTGATCGGCAGCAGTTTCCAGATCCATAAGAGTTTGTTGAAGGCTGTAAGACTTGCTGGGAGGAAGATAGTTGAGTTGAGACTTGAGGTTTCCCTTGAGCTCTGGGCGGTGATTAAAGTAGGGTGTCTCGAGGCCCCAGTCAAGGCCCTTATTGAGGATGTTGACGCCCGTCTCGATATACCACGGCGATCCATAGGGCTGGTTCCAGACGTTCCAACGTCCGTTTGCCACCAATCCATCGTTGGGAATGTTCTGAATTACCTGGAACTCCGAGCAAAACATTCGGAAGAGAGACTTGCCGTCACTCTTGCCGAGCTCCAGGACTGGAAGAAGCTCCTTGGGCATCACCCCTGGGGGCACACCAATACGAATTTTCACGCCCACGATGAAGTTGCTACGAGTGAGCGCCTCAACTCGAGGATCACTCGGTGATGTACCATCTAGGACGTCAAATGGGTTGACTCCATCTGTCCTCTTCAGCAGTTCTTCGAGACTGATCTGGGTTGTGGAGTTCCCGTTATTCGGGTCCTATGAAGGCCATGTCAGCACTCCTGGGTGGCATTCTTGAAAGCACCGCATGCTCAACACTGCTATGATGTGTAATTCGGAAAAACTTACCGAGAGATAGCAAACATAGTTCACTGGCTGATTACTTTCCCAGAGATATTCCAGCAAGCCAGAGTTAATACTGGCCTGAGTTGTGGAGACCACGAAATCATAACTGTATCTGTAGTCTGTAAGATTGGAGTTGCTGGCGTCCATTATAAAAGCTTGAGTGAGGTGAATGTGATGTTATTCAATGAGGCGAGACAACTTGGAGAAGATAGTAAAGTCTCTGTGATTGCTTTTTCATAATCTGCATGGAAAATCGTCCTATTATAAGGTCCGCCGTCAAAATCATCTTGCGCTTAGAAGACTGCCTTTTACGAACCCTTGTCAAGCTCTCATGGCCTACATCTCGCCACTTATGCGGTCGCTGCCACTAGATACCAGATTATCTGTCCATCAATCGGTCGAGACAGCCTCTTGCACCGATTTGGCTCGGATATTCACTCATCCCGACTAGCGAGTTCAGCTGTAGTAGCCACAAACTTAAACGAAGTTCATAGCTCGCCACTAACGACTCCCCTACAACTCTAACATCGCATATATCATTCAAAACCTGAAATATTCATCGCACGGAAATTGATCTCTCTCTCAAGGCTGAGCAGTTGGCATGTCGTCGCTTTTGCCTCAACACCCCTCTGGATTCTTAAATAGCAATGGCCCACTAATTTGCGACTATTGTGATCGTCTTCTGCCAATGAGCTACACATTGCAACAAGAGCCATGGTAGCAGGTATTTCAATGCAAGCCTTTGCATTCCCTCAATAGAAAGGTTGGAATACTAAGGTCACATTGGGGATCGCGATACAATTCACTTCACATGATGGGACGCTCATTTTGCCACAGCAGAATCCCATGGCGGTTTTCTTTACGCCCTAAACGCAGTTTAGACACTTTGAGGCGTGCGACGGTCTAAGGCTAGCCGCCAAAGCTTGGGGGATATGTTAGTGTTATCTTAGAGCTGAAGCAATAGCCAAGACCGACTATCAATTAAGGCAGTCATGTCTCGTAAGTGGCAGAGATTCGAGACAGCGCAGCGTCTTTGCTCATGTCCCGAGTTGCACAACCCCGCTGCAGATGACGTGCGGTAAGGCCTTCTGGGCCGCCGCCACATATCCGTAGTGTACCTTAGTCAACTTGCCATCATTGTCTGATCTGCGGACTTCTGAGACAGAAGGAGATCTTGACAACGCATGCATATTATTGGGAGGAGGCCAGACAAACGAACCGCCCGCATTCCCGAACATGGAATAGAAGTTTTCTTCACAACCCAGACTCACGGAAAACAATTTCGCCTCGCGGAACCAGCCGTGAAACTAGTTTATCACCCCGCAATGGCGGCCTTTCTAGACATAGTCTATAACTCGCACGTGGAGACTTTGGATGAGGATTCGGGAGCGCCTTGCGCCATTGATCGACAAGCGTGCCTCAAGAAATCCTCAACGCATGTCCAGGCGACTGAGATATCTCACAAGCCCTTGTTAGCTTCTCGACAAAGTAGAAGGTTCTGCCAATGGGCATAAAGTAGGACAGAAGGTGGAATTTGTTCCCATTGGCTTTGATGCCCCTGGGCCCCTTCTCAATGTGCACTTGAGAAAGTATTCCTATACGCCTCCGCCTAGTGTCATCGTTTGGTTTTCAAGAAAGCCACGAGAGGGACACCTGTATTCATTTATCATCGAATGCAGCTCCGCCATAAATGATAGACTCGGTATATCAGCTCCATTCGTTGACTCTCGCATCAACATCAAGTGTGATGTGGCTACAACCGACATTCGTACCAACAGCTCATGTTACCTTAATATACTAATTGAAAAAGACCTTCTATCTTCGTTTTCAGGCTTGTGAACTATCTGACGGGCTTCACATTGAGACATATGGCACAAAAGACATAGGAGGAACTGTGCTATTGAACGCAGTAGTAGCATGTACTTAGCAAAGCCATATTTAATTAGTTTTGATACTCTCAATTCCATAACAGACCTCTGACTCAAGCGAAGAGGAACAGATCCCTGCTAACTGAACGTCAAAGCGCTTCCGAGTGCCGAAGTTCCACTGTTGACGATAAGGACAAGACGAAGCCGGCTGCCGGATGAACTTGGAAGTGTGCTGCAAGCCGCCTGCTGAAAGTCTTCTCGTTGGAATAATTTCATGAGACGATTATCCCATCGGTCGACCTACACGCCATTCTAGTCGCTTCCAACTACCGTTAATTAATCTCGGAAGATTCCGATCCCCTCGCTTACCTTAGTCAGAAGCTCCAGTCCTGTTACCTCAAGGTGCCTGCCATTTCGCTGACTGGGAGTGCGAAGGGAAAGACTCAAAATGACCAGGGAAAATATTTTCTATAGCCCGATCCCCGGACAACTTGATTCTCTTACCTGAATGATCCTGGAATGCGTTGAATGACAGGGCGGTTTCAGACTCCACGCAGCTGAGGGCGCCCGTTATTCGACCCTTCTCTTTGATGCTGACACGAGTCATCGCCAAGATGGAGATAAAGGGTCTGCCTTTCTGTGGTCCGTTCCCGAAGCCGAGCTGGATTAGCGGCTTCACTTAATAGCGGCTCGGTTTTAAAGTCAGCAGGTTGCTCGCAAAGCCCTACAGATTTATAGTTCAGAGTGGAACAACAGAGTCATACAGCATGTCGTGACCCGTTCATCCCGTCGGGATTTTAATCAATTTGATACCACCCTTTCCTCATCTGAAGTTTATCTAGAGCTGCGGAAAATTCGCTGAATTCAATCGAAGTACATAAGTAAGCTTCATCGCAGCTCATTCGTCTCAAGAAAGCAATAGAATCACTATCAACAACACCATACACCGAGCCTATCATTTCAGCTTCCAACCAGTTAACATGAAGTTCATTCTCCTCCTCGCTTCCGCCGGAGCCGCCATGGCTTTTGTCGAGTGCCGTACACCGACAAACGCTGAGGTCAGTCTCGATCTGAGACTTGCTAGTTGTGAAGCTCCCGTAGCTGACTTTTGTAGCTCTTCAAAAACTGCCAGACTCAAGAACAACGGGATGGCTGCAAGGGCCAGTGCATCAAGCACGTGAGTTACTCATTCAGAAACATGCTGGGAAATAGAACTAAACATCTTCATAGTGCTCGGACACAACCGCAAACTTGGCTGTCTGCATTGAGTACGTTTACCTCCACAGCCTCATTGATGCTATCATTATTCTAACGAGTGCAACAGCAAGGCGAATAACGACTTTGACTGCGTCTGCGGAACCCAGGCTGGCAGAGGCCCTGGATTCAACTGAGATCATAAATTTGTCTCTGTATTGTCTTTTTCCTGTGAATAGAGCATGGCTTGCCCTGTATTTCAATCAAAAAGAGGAGTCTTGTCTGAAGAGCTACCTCATTTCGCCACAAATATCATTTCTTTACCATTAACAATTTGACGATGTCCCCGCGGAATTGCATATTCCTGAGCCCGAGTCAACAACACGAGCCCCACAGCTCAAACCTCCTTAACGTCTGCTATTCTGAGACTCTGCACCACATCTTTACTGCGATGAATAGGATTGTCCTACATCTGAGGCTTCATGACGTTGAGGCTGTTTGTATGCCTCGACGGCGGGGATTCTGTTTTTTATTCGCCGGCCAAACTCCTCCTTGCCACGGCGGAATACAGCAACCCCCGATTCAGTCCTTTCAGCTGGTGGAGGTTTTTTCCTTTTGGAACACCCAACCTGTCATGGACCATCGCACTTGCTCAAAGTTTCTAGACCGGCAAAACAAACATCGCCTACAAGCAACCATCGGCCACTTCCACACGACTTACCAAAACCAACCTCAGCTTGTTTCGTAAGTTAAATCAGCATGCTTGCCATTGGAGCTTTAATCTACACGAGCGTGTCATATTCTTTCCTGTCGGGGACCTCGTTTTGAGATATCACTTGCTGTTAATACTGAAATACGCACGCTATCGAACGACTAAACTCCTGTGCTGTCTCCATGCCAGACCCAACTCCCAAAACTCGCGCGTCTGAAAATATCCACAGTAGAATTGAAGTAAATCAAGCAAGGAACTAAGCCTTGAACTTCTTGAAGTTACGTCCACCATCAGCCAGCGCCGTCATGTTGGTGTTGCCAACCTTGATGTACTCCTTCTCCTTCGGAATCGCAGCAATCACTTCGTCGGAGAGGCCGAGCGTATCCTTGACGACCTGCTTCGGGGTGAGGGCCAGCCATTGCGCAACGCTAATGTCGGAGAACTTGGGCGCCTGAAGGACCTCAAGGAAGATAACGTCCTCAGTACCAGTGTTCTCGATGTAGTGGCTGTCGCCAACCTTGACATAGCCAACATCGCCGGCGGTGAAGTCAAAGGTACGCGAGGCCTCAGGGGCTTCAAAGATGGTGATGCGGCCAGAGCCCTGCAGGAAGTAGTTCCACTCGTCGCTGGTGGTATGCCAGTGGATCTCGCGCATGGCGCCGGGCTGGACAACGACCAGGGCAGCCGAGAAGTTCTCCGCAATGGGGAATGTTTGCGGGTCGAGGATTTTGACGGATCCTCCGGGGACTTGGAAAGGCTTTTGCTGCGACCAATGGTAGGTGTATGATTCAGCACCAGTCAACGATCCTGCTGATGAGGTCTGGTTTTGCTGTTCAATGTCTTTTGGCGCAGGTGTACCATTGAAGATCTGGAAATGAGTCAGCCAATGCCCCAACCGTCTCAAGTCGGGTCTTGACTTACATAAAGCTGATCCTTGGGAATCTTGTCAAATGCAGAAACATCCGTCTTGAGGTTCTTGGAGAGAACGGACAATGGGTTCCTCAGGAATAACTCGGAAGCGAGGAACGTGTTCTCTTCGCTGAAGCTTCCCTGATCGAAGACGAGGAGGAACTCGGTGCCCTGGTCGAACGCCTGAATGCTGTGAGGGACACCCTTCGGGAAGAACCACACGTCACCTATGTATCTTAGTTAGCTTCATATGGAACATCAATCAGGTTGAGAGAGACATACCTTCGCATACGTCGTCGACGAAGCTCTTTCCGTCCTCGTTCATCGCTGCAATGCGACAACATCCCTTGAGCATGAGCGCCCACTCAGCCGAGGTGTGCCAGTGAAGCTCGCGGTAAGCATTAGGTTGCAGCTTCATATCGACACCCGCCATCGCAGAAGCGACCGGTAGAACTTTAGTGTTCTGCTGCCGCGCCCAGCCGGCGCCCTCTTGGCTGCCGAGGCGGTTATGCGAAAGGCCCAACGGCCACATGGCGTTCTCGACATCGCCCTTGTCGGTGCCGGGCGGGGCAAAGAGATCGGGGTTTAGCTTCTCATAGTCGTAGGTTCCTGCGGGAATTATGTGTTAGCGCACCTCTTCCCTGCAATAGACCCATCCCACTTCAACGCCTCCCCGCTAGGGATGCAACGTACTTGGGCCCGGGTCCGGAGATCCTAGTCCGCCGCGGATCGGTTGCGGGACGTCGACACCATCAAAGTTGAGGTACAAGCCGAGCTTCCCGTCTGCTTCCTGGCCGGGCACGAGTGTAACGTCGTCGACATTGGCTGAGCCGCCAGTTTCGGGGTCGGGTCGCGCTGCATTGCCTCCGAGGAGGCTGGAATCTCCTCTGAGACTTCCCGTAGGTGTAGTCACGGTAGGGATGGGCGGATCGACACCGCCAACGGGGCCTTTGTTCTCTCCATAGTCTCCCATTCTATTCCATTGTTAGCACAATGTACTAATCGTCGTGCTCTTAGGGGAACACTCACTGCGGCGCCGGAATGGCATAGCTCTGCGGCAGAGCCGCAAGCAAGCTAGCGAGGAGGAAAGCACCGTGGGTATACATCGTGTAGGAAAGTAGACTAGAAAAAGACGAAGTCGAAAAGATTGCGCTGTAACGAAAGACGGGTTATTTAGTGTCTGATTCCAAGATGATCTGGAAGCTGATGATTCTGAGATGTAAAGGAAGTCCTTTCCAGACCGGACTGAAGGGCCTTCTTATACCTCGCATTCGCCATAAGACGAACTTAGAACTTGCCTCCAAAGCCTCCCAAAGCATACAAACGACATATGATGGTTCTCGAGCTAGCTATGCTGTGCCTTGACCATCTGCCAGCCTACTTCCCCTCACCCAATCCATGCCATCTACTATCACAAGGCGTAGTGGAATTCGGCGGGACCGATTAAGCTCCCAGCCTTGGCGTCCGGACCGCGATATGTGGATGACATGGGGCTAGCCGCGTGGAGCACGAGCAGTACAGTAGAAGCCGGGGGCAATAGTAGTCTAGATGACGCGTTTTCGCTCTTTTAGGTGTATCGCGAACAGTGAGACGGTTAGCACGGAAAAGACAAAGACCCACGCACGGTTGTACGGCACCGGTGTGGACGAACATATTGATCTGGTCAACGACTAGACTCATGCTACCCTGCGATTACTCACAACCTCCGAAAAGGCGCATCGCCCAGCACGCGCTCAACCACGTTGTCTCACCTTAAATGCTTACAGCCCACGGAGGCTTCGGGAAGTCCATCGCGCCTCGATCAACTCAGCTGGCCTTACCAGGATCAAAGTTGTTTTGCAAAGCACAAATGTTCAGCAAAAGGTTAAAAATAAGGCTTGGTGGTGTCGACGCCCCCCCGAGCGCCTCCAGCGCGGATCATCGAATCTGATAGCGGGAATTCGGTAGCGCCCCACGTTGCATTTCCCCCCTATTGCCGAAGACGGCAGTTGATTGTCTGGCTACATGGTGAAGTCACCGCTCTTAGAAATGGTCCGTTCGCGATTCGTCTGAACCGCCGAACCCTCTTGACGTGTGTTCTTTGTGGGTTACCTTAGATTATTCATGCAGAAGAAACGGACTTACCTGGGATGATTAAGGGTGTGACGAACACCTCGGTGAAAAGAAAAAAGCCCCGGTGTCTCGCAGAAAGCTCGGGATTGTCCGCTTACACCAGACTTATTCAAGATTCAAAAGTTCTAGCTCCTTGATCACTCGGCTGCTAGCGTCCTACCACCGGCCTCTAACCTCACCCGGGCAGAGGAAAGAAGCTTGTAAGAGTTCAGTGACGCGCCAGCCATTTCAATGTCGAAATGTGAGCAATCGAAATTACAAATGCCGCAAACTCCATGCACGAGTACAAGCATGTGTGCTCAACATGGGATTGGGGTTCTTCTCGCTCGCAGTATGTCTGGGCTTGCTTTCATGTTCTTAACACCTACGAGGTGTCGGGATGCTAAACCGGGCCCGGCAGAGACGAAGTCCGGGATATCATTCCATCGAAAGTACAAGATTGCATCATACTCAGAAGAGGGGAAACTTTGGCCTGTCATCTGGCAGGTTTGCTAGATGGACCAAGTCCAAGGTTCAGAAGATGAGACGAATGCAACGTTGTCTGCGCGATGAGCGATGGCAGATGCTAAATAAAGCCTCACAACATGACATAAAGGCAACTGAATACAGCCAAAGCTTGTTCTGTACCCAATTGGGACGTCACTGCTGGCTGAGTCGTCGGATGTCGCTGTGGTTGGATGATTATACGATTTGAGTTGCCGCTTGCGATGCGGAAATGCCGCCACAATGCCATCGTGCATGCGTGCCCGCCGTTGGCGCGTGCGGCTTCATCCGATGCAGGTGGCCTTCTTTTTCTCCTTCTCTGCCCGCTGCAGATCTGTTTTGGCTCAAAAGGGGAGAGCTTGTATCGCAAAGCCAACAATCGACCGGGCAGTTGGGCTTCTGAACACCCTTGATGGTAGCCAAGCCTTGTTAAGCATAGCCATAGCCGTCCATCAGCCAGTGCAACACACTTGGTCATGATCTTTAAGAGTGTTTCATCTACAGAGTTGATCCTAAGAGAGGAGACAAAAGCTCTTTGAGGATTTATCAGATCCCACCGGCATAATCTACTCCTCCACCCGAGAAGCTAGAGGGAGGTATTCCCATGGTAATGCAGTATTCGTACAACCCTGACGCTTTCGACATACAAACTGGGTACTCGATCTAGTGACATGAAATTCGATATTTTCTAAGCGCTAAATCATGGTGTCCTATTGTTTATGGATCCGACCTACTGAATCGCGTGCTCCTCGATGAAGAACAGAGAGAGAGTAGACTGATCGAAGTACGTGATACGACTGCGCACCAGCCCTCCCGCTAAATCAGGCCACCAACAAGCTCTACATTGGATGGAACAGCCATACAAGGCACATCACAGCCACAATGCCTGTTGAGTCTGTTACCAGCAGTATCTTGCCATTACCGTGTAGTGGGGGGCTTCGATTATCACGCCATCTCGCAGCCTCTTGACTGGTACATATCTACTGAAGACAGAGTGAACATCAAGCCTCAACGGCGTGGACATAAATGTAGGCATCAGGTAAGAAAAGAGCAGGATCATAATAATAGTAAAAAGGTTTGTTGTGCTAATGGCCTAGATATTCTTTGACCTCATAGTTCTTCTTCGCATAAAAGAACCACAGTGATATCGTAATAATGGCAATGCCCGCAAGGACAGCGGAAGCATAATTCATTTCATCTGCAACAGCAGGCAGGTAATAGGGAAAACAGTAAAAGATCAATGCAACCGCCGACCATGCAAGCATGACTATGTTCGCTGCAAAGCCAAGTTTGGGATACCAAAAGGGGCCGTGTTTGAAATTCGAGCGGCCTTGAGAAAGAGCCAGGCTAACCGGAATACTATAGCTGATGTATTGAAGTAGCAATCCCGTAGAGATGAGGGAGTTGAAAGCAAGGTCGGATGCGAGGTAAAGGCAGCCGAAGATGGCAGTCCCTGATGCGGAGAATATCAATGACCAGGTAGGCGTATGTAGCGGGGACGGTGCGATCTTGCTCAGGTGACGGTGCATGGGGAAACCGGCCTCGCGGCTGATGGTCCACGCGAGCCGAGACTGCCAGGTCTGAATAGACCAGACGGCGCCGATGGCTGTGATCATCACGGGCACCCACAGACCCACTGAAGCAGCTTTGCTGCCTGTGATGCGGTAGAATAACGCCAGGGCCGAGTTATCGTCAGCTCCGTCAATGACAGGGACATTGATGAGAACAGATGTGACAACAAGGAGTCCGGAGACGAGACCAACGACGATGGTCCACATCAGTGCTTTTGGGATATCCGTGCTGGGTCGGGGCATCTCCTCTGCTAGGTGAGTCGCAACGTCGAGGCACGAGAAGCTCCAGTTGGCGCCATTCATTCCTATGATGAAGGCGATGCCGTTTTGCCAGCCCGAGTTATTTACTGTGGTAGCGAAGAAGTCTTTTGCGGAGGCGTGCTCGTCCGACATGGCGAACAGAGTTATGAAAATGACGACGATGGTGGTGCAGCTGAACAGCAACATGACCTTGGAAATCTTTGGCAGCAGACTCTCGAAACTCGCGCCGAAGACGGTGACGATGTTGAGGAGTTGGAAACCCAGAAAACCCATCCACCGCTTATAAACAAAACTTGGGTCGAGAAGCGTGATGATGGAACAGATGCCGACAGGCACGGAGAGACACGCCGACGACCCCGTGGCGACGGCAGCAAGCCAGCTGATGACTGCCGTGATGTACGACAAGAACCGGCGAGAACTCGGCGGTGCCAGCCTGTGGACCCAGATATACTGCCCACCCGGGTGAGGCATAGCCGAGGCCAGCTCCGCGAGAGTTGTGGCAGTGGCGAGGCCGACAAAGGCCATGACGAGGAAACCCCAAAAGAAGAGCGGCGAGCCGCCCATGGGCAGAGTGCTGCCGAATACTAACAGCAGGCCGATGGCCGTGTTTGTGGTTTCGTAGCCGATACCGAGAGCGGACAGAGTCGTAAATGGCTTCATGGTTTGCACGGTGACGTCTCCGTGGACGATGGAGCCGTGCTCTGTGGCTTCGTTGTCCGCTTTTTCGGGCATGGCGGCGACGGTGTTTCGAGTTGTGGCTGCTGAGGCCTTGTCGAGTGAGGAGGATCGCTGATCCATTGTGGTATCGGTGGCTGAAGTGTTCGCCAAGGGCGAGGTCTCGTCCAAGATGACTGACTCTGTGGATATATGCGTAGGTAGTGAAGGATAGAGGGAGGGGCTTAAAGGGAGATTGCCTCCCTCAAGTCTTGGGGGTGGAGTATCGAGGGACCAAGTTAAGTAGACGCCCGTCTCTTGTGCATGCTTGTGCGGCCAGCTTGATGCAACTAGGTGGCAGCACGAGACTCGCGTTGACCGACCAGAGGCAGTTTGCTAAGCCGAGATACCATCTCGTCCGCAGAAGGCAGCTTGGAGATAACATGTCCCGAACTCGTTTCCTGGGGTTGCCGCGCTATCGGCTCGCATTTCGCACCCAGTTACCCGATCCGGCAAGCCAGAGCGGACCCATATCCGCTCCCGGTGCCCCGCATCCCGACCCCCTCATTCGCCGACACCGGCAGAGATCGCGGGTGAGCTGCAGCGGAACGATGAGAGTAGTAATGGACACGATCATATGTTTCCTCTGAATCGATACCGAGGTCAATGTAGATGAAGCTTGCGTTCTTAGAGCTCAGGATCCGTGTTCATCGTCAAATCACTCAAGAAGCTCTGGATTGGTGACCAATATCACCCCTCCAGTCTCTACCACGGTGCCATCAACTTACACCAAATCTCACCAGAATTTCAAGATGGGGGTGGAAGATGAGCTCTCTTCATACCTTAGTGAGTCACTAAAGACAAATCTCAAAGTCGTACTTTTCTGACCAACTGTTTCAAGATCCCGAAACAGCCAGGTTTCTCCTAAAGGTTTCCAAAGCCATCTCCCAAGACCCAGGCTTGCCCCGACCAAACCCAACAATATCATCATGGCAGGTTCCAGAGCACCATGTTGCATCAATCCAATCCTCTTCACTCCCCAAGCAAACCGACTTCGCGGTCATCGGGTCCGGCATCACCGGCTGCAGCGTCACGAAGACGCTCCTCGAACACCAGGCATCGCGCAACTCCCACGTCACGATCTTTGAAGCCCGGACACTCGTTAGCGGTGCCACGGGCCGTAATGGCGGGCATCTCGTCACTGCTTCGGGGCATACTTACGGCCCCATAGCTGCGCAGCATGGTGTTGAGGCAGCGAAGCAGATTACCCGCTTCTCGATCCTCAACGTTGAGCGAATCATGAAGATGGTCAGAGATATGGACCCGGAGATCCAGAAGCGGTGCCAGATTCGTGATGTTCTCAAAGTCATGGCTGTCGGGGATGAAGAGACCTGGGATGCTGCCAAGAGCTCGGTGTTGGGGTTCCAACAGGCGGTCCCAGAGCACAGCAAATATCACCGTATCATCGAGAGAGACGATGTTCCGGAAGTATGTGCTCATCATTCTGATAATGGTTCTCTGAGCTTAGTTGGCTAACCCTCTGATCATAGCGATGGAACATCAAAGATGCCAGCGGAGCTGTAGAGCACAATGCCGGCGCCATCTGGCCATACCGTCTTCTCATGGGAATCTACGAGGATCTTGTAAGCCAATACCAAAACCGCCTGGCAATTGAAGCAAACACGCCCGTGCTTCAGATCAAATTCTCGCCGTCCAGCAACCCAGAATACCCCTATCTCATCACAACTCCAAGAGGCACCATTCGCGCCAAAAAGGTCATACACTGTACCAACGGCCACGCATCACATCTCCTCCCACAACTAGCAGGCCGCATATACCCCTTCCGCGGCACAATGTCCGTCCAGAGACCCGGCCCGATCCTCAAGAACCTAGGAGCCTCGCGCTCGTGGAGTCTGTCTCACAAGCCGACCCTGGATGTCCGAAGCGGTCTCTACGTGACGGGCCTCTACTACCTGCAGCAGAACCCCTTAACCGGAGGAATCTGGATTGGAAACGAGACGGCGTACATGAAGGACATCTTGACGTCGGATGACACCTACGTCCCGAAAGAAGCGAGAGAAGCTCTGTCAACGGTGCTGCCGAAGTTCTTCCTTAAGGGGTGGGCACCTGAGGCGAAGACGTCCGAGGTGGAGGCAATTTGGTCTGGCATCCAAGGTCACACGGCTGATGGTCTCCCGATCGTAGGAAGGATCCCAGACTCGATCGCAGGAGAAGCCGGTGGCGGACAGTGGATCGCTGCCGGGTTTAATGGGTATGGGATGGACAAGTGCTGGCTGACGGGCGAGGCTTTGGTCAGGATGATGTTTGAGGAAGATGTCGGCGACTGGTTCCCGCAAGCGTACGTCGTCACGGAGGAGCGTTTGCGAGGGAAGTTGACGTCGGACGAGACATTGCTCAAGTTTGCAAAGCTCGCGAATCCTCAGGGGGTCAAACTGTCTAAACTCTGAGCTGATTCCGACTTGTCGATCTAGAGGATGAATAGAAAACCGTCATGGCCAGATAGAATAAAGTTCATAAAAGATACATATGGATCATACAGTATTTGCTCCCCAAGCTAGCCCATCATCGTCCCAAGATTCTTCTCACGCGCGATATCGAGCCAATACACATCCTCCTCACCGACATCCAGCGCCGCCCACGTATGATCAATCAACTCAGAAATGACCCGACTCTTGCGAAGCGGCAAAATGTGCGTATAAGCCGCCAGCCGCGATCGCACAAACTTACGCGCTCTCGCCACCTCGATAGACGCAGGACCGATATCCAGCACATCCGCCCCGCTGTCACCATATCCAGCATCCGGCTGCCGTAAATGCTGAGGCTCCCTCCTCAACTCGCTTGAAATAGCCACCATAATGAAAGGCTGCGCGCTACGCGTCCGCGATTCAAAGGGTATATCGCGCAAGATGCCGAGGATGTACATGGCAAGCTTCGTCAACCACGTCCTCCTCTCTCTCGCCGAGGGGACTTTGTTGCTGTCTACCCCGACTCCTGCGGCTGCAGACATAGGGACCGGACGCAGGAGCCGCTCCCTGTCCCACGGTGCATACCGCTCATTCAATAAATCTGGAAACACGCGGTACAGCTGTAGAAGACCGGTACACCGGTACGCCTCGTCAATGAGCTCCAGATGCCGCAGCGGTGTCTTCGGATCACCCGGATCTGTAACGCGAGACAGATCAGGCGGACGATGCGCAAGAAACGCGCGCTCGAGTTGTCTTGCGGAACGGAGGGCGGCGCGGAAGACATCTAGATCCGTCTCGGTGAGGAACTTGACGGCGGCCATATGTTTCCGGTACTGGAAGATGAGTATGCCCGTGTCGGTGAGCAGTCGGACAGTGGCGTGGGATATGCCCGAGTAAGGGTGCGGCTCGATGGACTTTGATGGGTCTGCTGGGCCGATAGAGGTGGTATGGTGGTAGTCGCCTAGTTGGGTGCTGTCTGTCAGGTAGGCGAGCAGCATGGCCCAGTAGTCCATGGTATCGCTGAAGAAAGACAAGCTCGCGTCTGCGTCGCTGCCGCGTGTCTCGGCGGAGACGTCTTTGAGCATGCTGCAGCTTGCTCTGAACATGTCTGTCGCGAGGTTCTGGGGGCTGAGCCAGCTTGAGGTGTGGCCGAGGAGCGTTGATGAGAGAAGCATGGCACGCTTGTGTGTTGTAGTCATTGAGGTTGACAAAGGTAATGCCGAGGGTCGATCGCGGATGAGTTTGAGGGCGTTGCCGTGTTCTCTCCGCGCGACGGGCAGGAGGTGCGGGAAGTCTTCTGAGAGGCAGGCGGCGGCCATGCTCTGGATGGTGTGGTACAAGGCGCCGGAGGACTGCCACATTGTCTCGACGATGTTGCGCATCACGTTTGTCTTGCTGTCCCAGGCGCAGTAGAGCGTGATGACCTCCCGGAAGAAGTATTCGGAGAGCGAGGTTGGCAGATGGGAGAGCTCTCGTGGGCTGCTCTCTAGGAGTTGTTTACATGGCCTGGTTTGAGTATTATCGAAGAAGGGCAGAGTACTATTCTCTTGAACATCGACCACGGGGCTTTCACTCGGGAACAAATGTTCCACCTCCCGGTCCTCAGCTTGAGATGACGACGTTGTCGGGCTGTGGCCATCAACAGTCCAAGCTGAGCTAACAAAGGGCGCATCCCAGAATGGCGTTGTGGGAATCGCATTCTGGCTGCTAAGAAGCAAAGCGCACGATGAAGCATCAAGGGAGGGCATCTCATGTGGCAGAGCAGGAAGATCCCACTGTAAAGGGTTGGCGAGCCACGGGTCCACGTGTTGCAATACGTTAGTGTCGGTATAGATCGGGGTTGGCGAACCGGCTTCGATGCGCCGAGGACTTGTTTGAGATGCCGACTCTTGGAGTTCCCGTTGTCTGGCTGGGCTTCCACCTGCAGCCTTCTGATCGACGCGGACTTGGTGCTTTCGCGACCAGCGCACGTTGAGGGCGTAGCCTGGGCACTGGATTCCTCTCTCCTCACACCGGGCGCATCCGGGTTTTCTCTCGTCGCATTTTGTCTGGCAGCAGCGTGTCAATTTGTGTGATGGAAGAGAACGGGAGAGATCCCACAGTGTCCATACCTTTTTCGACTTGCATCTGAGGCATCCGCCCCTTGATTTGGTATGCATTGCTCTGGAGGACTGCATGGAGTGGGGTGAAGCCAAGACCCTTGATAATCTGAGAGTCTTGGTAATGATACAGAGATGATTTCCAAGAGTTCGTTCTGGATCAATATGCGGTTTTCGCAGTGAAAGTTGCCTATTGACTGTTCAAGGTAGAGTGGGTGAGAAGCCAAAGTTGGAGGTTGGAGTAGATAAGTTATCATTGAGTAGACCAACCTAAACCTCTTATCTCATCCGAGTCTAATAAGGTCCTCCATAATGAACGAATGCTAGCGCATCCCGAGACCCCCGGTCCAGCGTTGTGACAATCCCCCGCAATTCTCAACTGCGTCTAACGCGAACCCGGTCATGCGGGGGAAGGGGTCTCTCCGGCAGACGGCAATTCAGACTCAAAGGTTGGATAGCATCGGAATTCAGCTCTTGGCAATTTAGCAACGCACTCTGTCTTTTGAGGTGTCGATAGAAAAAGAGGTGTTTTAATCAAGAATTTCACTCTTCCCAAAGTCTTCACAAAGTCTTGACCATGTTTTCACCGATCCAACTCATGGACAACTCACACCCATATTAAACTCACATACTACGAAATACAATTCCTCACACACTCACTTACCCACCGCCCCTACCATCCCCAGCCTTAGCCACAGGCTCTCTCACCATGGTAAACAACCGAATCGAATCCCCTTCATCATCACAAATCATCTCCTTCTCAAACACAAACCCCCACCGCCCATAAATCTTCACATTCGGCACGTCCTTACTCGACTCCAAATAACACTTCACACCCTCCTCATCAGCCCGGTCCGTAACGACCTTCATCATCTTTGCGCCCACACCCTTTCCCTGCGCAGATGGAAGCACAACCATGATGTTGAGAAAGTAGTATCCCCTAGGATCAGTCCAGATCTCACTCTGGGCTTTGGCTTGAGCCTCTTTCCAGATGTAGTACCGCTGTATTCTTCGTCAGAATGAGATCCAATGAGTTCAGAGTGAGATGTAGATGAGATGGAATGAGACGAGGCTGCATACCTTGACGTTCAACCCCCCGCGTCCATACCACAGGTTATAATTCACCTGTCCAAACCAGAGCCGCCATCCCTCAAACCAATCATTCCACGTCGGCGGCGCGTCGGCAGGCTGTGGAGGGAGCCACATTGCCACGCCGAGAACCTCGTCACTACCTTGCTCTTTCGCGACGTGGAATATGCCGTTGCGCATGCCCCATCTCATCCGGAGGGCCAGGGACTCGTAGTTTCGTTGCTGGTTGAACTATAGTATGGTGAGCATCCTGGGAAGCATAGCTTGGCGGAGTTGGGATGAGGTTATACCTTTGATTGATCGTATACCCAGACATTGTACGGGTCGCCGCTGAATGCTTGTCTGCGAGGTATAGATCATTAGCATCAAGGTTGGACTTGACGAGCGTATCGTTTTGATGTAGGTAGTGCTACTCACTGTACTGCCTTTACTGCCCCTGGAATGTCCGCCTCAGTGAGATCCGTAACTTCAATCGTCATCTTAGGCGAGGTTCAGTGAGCTACAGATGATGATGAATGCGTTTCAAGGTTCTAGAATGAGATGGATGTAGTGTGACACTTCAAATGGTATTCTCAGCCAGACTTCAAAAATAATGCGTTTCAATTGAGATTGAATTGACATAAAGACCAGATCAATTCTCTGGCTGGCGATAGCTAGTACAAAGCAACCCCCAATCTCCAGGTCGCGTGTGGTCTGCGGGGTACAGACAGTGTTAGTTCAGATTGATTATCAAGGGGAGATAAGATCGCATAGACTTTCCGCGAAAGGCAAGGCGGGAAACTCGGCGCAAGCTCAAGCAAGCCAAACCTCTCTCACCCCGCGTGCCGGCGCCAGCTCGGCTCCTCCACACATTGGAATTCGAGACCGAGACTGAGAGAGAGCGTAATCTTGCCAAGGACCCCCGACCTCCGATCACATTCCACACATATCTCACCTGACTATGGGAGACAAACCGACAACGGGACCCTGAGACTTCTCACTTCCCCGCCAAGCTATCCGTAGATCATCCGCCCAACGGGAACCTGTGCGACAATCCGAACATGTGTGAACCTACATATAACCTTCCCTTCCCTCCCACCGGAGTGACGTCGGATTAGTGGCGAGAGACAAACGCTTGGCCACTGCAGTCTTTTTTTCCCTTTTTTTTTTTTTTTTTTTTTTTTCATTTTTCCAATGTCCATGTTTCAATCTTCAGCCAGACACGGGACGCGTCAGTGAGGCAGGCGCAGCCGACGCTGTGGCCAGCTTCGTCCGACTCAAGTGAGCAACACCAAGTCAGTGAAAATCAGAATCAATCGATGTTGCTGTCGAGAAGACATAGGTTTGAAGATGTAAAATATGCCATTGGTATTCGCTTAATTATGATTATTTTAGTTATGCAATGCTCATTTGCCATGAGGAATTTGTCAAAAGCCCACCAGAAACCTGTGGTGGACGGGGAAAGTCGTTGAAGGTTCGCTCACTCTTTGGGGGAGCCTTCCGATGCTTTCCGGTGAAATGAAGAAAATCTCATCTCAACATCAACGTGTCGCCATGCTTCCTTCCATGCATCCTTTTCTTCAAAATAGGGGGTTTCGGTCTTTTGAAACGTGACCAAATGCAACCCCCAAACCGATAAATCCAACATTCTCTTTTGAGTCTACACCCCCTCACAGATCCTTCTTCTGATCCTGGGGAATGGGGTTCCCCTTTTCATCCACAAGGCCCTTGGCGCGCATGACTTTGAGGGCGTCGTGGAGGGGATCGAGTTCGGGCTGGGGCGCGCGGTGGGAGTCAAAGTAGTTGTCGGCCCAGGTGAAGTACTGGCCGTAGTTGACGGTGAAGTACATGTGGTGGAGGGTGTGGTGGGCGGGGCTGTTGATGTACTTTTCGAGCCAGTGACCCGAAATCATGTCGCCGTCGTGAATGAGAATGGTCCAGATTTGGACGAGGACGAAGAGACCCATGTAGAGGTATTTCTGGATAGGGCAGAAGAAGACAAAGACACTAAGGAATGTTAGTTTTATTGTGGCACGTAGTCACCAAGTTGAGGCTCAAGTGGCTCTCAATTGGTGATGGCGATTCTTGAGGGCTAACTGACTGGTAGGGCAGAGATTGAACGTAGCCGTCGAGGGGGTGAAAGGCGAGGGCAGCCCAAGGTGTAGGCACTAGATACAGTCAGTTGAGGCCATGGAAATAAGCGTCGGTCAATCGACCGGGAAAAGAAGTGGTGAAACGGGGTGACATACCAATCCACTTGTGGTGTGGCTTGTGGATGTACTTGTAGACGGCGGGGTGGTGCTCGAGGCGGTGAATCCAGTAAATGGCAATATCATTCCAAACCATGAAAATGGTAGCAGAAATAGCCATCCACCAGAGACCATACTCCTCAACGTGGGTGTACAGCAGACTCTTTCCGCGAACCTCGGCGAGGAAAAACGGCAAAGTCAAGATGTTGATAACGGGGACGGCCTTCATGGAGGAGATCATCTCTTGGCGGATCTGGTTCTTGAGGAAGCGCGGGTGGTACTCGAGGCGGCGGTCAAAGATGAGGTAGTAAGACAGCGGACTGAAGATCCAGTAGAGGGCGCAGGCGCCTAGCTGGGTGATTGCGAGGATGGAGATGGTTTGACGCAGGATACTATCGCGGGGCCAGGCGGAGCCATACGAGTTCGAGAGGTCTAGTGGTGATGATGAGGCAAAGGCGTCGCCGGTCGCGTTGTATGCGCCGGTGCTGGCAGTGGTGGGCGCAGGGACGAAGTAGGCGTAGGCCTTGTCCAGGACCAATGGGTCGAGGAGCTCCAGCGCGACGTCCATGTTGGGCCGGCTTTGTATGTGGCGTGGGTGTTCGTTATTTGTTGTCTCTGTTCGGCAACGGGTTGCGCAGGAGATTTAGAGAGACGGAGAGACGCAGGTGGTGGGATGCGAGGTTGATGGGATGGCAGCTATCGGTGCGAGAGGTGAGGGAGGGAGAGAAGTGAATGTGAGAGGAGGCGAGATGTAGATGAGAAGGAAAGGAATGACAAAAGAGTCACGTCGCCGATAAAGGTGTTCCGATGAAGTTGCGCTCGCTCGCAGCTCGGTCGATCGGTCTGGCGGTCCCTCTATTACTGTTGCTGGCAGCGCTGTTGTTGCTTCGGCGTCTGCTTTCTGCTCAGGGGCAAAGGAAATGGCAGAAACATTTTTGGGATCCGTTTATTTTCACCCACATTAGCACATTGGAGCAAATTAGTCAACCACCGCCCACCCCTCCCACCAAAGAGCTCCTTCCGTGGTGCGCGCTTGCGACCAGTAACATTGGGCGACAAGGGACGGGACGGGAAAGAGGGATGGCAAAAAAAGTGCGACCACCTCCTGCCTGCACTGCTGCAAAGGTACAAAATACAATAGAATCAGCACATCAGGCAAGAGGGAGGAAGGAAAAAAAAAAGAAGGGACCCGCCAGATGAAATGATGGCGCTAAGCTTCATCTGTTCATTTAAACGAGGTCGGGCTGATCATTTTGGCCACTCACAGCAGCGTCTGCCCTGCATCTTCCCCTCTGGCGGGGTCTTTTGAGAAGTACGTATAGTCTCGATTAGGTACGTACCCACTCCCGGCGCATTCTGGTGGTGGTGGTGTCACTTTGGCAATGGCTGCCGCACTGCACAGTGATGGACATTGGGTACACCCATCAAAGCAGCATGGCAGAATGCGCCAACGCCGTGCTTGTGCCATCTGATTTGCCAATCGCTTTCTCAAGTACACCGGACCTGATCCTTACCCTCCATTACCGCCTGTAAGCTCTCCTCAATTGAATGCGCTGATTTGGCGCATTCGAGCAGATTGTTGAGCTGCACACAACATCGAGCAACCGCAACACTTTGGGACTTTCGGGCTACTCGGTGTCCGTGCGGCGCCCCGAAGACGGAGTTACGAAGTATCATGGTGGGGATGGTCTCGCCGGATTCCCAATGGGATTTCAAGGAGAAATGGAAAGCGGGGCGGATCTCTCGGGAATTCGTGCTGCCAGTCGAACCATTCTGTCACCATTCTTCCATGGCCATTCTCCATCTTCGCCACGGGTGAGCACGGGAAGACATGTGGATGGCATATCCCAGCATTCGGGATGCGTTATCCTTTTCTGCCATCTGTATTTCCTACCATCACACTTTTGCCGTGTGGCATACATAATACTGATGAGTGATATATCTCTGGCGCTGTTGATCTTGAATCCCGAGCGTCTCTTTACCAGACTTTATGTCCGATGCCCGTGGTGTTGCTGGAACGCAGGAATGATAATGGCAATTGCTTTTCGGGCGACTCAGGCAAGGATCCAAAGCAAACGGCAGTTTCGATCATGCTACAATCTGCAACGACTCGCTGGTTTGAGAATGAAACGGACTCTGATCACAGCGGAAAAAAAACACCCGTTAGTAAGCTCTCAACAGCGACCCAATTGCTTACAGCTTCTTGATAGCTCGGTGATGATGGTTCTTAGCGCACTTTTCGTATTCGGATCGCCCAAGACTCGGGCGCTCCACACGATCGACATTTTAACTCTAGCGCCTCACAGAGTGTGGCAGCAGAACAGGCTGAACAGCTACCCAATCACGTTAGAGAATGGGACAAAGCTGTGGTAGAATATCTATCCCAAGCCTAGAACGTGGGATGGTAGTTTTCAGAGGCTCTGGCAGAAACTCTAATACCAACCTTCTATCAAAAGACCTGCCGGGGTTCAGGCCAACGGCAAGTTCATGTGGTAACCGGACTAATTGATGGTGCTATCATTGAGGTGCGGTATCATGGCGATAACGTAGCTTATGTAATAATCATCAACATGGGAGGAAGGAGCCGTCGCAGTACATACTTGCAACCCCCCGTCGCTGCTGCACTGTTGCCTAAGCCCTTATGGGAAGCTCATTCGAGATGAACAACTTCCCTTCTCCGCAAATCTCGTCCCAATTCACTTCTTCTCAGACCTCTCCCCCATCGACCTCCGTCTCCCTCTACCCGTCTCCAACGGCGGCGCGGAATCCGGCCTCGCAGCGCCAAGATCGGACGTGGAGACCGTCTTCGGACGCTCGTTCCCAAGCCAATTGCATAACACGACCCTCGTTACTCCCACTTGTTCCTTGCGTCGATAAGGGGATACCTAGACAAACGACGTCTCCCAGCAGAGCGGTTCGCCGCCGCCGCCCCCGGTTGGTTCGCACCCATCCATCCACGCATATCTAGTATCCGCAAGCCAGCCGAGCCACGCGATGCCAAATACAGGCAGGCCGAGTCCAAACTGCCACTTGTGCCGGAGCCGAAGGGTCAAGGTGAGAGAATGAGACAATCAGACACACAATTCCGTATGAGTACCTAAACGGGTCCCTCCCGCCCTCCCGCTCCCGCTCGCAAGTGCGTAGCGTCGTCGCGTGTTATACCTACTTTGTGCCTTTGGTTCACTGATGGATACATGTACCTACCTATCGTACCTACTTTGCCTTATACGTGTGAACAATCATCCCAAGTCTCCATCGCCATGCAGCTGACAACTGGGGGGTCCGGCCGTGCGCCGTGGCCGCGGCATGCAAAAAGTGCGATTTAGGCCGGCCTCAGTGTCAAAGATGCATCAAGTACGGGGTCCAGTGCCCCGGCTACCGCGACGATGACGGGATGCGCTTCCAGAATGCCGATCCCACCTCGTTCGAGCGACGGAAGAAGAAGAGGAACCACCAGCAGCACCCTCACCAGCACCAAGACCAGGACGATGAGGCGATGTCGACGACCAACTCAAGGACCGGGACCTTGCAGATCATAGAATTCACACCAGAATTATCGACAGCGGCATCGACCTCCACCTCGGCGTCCCCTACATCGAGCCGCCAGCCGAGCCGGCAGTCCACACCTGCCACGAGCATCACCACCGACACCACTACCTCGACGCAGCTCTCCGTAGCACTTCCCGTGCTCAAGACCCTCCGTCAACACTGGACCGCCGAGTCCATCCCGCTGGTTCTGGGATTCTACGAGAGCCTGGACTTTCTCCCAGGCTTGTTCCGGGGCGCCGGCCAAGACCACTGCCTCGTGCTTACCGGCCAGGTCTTTACCAGGGCCTACATGATTAACAAGTTCCGTCCCAGGGCCGACTACCGTGAGCTGTCCATCGTTCTCGGCCATGCCCTAGCCGCGGTACAGGAGGCTATCAGGAACCCGAAGACGTATACTTCTGATTCGACGATCGTTGCGGTTTGGTTGCTTGGGAATTATGAGGTAAGTGAAGAGGCTTGTAACATGCTATTCGCAAGACACCAAACCCGAACCTCGGCGTGCAGTGTGCTGGATTGTTGGCGTATTGCTTTTGGCGACCAGGGGACTAAATCGAAATTCTGACAGCTGATGATTGGCGGGTTGGAACGGAGATCATTCATTACCAACAAAGAAAGGGGTTCGTCGCCCGAAGTTCCCTGGCACATTCATGGCCAGGGCCTCCTCAGCCTCATGCGCGCAAGGGGGGACCGGCAGCTCTACACCCGGTCCGGCCGTCAAATTTTCTGGGTCATGCACAATATGATTGTAAGCAAGACACTCAAGACATGCTCGGTACTGGTTTACTAAACCCGTATGTTAGCAAGTCCAACTGACGATTGCAAACACACCCTGCCCCCCGGACTTTGAACGTTGGCTTGACATCATCGAAGCCACCCTCCAGCCTAGCGAAGGCCTCCTCCTTCACACCGCCCGCTACCTCTCCGCAGCATGCTCCCTTCTATCGAAACTGATTCCGTTAACACTTAGCGGCGATGCCTCCCGCGCCCGGGAAGCGTACCCGGCCCTCATTGCTGAGAGCGACCGGGCGGACCTCGCCATGGCGGAGTGGATGCACGCGGCGCCCGAGTTCCAGATCGAACCGGGGCCGATGTGGGGCTACTTCTGGAACTCGTGGCGGAGCGCAAGGATCAAGGTGCACCACATGATCATTCTTATTTCGAATCTCGTGGAGTATGGTGAGCCGACACTGGTCCCTGAAGATTACGATGCAGACTGTGGTGGGTGTCCGTTGTTGAACCCGGAAGTCCTTCACGCCCGGCGGGAATTCTGCATGGGCATCATCGCGACGGCCGGTCGGGACGTCGTGGAGGGGATACCGAGGTCTTTGGGCGGGAAAATGCCGGACCTAGACCCGGATCTGCCCTCGTCGTACTTCGATGGCGTGAGGTTGATCTGGCCGCTGAGCCACCTGTATATTCTGCCGACGGCGCCGCGGCACCTGCGAATCGTGGCAAGGGATGCGTTGTTGAGGATCGCCAAGGAGAAGGGGATCTTGACGGCGTTGAAGCCGAGGGCGGGCGGGATGCTGTTCCCGGAGGCGGCGTTGAGGGGGATCCCGGTGGATAATTTGGAGGATGTTATGGAGGGCGGCGGAAGAGTGCATCAGATTGCGACCAAAGCTGAGGCGCAGGACTGATGATATACTCTGGGAAGAGGGTCTCAGGAGAGTGAGCTCCTAGGCTTGGGGCGCGTATATTGACTTCTATGAGATGTCCGAACTGTAAAGTCGGGGTTTAGTAACTTCCGTCATCCGGGTACGGACCCGACATTTCGCTGTTTTGTCGTTGGGTTCTACGGACATGTCTATTTAGTTGCACCCGTCGTCGGCTTGTTCCCTCGGGGTATTCGCCCGTCGGTGCTAAACTCAATTCGCCGATGAACATGACATCAACACTTGAGTGCACAGCCTACCAGCCAAAGTGAAAAAGTGATGTTCGTGCGCCTAAGGTATTTCTTTCAGCTTCGCTCTGGGGGCTCTGGAGGCTGCCTACGCTCGCATAGCTTGCTGCTCCCCCTATGGTTGATCATTGACGATCGCACCTCTGCCTTTTACCCATTTTTCGCAGTCTGACTATCCGTAGGTAGCTACGAATTGTTTCCCATGGGCTATCGTGGGATCGCATGTAGAATTGACCGCCCTTCATGAGAACCGTCGCAGCGAAGGGAAGGTCTCCTCAGAAAAGACCATTGAAGATCGCGGGTCAAATTGAATCCGCTCAAAGGTACCAAGGACCCCTCACTATGTTCAAGGGATAGGACTGAGCACCAACGATGCTCAAACGCGCGCAGCCCACCGTGAATATGCATCATTGATCATGGATCCAACCTTTTACTACGACTCACTGGCTCAGGGAACGAGAAGCTTGTTTCGACGTGTTAGCGCCGAATTCGCGTTGCTGCGGCCTGCGCCGTTCACAGCGGGAGCTTGTCTACGGTGTAGAGTTACTGGTGTAAAAGTAAAGAGTTTTGATCAGTTGCGGTACTGCGTGCAGGGCCGTCAGCAGAGCGCGGCACTTCTGAGCCGAGTAAGCCTGCCCCATGCCGGAAGAGGAAAACCATTCGACCCCGTTTTTGTTGCTTTCTCTGGGTCCTATGAGCGCCTTTGAACTTTGACGTATTTGTGTGGTGGGTGAGTAGTCGCTGGTGAGATGCGGTGGTAGGATTCTGGCCGTGTGCCGATTATCCGAGTCGCGAGATAGGGCGCGCGACCTGGGAGTAAGGTATCCTGAGCCTATTCCCGAATAGTAGCGTTTCTCGAGGTTCTTGGGGGAAAGACTCGAGGCTTTGGTGGCTCAGCCACTGGACTGACACGCCCTGTGGATGTACATCAATCTCAATTACATGCTTAGGTACTACGAACCGAAAGGGCGAATACTAACAATAAGCCTCGATTCACAAAGGGAAAAGATCTCTCCCGTAGAGAGTAACCAGTGAGATGCGTCGTTAATCGATAAGAGGCCTACCCGCTCCCGCGGGCTTAGATTGCGTCTAGATAAGGTACGGCGCTACAACTCCCTTGTGCCCCTCACCAACCCCAACAAGCCCTGCCGTCCTACACGTCAACCACCCCGGGGCGCCGCTGATGCGCTTCGACAGCTTATTGGATACCGCAGCGACCGTTGGCTTTGGAGGATGGCGGAGTTTTGGTTAGCGGAGGATTTTCCAGCGAATGTAAGTAAGCGAATGCGATGGATGGGGACGCCGATGCAACGGACGCGCAGGCTGGCAGATGGGGCCCCAAAGGCTTGTTTCTGACTTACAGCTAGCTGCCTATTGAATATGGGGCCGAGGGGGATGTATGGGAGGACTCCCTCGCGTGTAAGGTGGTTTTGGAAATGATATAATTACCTGGCTTGGGAGCTCTAGACATCTGGAGTATTCGAACCATCATCAATCTACTTCACTCTAGAATACGACTAGCACAACATACCTAGTACTTTTGTCTTATTATGCTTGTGTGCGAAGCTCTCATCCAGGCCCGCGGCCTTCTTCGCGACAATGACAGCAGCGCGAATAGCACCAAGGATACCTGCCCACACATCTCCCTCGCCGAAGGTCAGCCTCTTCACTCTCACCTAGTCTGTCAATACCATGGCTTTTGTTGCTAACACCGGCTCAAGATGCATCTCAACCCCTCTTCGGCACCATGTCCTTTTACACATTCAACATGATCCTCTCCGGTAGCTTCGCCGCCGCATCGTGCCTCATCATCTTCACCCTCATGATCCTCCACGCGACGCATCTCAGCAAGAGCAACGAGCAAATCAAGTGGGTCAACCTCCTCGTGGTCATCCACAACCTCGCAACATCAGGCACAGTAGAGCTAATCCTTCGGCACAGAATCCTTAGAATCTCCCTCATCATCCCCTTCTGGTCCATCATCTCATTTCTATCAATCTGCTTCCCCACGGCAGAGGTCTACCTCCACCCCTGGCTCGAGTTCGTCCAGTCCATCTGCCTGGCCACCTTCTTCCTCCTCCTGTGCGAGTTCGTCTCCCCTAGCGAGCAGCACAGGGATGTCTTCTTCGCCGGCATGACTGTGAAGAATAAGAAGGCTGCCAATGGGGAGGAGAATGGTCTCCAGTGGTACAGGGTGAGTTGAACTACATCCCGTCAAGCATCGTAGGGGTACACATCTAACATGCCATCGCAGAAAATGTGGTTCGCCGTCTTCCAGTACCCGGTTGTCGCTCTCCTCGTCGCCATCTTGACTGCCATCACCCAAGCTGCTGGAGTCTACTGTGAATTCGAGAGCAAGGTGCATTTCGCCAGATTATGGGTAAGTCAAACCTAAAGTCCCTCCCACCAGATCATCGTCCCGAAAACCCCATCTAACAATTTCCCCAAAGCTGCAAATCATCGGCACCGCCTCCCTCACAATCGCCCTCATGACAGTCATCCGCTTCTTCATGCAACTCCGAACAAAGCTCTCCCACCACCAACCCCTCGCCAAATTCTTCGCCTTCAAGCTCGTCGTCACCCTCACTTTTCTCGAAAACATCATCTTCTGGATCCTAAAAGACACGGGCGTCCTCAACCCGACAGCAACGCTCACCGACGCTGACCTGCGCATCGGGATCCCTTCCATGCTCATCTGCATCGAGATGCTGCCGCTCGCTGCGTTCTTCCACTACGCATACTCGCACCGGCCGTACGTTATTGGTAGCGGGAACACGCGCCGGCCATTGGCGGGCGATTTGGAGGCGTATGAGCCGCAGACGTATTCTGGTGGGCCCGGGGGTGTGTGGGCGCTGGTGGAGATGTGGAATCCGATGGAGATTGTGGAGGCGATTGTGTTTGGGTTGAAGATGAAGACGGAAGAGAGGAAGCAGTCTAGGGCCAAGGGTCGTGGGTGGCAGTCGACTAAGTATCAGTCGGTTGAGGAGCCGTATGAGATGGGCAGGAGATGAGGGGGGTCATGGAGCGAGTTTGATCGGCGTTGATTTCAAGCATAGATTGATTATTTTGTAAAACATAGACTTTTCCTAGCCGCTGTACATACCATTTCTAGAAGCTTACTCACTTATTCTTTACTCATCCACAGTAATAAATGTCATGTGAACGTGTCGGTAAGTACAGTCTGCAACCGTATCATGGTCCAAACTGTCTGACTGAGAGAAAATGGCGTGGGTCGAGAACACCAGAAACCTTCACGTCAAAGTCGATCGATGTTTTGGAATGAACGGCTAACACTATTCATTGATGTACAGTAGCTCAATTACTATGTAGGCAAGTATATATACTTTGAAAACTACGTCTAAAGCGCGTTGACCTTGGCAGCATGCTCATAGACAAGCGGCTGAGCCTCGGCATCATCCAAGTAGATAGTGAACCCATCGTTATGGTTCCGGCCGTACGAGTAGTTGGAGAAGCCGTACTGCCAGTACATATCCGGCATCTCCTCCTCCAGCGAAATCGCCTGCCACTTGCCCAACACCTCCGTCCTCGGCGTATCATCCACCTTACCAAGGTACTCGAGTCTCTTATCGGCGGTCAACCACCCATACTCCTCATGCACAACCGGCTTCCCGACCTTCTTCCCAGACGCCGCATGATCCCGGATCCACTGCTCCGTCCACTCGACCGTCTTGCTCCACCAGTCAGGGTACGAGTGGAACGTGCCAAAGTCGATGTTCGGCAGCGCGAGCTCGTGGTCGAAATCGCTTCCGTCGGCGCCGTTGTACGCCCAGTCGTCGGATTCGATGTTGAAGCCGCCCTCGCCGCCCCAGGTTACGAGGTGCTTGTTGTCGAGGGACTTGACGTAGGCGCTCATCTCGGTGATCCAGGCGCCGAGGCGCTCGGGCGTGCAGTCGTCGCTCCGGGGCAGGTTGCGGGTGCCGTCTGCGCCGCAGCGGGGTTCGTTGGCGAGTTCCCAGGCCATGATGGCTGGTGAGTCCTTGTAGCGGGTGACCATTTCTTTGACATAGCGCTTGAAGGCGTCTTTGATCGCGGGGACGTGGTAGAACTGGGTTCATATTCTGATTAGCATAAAGTATGGGTGAAATTTGTTTGTGGACGAAATCCGAGGGTCACTCACGTCGTCGTGGTACTTTCCGCCCAAGTTGACCGTGTAGACGTCCATGCCGCCGTAGTCGGCCCAGTTGTTGGTGAGCGCGACAATCAGCTTGATGCCGACCTTATCCGCGGCGTTGACGACCTTGTCAAAGGCCTCGATGTTGATGACGGAAGTGCCATTCTCCCATCTCTGGAAGACGATATCCGTGTCACCGGCGCCCTCGCCGCCGTACTGGGGCAGACCACCGGCATTGTACGTGACGTTCTTGTCGTTGAAGCCCCAGGTGCGGAAGACCTTCAGCCCGGCGTCCTTGGCTGCTGTCAAGCCGGCCTCGACATCGGCTTGGTTCTAGAAACAACAGTCAGTCTCGATCACATCTAACCAAAACCAGTCAATTGCCATGGACTTTCGACGCATCACGTACGTTGTCAAAGGGGAAGTAGTAGGCATTGCTGCCCGCAAAGTTGAAGTCCTCGCCATCAAGCTGGAACTTTGTGCCCTTGACCGTGACGAAGCCCTTCCTGATGCAAGCCGCGGACGCGGCTCCGCTGGCCAGGAGGCCAATTGAGAGCAGACCGGAAAGTTGAGGTAGCATTGTTGGATCAATTGACGGGAATGCCTGCAACCAATTCCAGGAGACTCTTCCTCTCGCGGAGACGTACGTTGCGGCTGCGTGCCATATATATTGACCCTCACCCTCGGAAAAGTTTACATCATTGCAGGAAACGCGATCCGAACCATACCATCTGATCCGGGGCGTTTCCCGATTCGAACGACGGAGGCCGTTGGGCCGCGTGCCACGGGTGCGTCGACCGGGGCTCGCGGGGGGAAAGTTGGAGATGCCAAGGTGAGGGACGGGGACGCTATGCTGCTTTAAACGCGGAGGATGTTTGTCCGAAAGTTGGGGTCGGGGCAAATCGTTAAATAAGACCAGGTACAGGTGGTGATAGATCGAGGAGGGAATTGGCAAACCATACTTCGTAGACCGCTGGGATGCGATCGTCCCTGGTTGAAATTCCAACTTGAGATGTCAAAGTGGGTTGCGTCCATGGTGTCATTCCCGCGACTGTTCACTGACTCTGAGACTCTCGGGTCATGGTGAGTCGCGGATAGGCCTTGACTTATCTATCCGTAGACATATTCATCCCTTGGAAAGCGTCGCAAAGGTCAACAAAAACTCTCGAGTGAACACCTCAGAGTTTGACAGCCCTTCGAGCCAACGGTCAAGTGCAGCAATCTTTCAACTGCATGTTCATGCCCATGCCAAGAGCGACCTAGCGTCAGGGCCATCTATCCGACGGGATGAACGTGTTGCTCGTCCGAACAATTGACATGGGGAATTGGCAAAGCCGATCTCAGTTGCACCTCCCCAACCCACAATCATGCTATGTCCCCGCGGCGGCTATCCGGCTAGTCTTCCTGAGCAATTCCAGCTAGATTCGAGAACCACTCAGACGGGACTACTCCTGATTGCTGCGCCGCCTGCATCTCTTTACATCTTCTTGCCTACACCAACATGAGGTAAGTAAGGTAAGCGCTTCTTTCAACACTCTCGCTGGGGCGAGAGAAAGAAGATGGATGTGCCTTGGCCGTCAAAATACGTTGGGCCACACTTCATCTCATGCTGGTGCAGCTTCCGCTTCCAAAAAAGTGCGGGGTTATTTACTTTCGATGCGGGGTAGCTCTGAGTTTGGTCGTGGTCTTTGACATTGTTGACAACTTTCGCGATGAAGGAAGAATTGGCAACTATGCGAACAATATAGAACAAATCACTACTGTGAAGCCTTGGAAGTTCCCATTGGCAAAACAAAACTACAATCACGAGCAAATGATGGGCTGGAAGTTCACGGTAGACACAGTACGCACAGGACGCCTGTGCAGCGTCCGTCAGATTGTTCGCTATCAATGGCAAAAGTCAAAAATGAATGTCGCAACAAGGGCTGCAAATTGCCTCGTGGCGGAATCGAACCGCCGATCTTCTCATATCACTATTACTAGTGAGACGCTATACCACTTAGCCAACAAGGCTTGCCTCTACCCGACCGGAATGCAAAATATGTTGGGCGACGATGAGTGGGACGATAGGTGGAAGTCGAGTGGGTTTAGAGAACTGGGGCCTGACAACTTGGCCCGGGATAACCCAATATGGATGGACACGCAGGCCGTGCGCAGAAGCGCTTGAACTGCAGGGTGGGCCGAGACTCTCTAGTAGCTTGATCGGTTCATCGCTAGCACTGGTCGATATCAGCAAGACGCGTGATTCTGAGAACGTTGATCTTTTCATATACTCAAATCCAAAATTCGAGTCTAACTTACCTCGCAGGTTAAAGAGAACCTTCCTCTCAACTTCACCAAGCACATCGTGTTCTAGACTGGGTATGATCGGAACAGCATGACTTTCCTGATCGGATCAGGAATGACTGACGTTTATGTCTAACTCAAGTGGCTGAGCCGGAGGAACTATGGGCTGTTGTGAGACGGAGGCTTTGAGACTATGCGAATTACTGTTGAAACCCGTCAGTCCGAGATTGTAAGCAGGGAGTTCAGAGCTGGAACAAAAGCATGAATGTTGTGAGCTTTTCATTGACTGGATCTTTGACTTCTCTCAGACTAAGAGCAAGGGGAGTACTGTTGAAAATACCGCAAGGGCAACTAGGAATGAGCCGGAGAAGTTAGTGACTGTTGTGTGTCTTCACACAGCCTTACCACTGATCCTGAAAGCTAGTCTAGACACCTGATGCTCTGCTCTACTGGCATCGCTTTATTTCGACAATTCAAGGCAACGGTCATCAGATAGCCCCGTCAAAGTCAGCCGTGGTGTGATGGATCAGGGACAAGGTATGAGGCCTGGGTATGCTGTTGACGTATGCGTAGCTCATGCGCTGCATCATGGCCACCGCTTAGACTGCCACCTGTCACTTTGTTGGGCTTCTCCTATCATGTTGACCAAGTTTGCTCTTAGCATCTGTTCTGTCGAGTTGCCAATCTTAAGCAGGGATTACAAACAGTGGTTGTTTGCGTTACCCAGCAGCCAAAGGTTGCACAAACTCGAATCTGACGGAATTTTTGTCACTCGCAAAATTATGACCATCACAACTTGAGACTTGAGCTTTCCTTAGACGTATCGAGATGGATGCTTTGACCTTGGAATCCAGCCTATTTAAACAAAACGGAACCAAAGCCACAATTCCCGCATTTGGCGTGCCAACGACGGGGCTCGTCCTCCGTGATCCATCCCACTGCCGAAATCCACCAATTACCGAGACTAGTAGACTGCCGCTGACAGCCTTTCTATCAAAATCTGGGGAAGCCTGGAGTATGGCACGTAGCATGCGTCAAGGATCGGTTGATTGCGGTGTGTCTTCCACGTCCACGGGGTCCTACCTTCATTTACAACACGCTCGCTCACTCGTCAAGTCGCCCCGTCAAGGGTAGTGAGGGATCCTAGCCAAGAGTCACAGCCATGAAATTCCTACGTTGAATCAGACGATTCATTTACTTTCATTACAAATGACCGGGAAAAAAGTCGGTTGAGATGTCGAGTATATAGTAGCGAACCCAGGTTGAGCATGTTGGAACTCTTTCCTGCGCACACCATCCTCCTTGACATCAATCAACTCTTCCTGTGTACCAAGCTTTGATCGTCATGAAGTCCGCTATTCTATCCTTGTTGGCGATCGCGGCCAACCAGGTCTCAGCACACGCAACCTTTCAGGCTCTGTGGGTTGATGGAGTTGACGTAGGCCCAAGCCTTTGACATGAGAAATCGCAGGCTTGCGCTGACTGATGGTAGTTTGGGGGACAATGTGCTCGACTCCCGCTTTCCAACTCACCCGTTCAAGACGTCACTTCCAACGATGTTCGATGCAATGCCAACGGCGGTCCCGTTGCTCGCAAGTGTGTGGTCAAAGCCGGATCCTCAGTTGTGGTCGAGATGCACCAGGTACGTCAAACCATACTGTGTATTCACTGTTCCATGTCAGATCTAACTTCCTCGTCTACAGCAACCAAACGACCGAACATGCACCCAAGAAGCCATCGGAGGCGCACACTACGGGCCCGTACTCGCCTACATGACCAAGGTCTCCGACGCTACGACTGCCGACGGCTCGACCGGCTGGTTCAAGATCTACCAAGACGGATGGTCCGCCGCAGCCGGCAGTGCAAACGGCGATGGCGACAACTGGGGCTCCAAGGACATGAACACCTGCTGTGGTAAAGTTCAGGTCAAGATTCCGTCAGACATCCCCGCCGGAGACTACCTCCTTCGCGCCGAGTCCATCGCTCTGCACGCGGCCGGCTCGAGCGGTGGCGCCCAGCTGTACATGACTTGCTTCCAACTTACCGTAACGGGCGGCGGAAGCGCTTCTCCCGGCACCGTCTCGTTCCCCGGCGCCTACAAGGCTTCAGATGCTGGAATACTTGTCGATATCCACAGGGCCCTGACCACCTATGTCGTGCCGGGCCTGACTGTGTACGCCGGAGGCTCGACTAAGAGTGCCGGTGCCGCTTGCGTGGGCTGTGAGTCGACGTGCACCGCTGGCTCTGGGCCTACTGGAACCGCATCGAGCGTGCCACTTCCGACGGCCTCTGGTGGGCTGCCTGGCTGTACTGTTGCCAAGTATGCTCAATGTGGCGGCGAAGGGTACACCGGCTGCACCACTTGCGTTGTAAGTTGACATTTGTCTCAGATTGAAGGACACTACTTGATGCTAACGATGTGTAAAGTCGGGCTCGACATGCCAAGCTGTTTCGGCTCCCTACTACTATCAATGTGGTTAACTCTGTAAAAGCTCAAGCTTATGTCAAGGTGCGGACCATATCTGCGAACATCGAGTAACATGTCCTGAGCACGAATTCATGAAGTCCGAGAGACCTTACTATTCTTCAGGCTGGTGAGTTATTCGATAGGTGGTTGCTTTGTTCTATGTCACATGTAAGGTTTACAGAGGCTGGTCTACCACCCAAAGTCTAGCATCACACCATCACTACTTCTCGTGCAGTGCTCCTATCAAGGATTCATACACTAAGCCTGTTACCTTTGGTCTTAGATAGCTTTATATTGGTGATGTATCGTTTCTTCGACCGGAAGCATGTGATAGTGTCTTGAAGTACGGCCTCCACCGTGTGTCTCCATGAAGACCTTTGCGACCTATTGAAAAACGACAATCGCATTCAACATTGACGTAGTAATGTTCTAAAATCACAAAAAGTACATACTTGACAGTCTAGACAGGGTACGAGGCTGGTGTGCAAGAAAAATTGAACAGTAAGATCAGGTTTGCTCAATAACAACTTGATGTAATCAAAACCACAGTCTTCCTTACTTCTCATTTTATTCAGGCATAAGGTACCGCATCAGGGTTTATATTTCTTCTCCATGTACTTTCTCGTGATGTATGGGACAACAAAGGCTTTCTCTCAACATTTTGCAGTTATGATAATCGTAATTCAATTTAGATCGGCAAATCACCTCCAACACTATTAAAATGACGAAATCATGCTACATTATGGGTATAGTACAGACAGAAAGATACGCTTTTACATCCCGTATTAAGGTACTTCCTGGTAATAGTTTTAAAATATCACCCCCCCCCCCCCCTTTTAAAGAAAGCAATTACAGCCCTCCCCTTCTTAGAAGTGGCCAACCTCTGGCGCTGTTGGCGGTGGCTCCCTTACTTCGATTGTGAAGTTCGGATGCCCAGGCGCCACAGTCCTGTATGTTCTCGTTCGTCTTTGGCGGTGCTCTGGCACCTCGATATCATCTTCTGACCAGTCGACTACTTCTTCACTTCGAACGTCCTCACGTCTGGGTCGGGATACTCCGTCACTATCTCGAAATGAAACCTTTCGTGCCCTTAATTGACCGTGTGGTCTTTCCGATCTCAGCGGTTCCGGTGAAGCATAGCCGCTGTCACCGGGAGACAGGCTACCATGAAGTGGCACATTCGTATCCCCTTGAAGTTGCTGCCCGGAGTGGTTTTCACTCCTCGTTCGAGATTTCCTTACTCTTCCGGTCCAATAGGCTTCGGATCGCTGGGCTTGTCTTTGTTGCGGATCGAGTCCCTGGTAAGGAGCTTGACCATAGTTCGTTTGGTTTGGCATGAAGGGATTGGTAGTAGCGGCAGTATCCCTGTCTCTTGGTGGTGGTGGATAACCGCCGCCCGAGTAAGGAACTTCCGACGCAGCTCGTCGATGAGATGGTCTACGAGGAGCTTGAAAGCCTCCAAGATCTGACCGCGACTGTCCATTTACCGCCCTCAAGGTTTCCATGACAGTAGCTTGTATAATGGAGCCAGTCTCGTGGTCATCGTAGACTGATGGAACAGGCGTGGAAAACCCCCTAGAGCCAATATCGGAGCGGAGCATTCGCCTGCTGGACTCTGAGCGCATGTCAATGTCTCTCAGCTGAGCATTGGCACCGTTCTGGAACTCTTTTCGTACAGTCTTTGTCACCTCTTTGACCAAAGAGGCTTTCAAAGCTGCTTCTGATGCTTTTTTCCTTTCGCGTCTTTCTCGAGCTTTCAAACCATCATGCACTTGCTGTTGCCTGAATGCCAGATCTTCCATTCCCCTCTTCATCTCTTCTATCTCATCATCTCTGATCGTTCGTTTGGGTGGTTTCTCCTGCCTTAGCTTAGGCTGCTTCTTCGGTTTGGGCGCGCTTGCTTCTGCGTAATATTCCTCAACTGGCTCTGGCGGTGCGGGGTACTGGGGGTAATGATCCTTGCGTTGACGGGGAAAAGTAGTCTGAGGGCGAGGACCAGTATAATTAGCATGACTGCGAGGTGTAGCAGCGTACGGATGGAGAGGGGCTGGTCCTTGATATGGTGCATAGTAAGGACCATAAGGCTCGATCGGTTGAGGATATGTAGATGGCGGTGGCCCCATAGGACGAGGCCCGCCCATCGAATTTCTCCAACCAGTAGTACGAGGTGCTGGAGTATAGTGCGGCATTGGAGGCGCATGCATTGGATATACTCCAGGATGAGGAGGTGGTGGTGGAGGAGGAACTCCGTGGTAGTTCATTCCTGGGACCTGAGGCTGTTGACCGAACCCTTGAGGGTCGTTGAGACCGGGAGGCGGGGGATTCCGATTCGGGGGACTTCTGTGCCGTGAAGGATCTGCGAAACCCTCCAGGTGACCGCGCCGATACGGGACTGTCTGGCCGGTAGCAAATCTTGCTTCGTGATGAGTGCTCAAGCTATCTGGATCGGCATATGTTCCGTCCCATGCAAATTGTGAGGCAAGATCTTCGAAGTTGTCGGCTGGGTTTGTGTGACGCTGATGATGTCTGAAGGATCTTCGTGTTACGTCGGGTTCCGATTCGCTCCAGTCCGTGTCTTCTGGAATACCTTCCTGTTGGGTCGGATCGCTTTGTGAAGAATAGGGGAGCGCTGAGACCATGATATCAAATGAAAAGCAAAGGGCTGGTTGATGGGAGGAAGAATTGTTGAGATTCAGAGCATTACGATATTTTCAGCTCCCAGAAGTGGATAATGCGGCACAATCCCAATTTGCTGGAATGGTCGTCCGTGGTGTGACTGCTGCTTTATTATATTCGTCATCGCATTCCGGTTCATGCCGCTCCGAATGAGAACGCGTGGAATAGGTCCGGCTCTTCTCGAAACATTTTCTTGCCGGTCGGCTTCTGAAGACCGCCTTCGAGCGTTCGTGTCATTGGTTGTGATGTGGTTGTTGGTTCGTGTTGGCAGTCATGTGTCGTGCGGCGATGAGAGGGAGACCACCCGTTCGCCGTTTATCCAGCTGCTCCGATTAGACAAGTCGCCGTTCCGGCCGTCACTTACCCCGTTTCATCCTTGGACACAGGGACCAGGCATAAATTTCAAGCAGGCTATGCTAGAGATGCAGCTGCCTCATGGACGCCTTGAATTCTGCCTTGAAGTCAACCGGCTTGTCGCAGCTAACATATGCGGCCAATGGCGCTAGAAAGGCGCTAATGTACTGCGAAGTGTAGAAAACCACGTCAAGAGGCAAAGTACTTGCTTATAGTTGAACGGAGACACTGGATCTCTAACATCAACTTACGGAGAGGTGCAAACGAGGCTCTGCTAAACGCTGAAATTCAGAGCCTAGCGTCGCAGTGAAACCGAAGCTAGGAAATGATCTTGTGTTACTATCATCAAACTCAAAAGCAGGACCCTGAATTGAGGCCGCACCTCTTCTAGGAGCGTTTGCAACAACTCATTCAGACCAACAGAGCGAAACGCTTGCAGAACGTTACACACTAACGAACACTTCAAGCAGGCTGGCATGCAATATGTATGCATGTGGTAAGACTTTGCAGCCGGCCCCTCGATAATGGTGGCAGTGTTGACGTGTTCTGGGATAAGCGAAGTGGGAATTTTGAGCCAGTAGGATAGCCCAATGCCACCAAGATTATGGTGTGAAGCTCAGCCCCCGTGACATGCTTCTGTTATTCGGGTCCCCTGCAAGTCGGATTGGCGCAATGAAGTGGGCGCGAAATGTTCTCTGTGATTCGTTGGCTCTTCGGCCGAGAGCATGGTCCAAATGCTTAAACACAGAGAGGCTGCTGAATCCGAAACTGTTCTCTGTCCATGAGTTGTTTCGTTGGAGCATATCTCGAAGTCTGCAACTTCGCCGTCTTGGTCAATCGCGGCTATTCCTTGATGTTGGTTACAGCACAGTGCTTGAGCCTGCGCATCTATTTCCAGAAACTCTCCAACGGCGGCTATTTCGGATACCTACCTTGGATGCACAGCTTTCCGACATGGATCCTCTGAGCATCACAGCAAGCACTCTTACTGTCATCCAGTCGTTGCTGGCTACGTTCGATGCCATCAAACATATCAAGGGTTTACCCGCAGCCTTTAAGGAGGTGGGGAAAAGCCTCCCACTCGTCGAGAACACACTGCAACTCGCCCATGAAGCCCTGAAAGCCGAGAAGCCAGACGCAGCGGCTGAGAAGGAACTTATACCCGCTTTGGGTGATTGCCAAAAGCGGGCTTCTACTTTACGCGACATCTTCAAAGACATTGAGGGCGGCAAGAACCAGGAAAAGGAGGCTAAAGAGTGGTCCGCTCTTGTGAAGTTCTATCACAACAAAGTTGTACCTTTGGGCAAGGCTCACAAAGTCGAAAGCCTGATGCAAGACATACTCAAAAAGCTCAAGGTGCTTGCTATCCGTCAGATATTCAAGGCAAGTGCGGAGCTGCAAAAGCAAGTTGGCGGCCTAGAGGACGCAATTCGGTCTTTGTCAGAAGTGGACCCGTCCCTCCCAGACTCGGACTTTGATGCCGCCTCTAGCAATATCTCAATGAACAATTATGGCAAAGCGAAAGGGTTCGTTTCTACAGGCAGCAATGCGGACATTGCGATGGGAGATAAATACCAATCAGGCCACAACATGTATTTTGGTAGGAGATCAAGAGACAGCGATTCTGACTGAAGGTCTTCAAGTTTAGAAAAGCTGACGACTAGGAAATTCTGTGTAGCAAATCATTACTATCAAAGCTCTGGCGCTACCGGTTCGTTTGCGTCTGACTGAAATAATTGTGTCTCCTGTTCTGACCAAAGGAAGTGGATCGCCCAGAGCTACATATCGCGGACTGGCTGAAGCTTGTGTCACGGCCGCTGGATGTTGCAAAGATGCAAACCGAAACATTCCAAATCGCGTTGAAAACTCCCGGTGCAGGACACGCGATCATTCAACTTTCGGCATTTGAAAGATGGTGCGCTGGAGATTTTCGAAAGTTTTGGTGCTATGGAATCCGTAAGATGTCTTCTTCGCTGCAAATTGAGATCAAAGACCTAATGACAAGGTGCTTTTAGCTGGATCTGGGAAAACAGTCCTTGCGTAAGCATCAAGCTTTTGGTCTTGCTACAGTCTTTACTCGATCTCAAGAGCCTGGACTGATCAAGACTTTGCAGATCTATTATCATCGATCATATCTCCAATCGAGTGATAGGACATCGTAGCAAGGAAGTCTGTGTCTATTTTTACTTTGACTACACAAAGCACTCCGAACAGGGGATCAACGACATTCTATCCACAATACTGTCACAACTCTTACAGAATCAGGACGTTCTTTCTCCCGAAACTCAGCGCGTCGTCAATACCTGGAAAAGGACTCGACAAGTCCCAACTGAAGAAGACTACTTCAAAATGGTTGCATCGCAAGCAGAATTATATTCCACTGTTTATCTCGTGGTAGACGCTCTTGACGAATGTCTCGACAGCCCGGTTGAAAACACTCTTGCAACCTTCCTGAGGAGATGCCAGGACTTGCCGAAGAACTTTAGAATGATCTTCACGTCGAGGCCGGGATCCCATTTCTATCGAATGATAAGCCCAGAACATAAATGTGAAGTCAAGGCAGATGAAGCTGATGTCAAAGCTTACTTCGATAAGTTCATCGAGAACCATTACGATTTTCAAAAGGTCGTAGAGAACGGCTGCATAGCGGATCCGTCCTTCAGAGACAGGATCCTTGCAGCAATTATGAAAAAGTCTCAAGGAATGTAAGACAATGGAATCATTTAAGGATCGAATTCTCTGAATCTTACTCAAATTTGACATAGGTTCCTTCTTGCACATCTTCATATCGAATCCTTGGCTTCGACTCTGAGTCTCGTAGAACTCATCAACAAACTGTCACACCTCTCAGCGAGCCCGCAGGAAGTCTATTATCAGGCAATGGAACGCATCAAGACGAACTCTGTTTCGAGGAGGATTTTGGCTATTCATGCCTTGTCCTGGGTTGTTTGTGCTAAGAGAGTTCTCACTGTCGATGAGCTTCTGCACGCTGTCGCAATTCGCAGTGCCCCGCCATCCTCATTCACGGACAATGAGCCGGGCAAGTATCTTCTGCCTACATCATCCAACATGTGTACGGAAGAAGTTCTTCTGTCAGCCTGCATCGGTCTCATCGTCGTTGTCCCCGGTGGTCCTTCATCGGAAAGGACCGTTAGACTGGCTCATGCCACTGCAGCGGAATTCCTCTTAGCTCAAGAGATAATCAGAGATGAGCAAGCTACCTTTCTAGAAACCAGTTTAAACTGTCTTTACTACGCCTCAAGCCGGAGATCTTGTTACTCTGAGGAAGAGCTCAATAAGCACTGCAAGATGTATCCTCTCTTCCGCTACGCAGCGGCGCACTGGGGACTCCACTTCTCCGAGTTGCCAAAAGTAAAGGGGAGTAGTTACAAGTTGGCCTGGGACTTTGCATCAGACCAAGTCAAGCTGGGAAATGCATTGAGAACGATGACTGACCCAAGCATTTCGCACCAGACAAACGTCTCTGGTGGACATGTCTCTGCATACTTCGGCCTCGAAAATCTGGTCAGAAGAGCGATGTCTAAGGCCAACAATGTTGACTTCAATGCCAGAACAAAGAGCGGAGATACCCCATTACACTGGGCAGTAGCCCATGACCAACAAGGCTTCGCATCATTTCTGATCAATGCAGGGGCGGATCTCAACATCCAAAACACAAATGGCAAAACGGTTCTACACATGGCGACGGCAATGGACCACAGGCACTTTATCAAGATCCTCATAGAGGAAAGGGCTGACCTTGAGCTCGAAGACTCCGAGGGATACACTTGTTTGCGATGGGCTGCCCGTTATGGATACCAGAGAACTGTTAATACGCTGCTGGAGGCCGGAGCAAAGATCAGCGCGTCTGACAAGGATGGATACACAGCGTTACGCTGGGCAGCACGAGAAGGGTATAAGTCGATCGTTAAGACTCTTATTGACAGAGGCTCATCGATCGAGTCGCCAGGCTCAGAGGAGTGGACGCTGATGAGGTGGGCAGCACAAGAGGGCCAAGACTACATCATCAGCCGCTTAGCTAAAAGAGCTGTCAGCTTGGATGATTCGGATTCCGAGGGACTGACTGCTTTGAGCTGGGCCGTGAAGTACAAGCGAGAGATGACCGTATGGCAGCTAATTAAGGATGGTGCAGATGTCAACAAGCCGGACAAGAAGGGAAATCGACCTCTTCATCTGGCAGTACACAATACTAGCGGCAATCAAGACAGGAGCTCTCTGAATATCGTCTGGATACTCTTACAGAATAAGGCCGAAATCGACGCTAGGAACAAACACGGAGTGACACCTCTGCATCTAGCAGCGGACAGAGGAACCGCATCAACCGTCTGGCTGCTACTCGAAAACGGAGCGAGCCCCACTCAAGTTGACACAAATGATCACAACGCATTATACAAGGCCGTGATTGGGCTCCATCTTAGATGCTGTCAGATTCTGATTCAGAAAGCGGAGCATCTCGTCAACTCCAAAGACTTGTCATGGCGTACGCCATTGCATGACGCAGCCTCATGGGGGTCCCTCCCGATTGTCGAGATGCTCCTACGCCACGATGCGCATATAGATGCTCAGACTCGCAAGGGTCAGACACCACTTTATCTCTCAATCCTTCAAGGCCATTCTAGTGTTGCAGAGTTGCTAGTCAAGAAAGGTGCAAGCTTACAGATCATCAACACGAATAAGCGATGGACGGCTTTGCACCTTGCAGCCTGGACAGGAAGTCTTGTGATTCTAGAAATGCTCATCGAAAATGGGGCAGACGTTGACGCGCAGGATCGACAAGGGTATACTGCGCTGCATGTTGCGCTCCAGGAGGGACATGGCGGGATCGTGGACTACCTGAGGGCGAGGAGGGGAAATACAGAACACCTGGATTCAGAAGGGTTGAACTCAGAGAATTTGACTGCAGAGAGCGAAAGGAAGCCCTTCACGGCGACTAACGGGTCATCCTTTTTCGAGGAATCGAAAAGTGCTGAACCCACACGAACAGAAGATCGTCCTTGGTGGAAGGGAGACAAAAGGTTCGCGGCTACTGTGGAGGATGAGTGATCATTGGGCATCGTTGGACAGTGCATTGGGCTTTGGCTTTGGCTCCGAGACTCACACAGGGTAGCTTTGATGGAATCTTACGCTTCTTACGCATTCAATTGACATTGATGTTAAGACTGTGATCTTGAAGAAGCCACAAAACTAGTCCTTCTCATCAATCTTATCTAGCAGATCCAAAATCTCTCTTGCAGCCTTTTCTCGTCCAGCGCCCTCCGGATGCTGCTCGGCCAGTGCTCTAGCTTGTTCCTGCATTGCTTGCGCTTGGGGGCCAAGCACGACTTCAATCAGCTTCTCGGAAAGTTCTATCCTCTCCCAGTAAGGCTTGGCCTTCCTGTTGGCCCACTTCCCAATGCCCAAGATCTCTGAGCGGATAGCGAAGTCATAGCAGTCGCCCCAGCCTGGCAGAACGACTTGTGGTATGCCAGTACTAGATTGAAAGTTAGCGAGAGCTCTCAAGTTGAGTGACGAGGTGCTTACCACAAAGCCTCATGGAATGAGTTGGAGCCGCCATGGCTGACACAGCACACCAGATGGCCAGACTCTAGAATAGACTTTGGTTCAGCAGTAAACCAGTCCGTGATCTTCACTCTATCCTGTTCGATAAATGGACTCATGATTGCCATGACGTCGAGCCACGGCTCAGAGTATTCCGTCGCGTTCTCATTCTCGTTCAACTTGCGCGGCATCTTCCAAAGGACTTGGAGTCTAGCTTCATCTTCTGAATCAACTTTGTGCTCTTCTGCTCGATCAAGAAGATTTCGAATCGCATGTGCGAATTCAGTCGCCTTCGGAAGATCATAGAAGTGGTGCGTGCCGAGGCTGATGAAGACGGTCGGCCCTCGACTTAGCCATTCGGCGAGTTCAGGGTCTTCGACTTCAATCTTCGGGGCAGCCCGAGTGATAGGACCACATGGTGTGATGGACTCGGGGATAGTCTCAAAGGGGAAGTCAATGTCGGGGCTGTTGGCGACGAGGATGCGAAGGCCCTTGGGCGGTGCTTTCAGAAGGCCGAGCTCGTTCCAGGTGATGATCTCGACGCCGGGTCCAGCGTGTTTGGCGAGATATGCCGAGACATGCTTATATCTCGAGTCCGCGATGAGTCCGTATCCGGCGACAAGGTTGAAGAAAACGTTGAGAGGGACCAGATGGAGTGGGATCGGAAATGGCAGGCTAGACTGTATACTTGATTGATGTTAGCTCTTAGACACAGGCTTCGACATTGCTTTGTGTGTATTTACATGGGATACTTCCACAGCATGGCAAGCTTGGGTTGCATTGGCAGCGCAAATTCTTTAATGGTGTTTGGGGCTAGGCAAATCCAGTTGATGTTCGCTTGGTTGGCAAAGGTTGTGGCCGGTGCGAAGAATGACTCCACTACAGTCACGTCCGGCTTTACCTCCTCGAAAACTTCCTCGATAGCTTTATAAGTCTCAAAAAATTCCTCTGGGCTCCATGGAAGTGCAAGGCCGGCAAGAGTCAGCATGTTGCGGGACGTGTTGACGAGCCCTGGCTTTGTAAGCCAAGTAGCCAGCGCCGGGTTATCAGGTCTATCCACGGCCTCAAAGTGGGAGAGACCGATGAGTGGATGTAGCTTGACAGCAGTCCCAGCCGGGGCTCCTTCTATCTTGCTGCATTGGTCGACGAAGCGGCGGAGCTGAGAATCGAAGCCTGCTTGTGAGCCAATGTGTACTTCGACGTCGGGGTTGATCTGTATCACTGCGTAGGTAGCTGAAAGAATGACATTGGCCTGGCCATAGTCTTTGTTACAGAGGAACAAGATCTTCTTCTTGGTTGGTGACATCTTGAAGTCTCGTTGCCGGCTGCTGAATGGACGCTGTAGTATGATGTTGCTTAATCAAGCCATAGAAGAAAAGGGCTGGAGCTACCTTCGACATAGCCTGAACTTTATACGAGGCAGTCTTCGGTGGTAAATGGGAAAACCTTCGACCTCTTCTGTTACTTTAGGTAACACACTTGCTTGCCTCCCTGGAAAAAGTCGGAAGCACGCCAACACATCGTGAATGGCACTGATTGTTGATGCATCACCTACGGAAATGGTCTGAGCATCGTTCTGATAATTCATTTCAACAAGATTGAAGATCACTGCGCTCTTCCCTGCTACATTGTGTTACACAGCCAAGCAATTCCACATAGCTGACGTGAGATGGACCGGCATCGTGCACTTCAACGTTGCAAGTTGAGCCAAAATGGCAGGGGGATGTGGACTGGAGTCAGCGATAGCTCCACTGCGGAAGGATTCCCGTTAGGTACCTTATCTCAATGTTTCATTCGATTTACGAGAGATGCGTGCGGTTAATGTCCCTTAGCGGGTTTGTGTGACATTAGTCTGAGTGATGTGGCGATCATCTGCCGCTCGAATGGGCGAACGAGACCGGTGGGAGACACCCGGGCCGAGTCATCACTGCTCCCAGGGCATGAACATACCATTTCTGATTAGATATGCTGGCTAGCGAAGACTGATTGGGCATTATTACCGAATGCTGCAGTCGGATAGTATCGTGAGCCTGTTTAATTGGATCACAACTGCATTGAAGGCAACATCAATGCTACGCCAATATCACTTGCGTTTTCTGACATTCAAATGCAGCGGATATTTGACAACTCGTGTTTATTAGAAGTGCGTGTCCTATTGCAGATCACGTCTGAATTTGGAGTGGTCTCCAACTCCGTGTCCCAACAAAGTGTTGTGGGAGTCGAGTTCAGTAACGGTGTAATGATGAACTCCAGAGGCACCCATCTCATGCTTTGGTACTTCTGCCCACATCTCATGCTGGGGTATTGATCCACCATATAATTCCGTTTGTGGTACATCCGAATGTAGCTCCCCTGGGGCCACAGGGTGGTAGTAAGACCGGTATGCCCCATCACCCTTTGCGTGATCAGGATATGGAGCAAGTGCAGTCACTGCTTCGGCTGCTTGCTTCTGCTTCCGACGTTTGACGAAGCAGAACAGAGCAAGCCCGACGATGGCACCGACGACGGCTCCAACCACAGCTCCGACAATGGCAGCTATTGGGGTAGATCCCTTGGCATCTCCATTCTCTGCTGGATCTTGATTGTTTTCTCCAGTCGTATTTGAGTTTGACTTCCTGAACAGTGCCTGAACTTCATTGGATGACCACTGTACTGCATTGGCACCACTAGATCGAGGTTAGCACCTTGGCTCATGCCGTCAGCTTTCAAATACTAGGCTAATTCCTCTTACGTTTGCTGATACCAGTCACTGACTGTCTTCGCGCTTTCGTAGTCTTTGGCGTCTGCGTCGTAGTCCATCTTCCACTTCCAGTCCGTCATGTCGAAGAGACCGAGACCTTGCGGCCAGGGGTCGGCACTTGTATATCCTGTCTTACCATCCGCTCCTCCAACTGACAGCATTTGACGGCGGCCGACTACTGCGCAGCAATGATTCCTCCTTGGACTTTTCGACTCGTAAGCGACTTGATTCCAGAAGAACCCCGGGAGGCTTAAAACGAAAACATCGTCATAAGTTGAGCCTGTCTCGCTGTTGGTGCCGCCGAACACAAAGCTAAAACTTTGTAAGTTACAACGAAAAGCGGTATGAGATCGCTGGGAATGCTCACATTTCATAGGTCCCGTTATTGCCTTCGACTCCGACGCTGCAAAAGTTGCTGCGGGGTGTGGGCGCGTTTCCGGTTGTCTTTTGCCAGTACCAATCTCTGGTTACTGGGTCCATGAAGGTCAAGTTGCTGAAATCCTGCCATCCAAGAGGCTTCGCCTGATCAGGTTCGAGACCCCAGGTTGCGCCGCCCATAATGGTGATGAGACCATTCGGACCGAAAGTCGGGATGTAGACGGCTGAGCCTCCCGTCAAAGTGCCATACTTGGAGAAGGCGTCATTCGTTTCGTTCGCCCACGACTTCGTTGTCATATTGTAGGACAGGATACCCGGGAGTGGCTGCGAGTAAGGGTTGGATGTGGTCCAGCCTGACGATTGTCCTCCAAACCAGAACCCGGCGTCAGGGGTACTAGCAAATGCGCCACCCTCATTTCGTCGCAATTCCTGGAAAAGTGTTGGGTTCGCTGGCGTCTCTTTTGACCATGTCCCGCCTCCTTTGCCATCTGCTTCAAACTTCCAGGACGTGGGCTCGTCTAACGGAGCTCCGAATGGGCTATGCCCGCCCCAGATCCAGAATGTGTTCTTCGCGTCGTTCTTCCACATCGCCTGTTGATCCATGGTCTTCGGCGTCTTCGGAATCTCCCTGATCCTGACGCTGGTTGCGGACCATGACGTCGTCAAATCGATCGATAATGTGGAGTTGACTAATGTTCGCATCGCGTGAGAAGGTTTCGGGATTGGTCGCTTTGTCGCTGAAGTAACTGACCTGCGTTGGAGCCTCGCGACGTTATCGGGTTACCTCGCGCGTCGAGCTGAGAGACCTCGCCGCCATCGATGTAGGCGTAGTCGCCAAGTACCGCGACTAAACGGTCATGATCAGTTGAGTTCGATTGCTAAGAGTTCGATATTCACTACCTCTTGCTTCTGCTCGACGGAGAAAAATCTCGGATGAGGGTACGTCTGACAATTCCCAAGCGCGCTTCGACTGGGCATTCGAGAGGCTGGGCAGTTGCAGCACACATCCCAGCAAAGCCCCCTTCACCGACGACTTGAGCATCGTCGTTTCGTGAAATTAAGGAGGAGAAAAAACAGTAACGGAACGAACGACGCGACGAAAACACCAAAATCAACGAAAAAGTGAGGAACGAGGAGGAGAAAGTCAAGTTTCAGCCATCAAACTCCCCGCCATGTTTGAAGGAAAGGCTCCAAGACACTGGGTAAGGGAGCGGCGCAATGTTGGATTCGGTTGAGGCTGATGCTGCCGAAATTAACATCAAACCCAAATCATGCTGAAAGCCTGCAAACCCATGACGCTAAATCAAGGCGATGAGCCAAAATGCCCTAGCATTGGGCAAAATGGCTCGCGAAGGATCGTTAGCGCCCTTGGCATGCTGACGGGCTTCCAAACCCTCGTCCCCTTCGTAGCCTGATGTGGCGTTGGCACGTTGTTCAGAAAGGCCTGAGAAAGTTGTCTCACAGTCTCTTGATGGCCCTGTCTTAGGTAACGGTCTGCTTAGAAACGAAGGTGATATCGTGTTGGATTGAATGACATGCAATATTTTGGCTATAACCAACTAAGCTTCCCATTTAGAAACGTTCAGAGAATCTTGAGTTGAAGTTCTTGTAGAACAGCGACGACGGCAAATTAGCGCAGATGACCCCTGGGGTTTTCCACGGACGGAACACACAGGCAACAGCTTAATCAACTTAAGGTGCAACAAGCCTTGCTCCGCCGGATATCGTGGCCGACAGTGGACCAAAATCGCCCGCGGCAAAACGAATAGCAAGATTATCATCCCTGTAACGCAGACCCTTGACGATTTGGGGGCCGCTCCAGGGGCTGTGCAGCACCCTGCTGATACCTCCCAGATTCTTTGTTGGTTCGGCTCAGACAAGGCAAAGGTGATTTAATCATCATTGTTTCACGGTATTCCCGACATTGTTGTAGACCATTTGCTCACGTCCCCAACCACAAAATGTTAGACTACTTCCGAGTGATTGATCCCCCGACGGTCTCCGTAATTCCAGTTGTGTCTGGTGAGAACCGTATAGGCACACTTTTCCTACACGAACTACTATTCAGGTTGCATGAAAAAGCGAAGGATTATTGTGAGATCCCTACATGTAACTTTGGGCTAGCGGCGGAGACGAATGGTTACATCTAGAGACTTCGACACCTGCAGAGCAAACATGATACCGGCCGTCATAAAGAGGAAAGGCTGTTAGAATATCATCGCATCAGGCTAAGAAGAGAACCTTGAATTTTCCGCCATCCGCCTGCCATCATAAGCTGCATTTTGTATCGTCTGACCCTTCCTCACAAACAAAACCGTGACTATGGCTAACTTCGGAGATGAGAAAAGTCCAGGAAAACCAAAAGCGCCAAAGACTGTCAAGAGTGCTCTGCAACTACAAGCAAGGAGTACGGTGCTGAAAGGAAAGCAAAAAGATGACGCTCAATAGGATTTAGATGAAAGTCCCGCGCACAAATATGTTTCATTTCCCCCATTCCCTAGCGAACCGGACGACGAAACTTTAGAAGGAACTCAAAGGGAACAACCGTCAGTGGAGGTAGAATCATATCAGCAAGAGCCACCCAACGAGCCGAAGCAGCGGCCATGCAGGGCGTCGTCTTTATGGTTCTGGCACGGAAATTGAGGTAGCTCGATAGAGACCGTCAAAAGTTCAGTCAAGAATCTGCGACTGAGGTATGACTTATTCTGATGCATTCATAGGCCGTTGTAGGAAAGAAGATGCACATATACTTAACGTCAGGATTCAAGCGTAGGAGATTACCTGGTTTGCATATGCGTTAGCCTTCACTGCTAGACTGAGTATGTAGTCGAGTCCAGGATAAAGTCTACTCATCTGCAGCATTGACAACGTATTTACCTAAGACAAATAGCCATCTGCCGGAAAATCTTCCAAGTTCCAGCTCTGATCAGCACTAAACGTCTTCATCTTGCCAGTTTCATTGGAACTCAGCCGTCTCCCCGAAATAAGACCAGGGCAAACAGTGTTTCCGTGGAATAGCAGCAAAGACTTTCCGATTAAAAAACCAGCTCAAAAGAAACTCTAATTCGGCTGAAGGCAAGTTAGTAACAATCGAAGAGTTCAAGGGGGCAACCACCTCATGCACACTTAGTCTTGGCTAGTTGAATGTCGTTGTACGGCGCCCAAGTTCGACGCTTGAGCCAGAGCGGGACGCGAGCTGAGTCGTAACTAAATATTTATCCTGAAGCCGCGGAAAATTTTCGCCCATACAAAACAGACCAGTGTATCACAACGATTCATGACTTTCGCCCTGGATGGGTAAGCCCGAAACTCGGCCGGGAATACAGTCAGAGACTGACTGGCGGATGGAGAGAATCGAAAAGATGAAAACTTTAGTTCGGTCAAATTTCGTAAGAAGTTATAATATAATTGAGCTTCTCGCTGATATGATCGAATCAGCTCAACTTTCGACACAGGCTAATCAGTTGCTGTGCAACTCTACACTGCAATACTTATTTTTAATCCGCCTGTACTTATTGTTCGCAACCAGTGAGCGCGATGTGGTCGCCTTCCACCATCACAATGAAACTGCTGGTCACGAGCGTGTGCCTAATCCAGTCTATACAATGTCTGAAGACGGTCGAGATTCCCTTCACCCGCATGAACGACCCGAACAGCAAGTTCGTTGCATCGATGAAGATCTCAGTTGGATCCCCGCCGCAACAGGTTATGGCGATCTTCGACACAGGAAGCAGTGATCTCTGGGTTCCTCAGCTCAACAGCCGCCTATGCAAAGACCGCTTGGCAACATGCACAGCCAACAACGGCAAGAACTCTAGCGTCTCAGGTGCATTTGATAATACGAAATCTACTACCTTCAACGCCAATCGCTCTCCATTCGAGGCCACGTACGCGAATGGCGTTGAAATCCAAGGAACCTTCATGTCAGAATCAGTCACAGTCGGGAACACATCGGTCTCGAACAACACAATGGGATTGGGTCAGACCGGCAAGCTGACATCGCCTTTAATTGCTATTCTGGGTGTTGGCCCCTCAAGCTCAGAGGCGTCCGTTCTTGCCAATAATGCCAAGCCATACACAAACTTTCCAGAAAATCTCAAAGCACAGGGGCTCACCGAGTCTCTGGCTTACAGTGTATACTTGAATGATTTCAGTAAGTTCACAGATTTGAGCTCTGCATATACGCATGAACTTCTGCTGACATCACCAAGGATCGCCTACTGGAAGCGTCGTGTTCGGCGGGATGGATACTGCCAAGTTTACAGGTCAAATGCAGATGGTTTCTCTCGTTGGACAGAAGCTATTCAACTCAAACGACTTTATCGTACCTTGGACATCCTTCTCCTTTTCGGCGGACAAGAATGCTAAACCAACGGCAATCGGCGGAAACAATTTCCCGCCCGTCCTCGTCGATACAGGTAACCCGTCTTTATCCTTCCCAGCAAAGATCTTGGATCAGATCGGACCGGCAATCAACGTCCAAACATTGCAGGATGGGACAAAAGCATTGAAATGCAGCAGCGGCGATTCGGGTGCCAAGTTCAACTTCGAGTTCCAGACGGCCAAGGTCGAGGTTCCTTTGTCGATGATCTTCATCCCTCTCATGAAAAACGGTGCACCCGTTACCGACAAGAGCGGTAGTTCACTGTGCACACTTCCATTAGAGCCCATTGACAGCAACGTAGCATCTTTCGGTGCTCCTATGCTCTCGGCTGTGTACACAGTATTCGATCTTGAGAACAAACAGCTCGGAATGGCACAGGCTAAACTCAACGAGTCAGGGACAAACATTCAGGAATTTGTGTCGGCCAACCCATCAAAGGGAGCTGCCAAACGGCCACGAGCGCAGAGCGTGCGCTTCCAACAGGAGTGATCAGATAATCATTACATGCTGATAGTTCAACTTGCTTGTCGGCTGGTTCTACAAGCTCTTTCTCTTTTCTCACTTCTTACCTTACTGTCATTCTATAGAGCCATCTTAGCGTGCAATTGTAGCACTTGCAAGATAGAATGATTTGCAACATCCACCTGACGAGCGAGCCTCAAGACAAATATTGCAAACTACGAAGAGCCTTTTTAACATTCTCCCAACTCTATCTCACATATCAAGAAATTCTTTCAGTGTCATTGACATCAAAGATGTCGGTGAGCCACGTAGTCCGACAGCCTTGGAAAAAAACAGGGAAAGTTCAAATTCCTAGGTGTCTCGACCCAGAAAAATTACGCATTGACTGGCCTTGCTTGCGCGATAACTTATCAGCCTTCTCCATAATAGTGCTTAAATCCACAGATAAATACGGAGTTGTTGTCTTGCAGCTCCTTGCACCACCAAATCGGAGCTTGGCCTCGGGAACCACACGGACTAGTGAGCGGGTACGCAATGCAACATGTAGATCAACTTGATACGGGATGCAGCAGCAACCGTGTTGCCGCCTGGTTTTTGGTGGATCGATGAGAGGCAAACAAAAACAACACATCTCATGCGAAGGCATCGTCATCTTCACAGAGAAAATTTGTCCCTACACTTCCTTTTTCTCATCAAGAACTTATCACTCCGCCTCTGGCATATCATCAGCCTCTGTCAGGCGATAAACTCAAAGGTCTCTCTTAGCATCAAATCCAGCAGCTTGCTGCGAAACAGCCGCGCGAGGATATGTCTCCAGCGTCATCAATTCACGATCCAGGCGAAAGCCAGCCGCTCCTCTCAAGGCATCGACGACGCACCGGCACATTCCAACTGCCATCGTTCAGTGGCCAGCGACTCGTGTCGCCCCTATCCATGCGACGTGCCTCCCTACAGGAGGTTCATCCACACCACGAAGACGTCGAGCCAGTACTGCCCGCCGCGCCAGTCGCTGCCCACCAAGAGACACGTCTACACAAGCCACAATGGGCGCTCAGTGACAGGCCACCAAACACATGGGCCCAAATCCGTCATTACTGGCGGGAAGAATTTGCGTGAGTACCTGAATATCGGCTGCATTCATCTTTATATCACTTTAATCACGGGGATGATTCCCCACCGGAGCTTCCCCCACCGGGATCGTTCACGGCAATAGCTCTTAGAATTAGCCAGATGCTGACAGCGTACACACATAGTGAGTTTTGGGGCACCTTCATGATCTTACTTTTTGGAGCAGGTGTTGAATGTGAGACGCGTCTGAACTACCAGTCGGCCGACATCCGCGAAAATGCAGGTGACTTCTTGCAGTGCCGCCTGGCCTGGGCAGCCGGCGTAGCTATGGCCGTATGGATGTCCGGCGGCGTCTCAGGTGGGCACTGCAACCCAACCGTGACAGTCGTCCTGGCTCTTTTTCGCGGCTTCCCCTGGCGCAAGGTGCCCAGCTTCTTAGCCGCCCAGGTCTTGGGTGCCACCTTCGCCAGTCTTGCCGTCTATTTGAACTACTCCACCAGCATCGCGGAGTACGAGGGCGGGGCTGCCCGCACTTTGATCGGGGAACATGCCACTGCCGGCCTCTTCTTTACCTTCCCTAAGTCTGGACTTCCTTATGCCGGCGCCTTTTACACCGAGTTCCTTGCCTCGGCCGCGCTAGTGGCTATTGTGTTTGCTCTGGCTGACAAGAACAACCTGTCGCCGCCAAAGGGCACGCAACCCTTTGCCATGTTCTTGGCTCTGTTGGCCATTGGCTCCGCCTTGGGCATCAACACTGGGTACGCCATGAACGGTGCCAGAGATACTGGCCCGCGTATTGCGTTGGCTATTGTTGGCTATGGCTCAGATGTCTTCACTCATGACTCTTATTACTGGCTTTGGGCTCCCTGGGCTGCGGCTATTGTTGGTGGTATTGCCGGTGCTTGCGTTTATGATGGGTTCATCTACACTGGGCGTGACTCTCCTTTCAACATCCCGAGAAAGGAAGATGACTAAACGACGCAGTTGGAGGTCCTTATTGACATTTGGAAATCAAAGTCAACGGGGTCTAGCATAAAATTATGTGGCAAGTTTCCGCAAGCCAAGAGTTTTCAAGGCGATGTGCGAGATGAGGATCAGCTGGCTACAAATTGGCTATCACCTCAGGCAGGATAGACTTAGACAGGTAGACAAAGGATAGCAACAGTAATACTTAGAATAGGCCTAGACTGATAATTAACTCGGATGGAGGACGTACGCCCAAATACAGGCTCACAAATCAAAGATATCCTTGAACTTCCAAGTAATACGAGACATTCGGGGTTTTACGAGCATCGAGACGAATTCATTCGTGGAGACTCCATCTTGCATTACCTTAAATGGAACTTCTAAAATGACTGCGATTCATGGAGTTTCTACAACTCTATTGCACTTTATTTCGGGGTATCAAGGTGTGCGGAGAGAATGTAGCAACTAATTTCAACCGATGAAGTTCGTCCGAACTTCATGCAGTAATACACCATACTACAATCTATTCACTCAGATAATTTAGAATCCTCTGTAATCATGGGTACAGCCGAACATTACACATGCTCAACCCATTCATCAGCCCGACTCGGTCATTGTAGCTTACGGTTTTGATATGAGGCCGACACAGTGTTCCATGACGATTAGCAACTTCCACTGCGTCTACTACTACCAATCGGTATTTGGCGGTTACCCAACCGCCAAGTCGGGGAAAACTTTGGCGCTGTGGCGATCAGTCCGAAAAGAGGAGAAGTCTGGGGAAACCAAGGTCAACACGCACTTCGATGGAACCCTGAGTGAGTGTTAAGAGAAGTGCACCTAGAACCAAGGAACCGCAATTGGTGCGCATCACATGCGATCCGCCGGCTGAATGTAAAGCTTTCGAAAACGTTCGCGAACAATCTTAATTCGGCACCGGAGCCGCAGAACCCGTTTGTGTCTAGGGCGGCAGGGGGGTTGTAGCACAGGATCATACTATTCAAATTACTTTTGGCAATATGAGAAGTAGTATTGGTGTCGGTAATCCATACGGCACAAACGGCAGTCTGCATGGAGTATAGTCTAGTTTCACCTTGGTTAACCCACGAATGCCAGATTGATTAAATTCGTATCCCAGTGCGACTCTCTCGGACTCTCTCGCTTTGGCGAGCAACTGCCGGCTTGCGACTAAGGAAGAACGACTTGCAATTAACAGTTGAATAGCCAATCACTGCCATGTAAAAATACAAAAATTTCTCATATATATATATATATATATATATATAAAGATCAGACGACTGCCAACTGTTTCTAGCCAAGGAGTTCCTGTTCCAGAAACTCAAGCTTCTTTCATCTTTTGTACATACTCCACAACGCTGAGATGATGCTCAAAGCCAACGCGGGCGTGGTTTCAACCACCCTACTGCTCCTTGCGTCCCTGACGGATGTCATCGCTCAGACATGCGACCTCCCGTCTACCTACCGCTGGACATCGACCAGCGCGCTGGCCACTCCCAAATCCGGATGGGCCTCGCTCAAGGACTTCACTACCGTTACCTACAACGGTAAGCACCTTGTATACGCGTCAACTCACGACCAAGGTTCAACCTGGGGCTCGATGAACTTTGGCCTGTTTTCCGACTGGTCTCAAATGGGTGCCGCGTCTCAAAACGCAATGACCCAGTCCGCCGTCGCACCCACCATCTTCTACTTCCGTCCTAAGAACATCTGGGTTCTCGCCTATCAATGGGGTCCGACCCAGTTCTCCTACAAGACGTCGAGCGATCCCTCCATTGCGAACGGATGGTCCGCGGCGCAGCCCATGTTCTCCGGAACCATCTCCGGCTCCAGCACCGGGCCCATCGACCAGACGCTCATTGGCGACAGCACCAACATGTACCTCTTCTTTGCGGGCGACAATGGCAAGATCTACCGCTCTAGCATACCCATCGGAAACTTCCCGGGCAACTTTGGCACCGCCTCAACGGTTGTCATGAGCGACACGACCAACAACCTCTTCGAGGCTGTCCAAGTCTACACCGTCAAGGGCAAGCAGCAGTATCTCATGATCGTCGAAGCTGTCGGCGCCAACGGTCGCTACTTCCGCTCTTTCACGGCCACCAGTCTCGGCGGAGCGTGGACGGCCCAGGCCGCGACCGAGAGCAACCCCTTTGCTGGCAAGGCCAACAGCGGTGCTACCTGGACCAATGACATCAGCCACGGTGACTTGGTTCGCGGCGATCCCGACCAGACCATGACTGTCGATCCGTGCAACCTTCAGCTTCTTTACCAGGGACGATCCCCCAGCTCGAGCGGTGACTACGGCTTGCTGCCCTACCGCCCGGCAGTTCTCACTTTGCAGCGATAGGACTCACCCTTCGCCAGACTTCAACCTACTAGACTTCTGTGGCATCACGTTTGACACCAGAAAGTACTCCTTCATTCCTTAGCTATCTCAATAGTGGGCCAGACAGCCAAACGAGAGGAATGTGTACGTTGTCAGTCCAGGAGGGTGTTTGCACAACGAGGAGCTTCCATTTCACATGTAAATATTTATCAAACATACACAACACATCTAGGCTAGGAGATCCTCACAGATGGCCTACTGTTGAGCATCAACTTATGATCGTCATGCTTTCATGCTTTCGCTTCAACTTTGCTAGCGATTCCAAGTTTCGCTCCAGTCATTGATTTTTCTGTATGAAGGCCTATGACGGCTTCGTCTGAATTTCGTGCGGATACTCAAGGTTGGCGGAGAATCTTTACATCCCCGACTTTGCGCCTCTCAAGTGCTACAGATTTGGGATACAAAATGGGACTTGGGAGGTGTACGAATGTTCAGACATATGCGTGCTCCGTGTAAAGATGAAGCATGCGAGGACCACTCATACAAATTTGCAGTAAACTAGGATACCAAGTGCCGCCAGCCAATGGGCTTCGTGACACTGACAATGAGAAAATACCGACAATCGGTCATACTTTTTGCACTTCCTATGTACCCTCAGCTGAGATATGCATCAAATAAGCAGGTCGAATAGCCTTGGCAAATCTGTTGGTTACTTACGCTCATATGCAGTTCATCCAGTAGTCTCTGGCGAACCACGGCGCCTGAACAGGGGGCATTCTCTTATTCTTACCCCGCACGCGAGATGAGAGACGTCAGATTGTCGTTTGTGGAAAGGGCTTGCTAAGCCGCTTTTTTTTCTGCTCAACTCATACTGGCTACCGCCCCGTCAAGCTTTCTCAACGTCCCTCAGTCAGCTTACTAGATCACAACGCAGTCGAAACTGATATCATGCGGCTATTACATACCAGTACATTTGAATTGCGAGAATTCTCCGGCACAGACATACCTCCTTACGGCATTCTGTCTCATACTTGGGGGCGCAACGAGTTCACATTCAGAGATTTCCAACAAGCTGGATTCCGCGGTGGGATCACGAAAATCGATGGCATGTGCCGTGCCGCTCAGAACCAAAGACTTTCTTGGGTCTGGATAGACACTTGTTGCATAGACAAGAGCAGCAGCACAGAGCTATCTGAGGCCATCAATTCTATGTTTGCATGGTACAGACAGGCTGCAATATGCTTTGTTTACCTCGAAGATGTTCCCGGGGTTATAAGTTTAATCCTAAAGACAAGATCTTTGCCAACAGTCGCTGGTTCCGTCGCGGTTGGACCTTGCAAGAGTTGCTGGCAGCGACCACAGTGTTCTTTTACGACCGGTCCTGGAACTTCGTGGAGTGGATCGAGAAGTCCGGTGACGTTGAGGGTAGATCCCATCCATCGAGAATGGTACTCGGGAAAAGGAAGATAAGCCAAGTCGACAATGAGAGCTTCGACATGAATTCCAATATGAACAACTTCGCCTCGGCTCTCGGCAGTATAACGAACATAAACCTCATTGCGTTAACCAGAAAGTTCGAAGATGTGCATCAGTCCTTTTCAGTGGCGGAGAAGATGAGTTGGGCATCAAAAAGAGAGACAACTCGTTTAGAGGATAAGGCTTACTCCCTCATGGGCCTGTTTGATGTGAATATGCCGTTGCTATACGGAGAAGGTGAAAAGGCTTTCTTTAGGCTCCAGGAAGAAATCATCAAGAAGACTGATGACGAATCGATATTTTCTTGGGGCTATGGAGAACCTGCTCGGTTCGAAGGGGGTTATTTGCCAAATCTCCGGCTGACTTCCTTGGGTGCCGGAATGTCACAATAGTCGAGACCGCGGGCAACACCCCGCACTACTATCTAACGAACAAAGGTCTGCATATTCAGACACGATTCTCAAGTCCAAAACTAAGTATGGGAACTTTCATCTACGCGATGATACACTGCACGGACAGATATTTGACTTCGGGGAAAAGTCGCATAGCTATTCCTCTCTACTATGTGGGCAACCTCATCATCCGCCCACCTGGCGCCGTACCTCTGTTGATTGACGAAACCGACCTCGGTGCGGACGCTATCTATCTTTACATCCACGTTTCAGGAAGTTTTGACAGCTTCAAAACAGACTTTCCAAGGCCGGGACATATGTTAAGACGGGTGGAAAAGTCTACAACAGTTCAATTCACTAGCGCCCCGGGCAACATCAAGCTTGCAGAGGTGTATCCACCTACCTGGTATCCGTTGTGTACCACGTCAAAGTCACTGATAGTAGTACAAGATTTAGCGTCACCAACGACATCGGCTACTGTCTGGATGAGATTTTGGGACCTATCTTCTGGCCTCGATTTCGCCTTACGACTAGATTTGGTGTGGGAGTTAGTACTTTCGCAGAAGTCAGATCAGCTTGGGCTAGCGCTGGTGTCCGTACGCCCACTTGTAAAACTCATACCGCAGGACATGTATCTATTCGACGAAGTCTTTCATAAAGGGCTATCAGTATCGGAGTGGGAGGAGAAGATAGCCTGGGGCGACGGTCAGCTGGGTGCCTCATGGGCCCAGGACAACTTCGATTCCAACATACGATTAACATTGCCTCCTTCAAAAGGGGACACGCTTCTTACAAAGAAGTCTCTTTCGACCGATGAAGCAAGAAGGAAAGTAAGAATAGAAGAAAGATTTCATTTAGTACAAGCGGCGAGGGGGTTAAAGAGGTGAACAAACCTTAATGTTTAGCCACAGGAAGTGGAGAATGAATTATACCCAGTGCAGGATTTATGAATAAATACGAAGTAAGGTATAACCAACGGAAGTCCTCTGTCCGGAAACACAGGTGCTATCGCAATTGGCGTTTAACCCCCAAGCTCTCGGAGTTACCATTGGTTAAGAGATTTGCGAGACTCGCAGTCAAGACGTAAAGGCGACGCGAGCCTAGAGGGAGGAAACCTGAAATAAGAGAATTGATGGGAGGGAAAAAACAGGAATCGATTGATCCAACAGCCAGTGGCTCCGGGAACGAAAAGTTTAATGATCGGTTATGAGAAGGCTTGATTCGTGAATTCAATTGCATTTCAAGTTCAATGCTGTTGTCCTCATCATCTAGTAGCTACGTGCGCGTGAGCACCGTTCTCTAATTTCACGAACGCATTCTCCACACCAAAGCACGTAGCGGCTGTTTCATTCCCTACCCGTCAGCCGTGATCAAATCAACAGGTTCGCATAGTATAGTATTGATTACAAAGTAGCGGTTCCATGGCTGACGTATTACGGCAGATCGCCTCGCGCCTTTGTCGCAGCCGCGAAGACTGAAGATGATGTGGTCGCACGACCGGCATCTCCCCACCTGAGTCCGGTGAAAAGGCGCCAAAAATAGGGGTCTCGGACACGCACGAAGGGGTGCGGGGGCCGCTAGTTCGACGTCCGGGCCTCCGTACCTGAGGCCCGGGCGTCTGGCGGCAGTCCGGTTGTTGGGAACTCACATGAGATGCGCCTTGGTCCCTTGACATCGAACTGTTCATTGCGTCCTGTCTGTTCTTCTTTTGGTAAACTATAAACTTCTTCGATATCCTTTTCCAACGTGCATTTGAGTTCTCTTTCATCTTTCGCCTGATATCCCAGCTTTTTCCGTGTATTTACTTCAACATAATAACTTTCAAACACAATGGCGAGCCCTGCTGGAAACATCTCCTTTGAGGGTAGGTAGTGGCCACCATGCACAATTGCTAAATAATTACTGATAGATTCATCCAGACTACCTCGGCCTCTCTGGCTGCATCTTCGAGTGGGCCGACAGCTACGACTCCAAGGACTGGGATCGTCTCAGGAAATGCATTGCCCCCGAGCTTCGCGTAAGTAATCCGCCTCACGGCGCTGCCTTTCACTGCCACCAACACGGAACTTTTGAGCTGACCGCACTGCAGATTGACTACCGCTCCTTCCTCGACAAGATCTGGGAGGCCATGCCCGCGGAGGAGTTCATCGCCATGATCTCGGACAAGTCCGTTCTCGGCAACCCCCTCCTCAAGACCCAGCACTTCATCGGCGGCACTCGCTGGGAGAAGGTCTCCGAGACCGAGGTCATCGGCCACCACCAGCTCCGTGTGCCCCACCAGAAGTACACCGACGCCTCCCGCAAGGAGGTCGCCGTCAAGGGCCACGCTCACAGCTACAACAAGCACTGGTACAAGAAGGTCGACGGCGTCTGGAAGTTCGCTGGTCTCGCCCCCGAGATCCGCTGGTCGGAGTATGACTTTGAGGCTGTCTTCGCCGACGGACGCGATTCCTTCGGTGAGGAGGAGACGGCCGACAAGAAGAACAACGTTTCTGTTGTCGAGAAGGAGCTCAAGGTTGCCGCTGCTGTTTAAATAATGTCAATTTAATGAGGGAATACCTCCGGTCATGGGAACGGCGAATTGGGACATATAACTTACCATGGGTAATTGGATACACGTAGCTTTACACGAGTTACGGATGCAGATCAAATGAAATCCCCAAGTCTGTATCATACTGATGCTTGGTTCCAGCTGTCCAAATAATGAATCGTGAATGGATCCAGACCCTTGGACCAAACCTTTTGGCCACCAATAAGTGCCACACCGAGTGACATATTCAGTCGAAAGAAGCAGCTCGGTTGTGTATTCCTCACCGTCGCGTCCAGTTAATGATAATCCCCTGCATGAGTATTTTTCATACAGTCCCCCTGACCGTGGGGCACAAAAGAACAAATAGGCAAGCCACTTATTTGCCCGAACCAGCTGAGTACCTTCGGCCTAATTTTCATGCATGTAAAGCAGTATACAAGATAATCAGACAGAAGTAAACAAATTGATCACTGCTGTTGCGCATAGAGTTCTGACGACGTGCATGGCAAGGCCAACTGTCTAGTCGTACGATCTACCGTCCAGGGACAGAGCAGTATCTCATACAGGGGTTACCAAGAGCACACCTACGGCCGTTAGTATATTTGTGGTCACTAGTATCATGTTCGTCTTTTGACACATTTCTCCTAATGATGAGACTGGCCGCGACTAAACACTCTGCAGGGTAGCACTGGGGCAAAAGAAGGTCCTGGCCCTCTCATCATGTCTCAAAATCGAGGCATTAACTCTTGCAACTGATGTGGCCGTCCTTTTTTGGGTAGACTCGTCCTAGCCTGGCTGCTAAAATGCAGAGTGAGATGTTTTTACATGACCGAATCATAGGTCTAGGCAAATTTTGGTTTCTTTGATTCATCTCAAAAGTCTCACAATCTCTTCAACTTGCATGCAAATCCTGGACGGATGTGGTAGGCTCATGAAGACATCCGTAATTTGCACTTCTCTGCCTCAGAAGCTGTAATTCTATTTGCAAAGTCAGTCGGCCCGAACCGTAGTATTACTGGCTGTCAGCGTAAAACATTCATTGTACATCGAAAGGAGCTTTGTATAATGGGGCAACGTAAGGTATCAATAACCTTGGACTGTCACACTCCGATGTTCAGTCAAGTCATGACGATGGTGGCGGGAGAGTTTTACTCCGGAAGTCTGCCCCTGAAGCTTTCTAATTAAGTTATTGTGCTGAACGTGGCTCCAAAATCCCGGCTGAGATCCCCACGCTGGCCGTACAGGGTTCTAGAGTGTTCTAGATTGAGCACTGGTGGCCCGATATTTCCGCTTCTCAGATATCCGAGTTATTCGGAAACCCACCAAAGTGATCCGAAAGGCGAAGTGACAAGGTACGTTCAGGGGCCGGTCTTACGCGTGCTGCAACTATGTTAATGTTTGATTGGGACTAGTAGCCTGATGATGGGAGACGCTCTTCAAATGGTAAGTGGGATCGGTTCTTGGCAGAAACAAGTATATTGATTGCGACGGTAGTGACTAGAGAAGTCTTCGGATTTGTAACTTCAGGGACTTACATCATGCCTGGAGAAGGGTATACTGGAGATTTCTGTACTTGTTGTAAAGGCGCTTGCATTTATTTAGTTTCAAGGATCGAGTGCTTGAGATTACTGCTCCAGCGCAATGTGACTCCAAGTTCCAGGGGCGAATCTGACGAGAGCCTCTCCTGCGATGGCGTGTGGGTTAAGTATTCAGAAATTCAAGCTTAAAAGAGAACAACATACAGACCATCCTCATTTGCTGCCATCTCATCATCCTTCTAACCTTCAGATCTTACTTCACTTGCTACTTCATTCACATTCGTTACTCGCTAGCCGAGCCACTCATTCATTCAGACTACAGCCATCTAAATTCACCTTCAAACCAATTCCTTTGGCCCAACTATTCGTGTTCTTCAACGGTCTCAACCTCGTCGTCAAAATGAAGTTCTCTCTCGCCACCGTCATCGCTACCGCAGCGCTCATGGCAGACTCCGTATCCGCCCACTACTTCTTCGAGAAGATGGTTGTCGACGGCGTCGCCTCAGCCGACTACATGCGCGCCAGCACCCAGGGCTACCAACCCCAGGCCAACACCATCATGACCAGCAACACCTTCCGCTGCAACACAGGCGCCCAGGCCGCCAAGAAGAGCGCCACCGTCACCGCCGGCTCCTCGATCGGATTCCAGATGAACGCCGGCGCCAAGATCCAACATCCTGGCCCGCTCCAGATCTGGATGAGCAAGGCCACGGGCGACCTGTCCAGCTATGACGGCTCAGGTGCCTGGTTCAAGGTCTACGAGTCTGGTCCCGTCAAGTTCCCTCTCACCGGCGCCGCTGAGGAGTGGGGCGTGTACAATAAGAACATCATCACCTTCACCATTCCCAAGGACCTTGCTGCTGGTGACTATCTGGTTCGCCCTGAGCATCTTGCTCTGCACAAGCCCTCTGGTACCGAGTTCTACTTCAACTGCGGCCAGATCAAGGTCACTGGCTCTGGCACCAAGACTCCGACTGCGACTGCCAAGTTCCCCGGTGTCTATGATTCCAATACTGCCGGCCTTTCCCCCAAGTAAGCATCCGGTCAAACGATTTTTCTCAAGGAAACGCTAATGTACGTCGATAGGTTCTCCCTCTACCAGAACGCCAAGTCGTACCCCATGCCTGGCACCACGCTGGTCACTCGCGAGCTTTCCCTGCCCATGAGCCGCATCTCCCGTGGCATGCGCGCTGCTGCAGTCCAGCAGGAGTAAGCTGTTGCCAGGCTGTCTGATCAGCGATTACGAAGACGACAAGCGATGCTTGTAGCAGCAAGGCGACAAGGATCGAATTGGATGTTGAAGCTGGGATCTTGGACTCAAAGATCCTGACAACACCTTTTTCACCATTTGAATGTATTTTATTCGAGATATACTCTTATATCCTGTGGATATCCATATTCAGGCTTTCTGCATCACTCAATGATCACAATAGGCGCTTGAAGCTAATTTGTACTGTATCCTGGGCTTTGTCTTGTTCGAGTGAATTAAAAGCAAGTTTCCCTTTTGCCGACGGCTGTTGTTCCTCATTAAGCTTGCAAGGGACCTAAGAATGGTGTAAAGGGACAATTTCTCCAATAAAGGTTCGCGGCGTATTAGCAGTACAGAAACTTTGAGTCCACTCAAAGGCATGATAGTATGATAATACATACATGCTCACGTGATGGAGCTTGCGTGGTCTTGATCGTAATACGGCTTGTAGTCGGGTGTTCAGCATATGCTTCGGAGCTCTTTTCTGATGCGAATCGCGCCAACATGACCAGTTTCGAATACAACTTAGAGCATCCAGTTACAAAATGTGAGAATATATCACATGCTTTGGGGTGAGCATCCGCAACCCCGGCTATGAGAAGTCGTGATGATGATGATGATGATGTATTTAACGTCTGGTAACAAAAGGACGTGCCGGGCGCTATGCCGACATGGTCTATGCTGATCTAAACTATGTTACAGGCTACCGTCTTCACCTAACGTTCCTGTTCAATGACTCGGGCAAATTTCGGAAAAGAAATTGGTCTCCTCTATCCATTCGCATAGAAGAGAGGCTCCCTTAGCAGAACCTAACAAGAAATCGATGCTTGCTTTGGCCATATGTTGGCGGAGGTAGCGCGGTGTAGCCTTGCGTCCACGCTTGCAGAAGTAGAAATGGACTGGAGTCTTGGGTTTCCCACAGCTGCAGTTGAGCAGCGCATCTTGATGAGAGAATCTCTCGTGGTATGCTGCAAAGTCTCCATGATGGGATCTTGCTGCGTATAGCCTTCCTAGTAGGTGCCGAGGGAGGCAGAGTTCGGGCGGCTTGGGATGAGGAACTATCTCGAGGTCAGCATATTGCCGAGGGCATTGCGACAGCCATTTCCTGGCAAAGGCTTTGAAGGCAGCTGCTCTAGCTTGCCTTTCTAGGTGCGCTAATGAGGGCTGTGGTTGTGATTCTGGGATTAGTTTGCAGGCTTCCTTGGCTAGAGCATCCGCTTCTTCATTTCCTGGTACTCCCGTGTGCCCAGGGCACCACCAAACATAAACCCTGCCGGGGGTTGTCCAGCTTTCTCTTTGTCTCCGAGTCCAGGAGGAAGAGAGCCCATTGAAGGCCCTGAATCTAGCCTGGCTGCTTCCTGTGCTCTGGGAGTATAGTCTAGCCGCGACTGCGAGGTTGTCGAGGCAGATGTGGACGTTATCTGCCATACGAGCCGTAGGAGCCCGGGCGGCTTCCATCAGGCCGTGATACGCAGCATGTGCCTCCGCGTCATACACCTCAGTTTGGGAGCCGAGTGGTTCGGATCCGCGGAAGATCTGCCGTGTAGCTTGGTACCCTACCCAGCCTGCTCCGGCGGAGGTGCTGCTGCCGTCTGACATCTGGGACCCGTCAGTATAGACAACAATATCCCGCTTGGAGAAAGTTGCCACCCTGCCTACAAAGGAGAGGGCCTGTTCTTCTTTGGTCTTGTTAGGCTCGTAGCCGACCCTGGCGAGGACTGTCTGCCAGTCCGCTAGTTGCACCCAAGGGGGGAGTTCTAACGGATCGATGTATTCGGAATTTTTGCTTACGAGGCTTGCCATTCGTCGTAGCCGTGAGTCTGGTCCTGATTTGTCTCTGAGTCTCGTTCGGAGAGGGTGTCGCTCGTCCAGACGATGGATTCTGGTAGACGCTTTGTGGAGCTTCGCGTCCAGTATCACCTCTGCTGGGGGTAGAGCCGCCTCGCGCTGTAGGATCGATACAGGCGTCGTTCTATATACGGGGACCATCGCTCTGATGGCTTTGGTTTGCGTCGCGTCCAGTTGGTGCAGCAGATTACCAACCCTGTTTGAGATAGTACGTCCATTCTTTATCCGGCTCTTGCCGGGCCACCATGCTTCAGATGCATAGTACTGAGTGGGTAGTACACAAGAGGTGATCGCTCGGCGAAGTAAGTACGCAGGCGCGCCCCAGACAGTGTTCCCTAGTCCCCGTAGTCCATTGACTACTTGGCATGCCTTCGCGGAGAGGTTTCTTACGTGACTCTTGAATGTGAGTTTACGGTCGAAGTGAACGCCGAGCCAGCGTAGAGAAGAGCCTTCTTTGATGGCCTGAACTGTATGATGCCTCCCATCCGGCAACTCTACTGTGATTGATGGGTTTCCGTCTATTCGTCTCCTGGTGAAGTGGATGAGTTCGGACTTGTCGAGGTCAAAAGTGATTCCTTCCGACGCGCCCCATCCTAGGGTTTCTTTCCATTCCTTGCTTAGGATGTCACAGTTGTTCTCTGGTGATGTTGAGCTTGCCAAGATAGCGACGTCATCGGCGTAGCCGAAACGAGATCGCTTCCTTCCTGGGTGAGCTGTGCCTAGCTTGAAAAGAGGTTCAATATAGAGCATGAACAGAATGGGAGACACGGGTGAGCCTTGTGGTAGCCCGCATTCGAGACCGAAGACGTCTCCTACCTCCCCATCAAGCTTTATTCTTGCTCTCCTTCCGACAACAAAACTTGAGACCCAGCGTACGAGGTTCTCCGGCCATCCTTGTTCGCGGAGCCGTCGGACCAGTCGTCCTGGGAGCACGGCGTCGAAAGCCCCTTTTATGTCAAGCGTAAGCATAGAGGTGACCAGGCCTCTTTGCCAGGCGCACTCGATGTCGTGGATGGCAGCTGCGGTGAGGTCGCTGCAAGACCGAAGGGGGAGTGCTCCAAACTGTTGATCGTGCAGAACACGATGTTTAACTGCGATCCAGGCAAGTCGTCTGGCGATGAGTCTCTCCAAGCCTTTTCCAAGGACGGCCAAGAGCGCAATTGGCCTATAAGAGCGCGGGAGTGTCTTGTCTCTTTTTCCCGGTTTTGCTAGGATCACGAGAGTTGCTTCTTTAAAACAAGTAGGATGCCAACCCTCGCGTATACACCCGCTATAAAGTGAGAGGACAATATCCTCGATAAATGGCCATGCTGTTTTCAAAGCAGCCGTAGTGATTCCGTCGGTCCCAGGGGTCGTGTTTCCCGCGGTGAGAACTGAAGACAGTACCTCGTCCTTCGTAACCTGCGGGAAAGGAAGCGTAGCTTGCCTATGTGAGACTGGGCTTTCTGTTGGTAAGTCCTCGGAGATAGCAGCGTTTCTAAGGAGGACGCGGGTAAATAAGTCGCGCTTCTCTTTTGGTTGTGAGACAAGCGTGTCTTGGTTGTCTACATCTCGGAGTGGCGGGGTCTGAAAGAGTCCTGTGGTTTTGTGCCAACCGACCATTTCAAATATGTCTTTGCTTGAGGAGGCTGAGGAGATCTTATCTTTCCAAAAGGCATCCTTGGAGCGTTTGAACTCGTAGAGGAAGTCCTGTTTTAGAGCTTCGACCTCCTCTTCTTCCCATTGGCAGTTCACTCCGGCTGCGCTGAGTCTTGCCAGCATCGCTCGCTTATTCGCATAGGCTCGGTGTTTGCGTGTGCAGCTTTCGCTCCAGTATGGTCTCCCTGTACCTTTCCCGAGCGTGCGCTTTGTGGAAGCCGTGAGTGCTCGAATAAGACAGTCCGTAAGCTGTTGTGCTAGGAGATCCAAAGACTGTGGGTCTTGGATGTTGCTTGCAGTGCGGCGCATGGGTTGTAAGTTGCGTTCAATGATGCCGAGGAAAAGCTCCTCGTCCATCGTCTCGAGCCGAAACCTTCCCGGGGTCGGGCTGGGTGAATCGATCAGGGCCAAGGGGACCCGGGTAAGCAGAGATTCGTGGTCTGATGTTGTGTGTAAGGACGTTTCTATGCTGGTGGATGCCCCGTGGAGGTTGCTGGACGCCCAGCATAGATCCAGGGTGTTGCCGCCTTTGTGCGTGGGTTCACCTATAGGTGACGTTAGGACAAGGCTGGCGGCTTCTGCCCATTCTACCAGGTTTTCAGCGTCCGAGGAACTTGTGGCCTCGGGCTGCCACGTCCAATGGTGTAAGTTAAAGTCCCCCGCAATCAGTACTCGATCCTCAGGTTTGGGTTGCCAGGCCGCTAGGATGTCCCTGAGAGCCTGGCCAGATCGCAGAGAGCCACGAGGGGCGTTGTATACGTTGATGACTGTGAGAACCTCCTTCGTTCCTGAGAGGAGTCGTAAGAAGAGCAGGTCTGTGGGCGGATCGGATAGAGGCCGTGTTTGTACGCCTCGTAGCCCAGTTCCTCTGCGGAGGTAAGTAAGCACCCTGGGACGGTCTTCTGTCCAGTTGTCCACCGGGGTGAAAGTCTCAAAACCTGGGTGGTGTCTTGTGAGCCTCCTCTCCTCCGAACGGATAGACGGCTCTTGTATTAGGAGTATATCAACCTGGGCTGCGTAAGCCAGGTTCAGTGCTGTTTCGTGGGCGGATGCCCGTCTGCCCACATTCGCTTGCATGATTTGCAGGGTTTTAGAGGGCTGTATTCTTCTCTTGTGTCTCATTCGCCGGGGTGCAGTCCATCGCTTGCTCTTCTTCACGGGAATGTCGATGCGACTGCTGGGTCGCGAATCTCCACAATCTTTCTCCCTCAGCTCGGATGGCCCGTAGCTGTGCCCTATTTCTCCTCTGGACTGCGCCCTTCACCACTTTGGGTTTAGTAGGGCAAGCGGCATCAAAGGCGGCGTGAGGCCCGTTACACGACGGACATTTAAAGGGGCAATCGCAGCCATCGTGACCCTCGGTGCCGCCGCAAGGTGCCCGATGTTGGTCGGTCGTGTGGGAAGGAGAGCTGCACTTGATGCATCTCTTCCTTCTAGTACACGTTCGTTCGTTGTGAAAGCCACCGCAGCGGTGGCAATGGGGAGATCTCTTCTCCTTCGGGAACTGCAGGTTCACGAAAACGCTGGCCCCCATCAAACGGAGGCGTCTTGGTAGTTGCCTTGCGGCTTCTGCCTTGAACCAGGCTGTTACCGTGCCTAGTCTTTCGAGTTCGTCTTTCCTGGAAAAGTATGCTTTTTCAGGCTTGAGTTTCATCGTCATCTGCATCTCTTCAAGAAGCTCCTCAGTCGTGATTTCCAGCTCAGTGTTGGTTAGTAGGCAATGCCTGGTGTAAGGGACGTTTGCGATATATGCTCGGATCCAGGTATCGCGCTGTTCGACCGCTTGCGCCTGGAGAAGGGCAGCAATCTGTTCTCTGTTATCTAGCAGGATTTTTGCTCCATCTGCTGACGAAGGTAGGAGTGCTAATCCTGTCTTGACATGGTCGATCCCCTTCAGGGCTTCTCGAGCTTGGGGACTTAGCTTTTCCCGAACGAAGACATATATGTCGTAGGCTTTCTCGTTACGAAACGGGCTTTCAGGTGGTAGACGCGCGAACAAGCGCAGGTCTTTCAAGGCCGCCCGGTTTGCAGCTTGTTTTGCGGCTTGTTTGGCTGGCGGTGGTTCATCCTGTTTCCCGGTGAGTAGCTGGCTCGCTACCGCCGCGTATGATCGGACTGAGGACGGCTTGATTTGGGCTGTGTGTAAGGGTCGCCCTTGGGGACTAAGGGGAGCCTCGCTGGGTCTTATATCAGCAGCATGCATGGACCTTGCTAGACCACGATGGTGCCAGTCTGAACGCTGTTTCTCCTCTTGAAGCTCTCTCTCCAGGGATTCGGTCTTCTTCAAACAGTCTTTGAGAAGTTGTTCCCTCTCAGCATCCCTTCGTAGGAGATCCTGGACGAGATTCGAAAGTCTGTTGATCTCTTCTTTAAGGTCGGCATTTTCTTGATAGTTGACCTGCTCAACTACTCTGATCTTTGCGGTCGGTTTCCGGACACGTCCCGACCGTCGAGATGTACTGACGTCCCCGTGAACCGTGATCGATGGCTCTACACCGGGAGAGACCGCCATGATGGTATGATTCAGCTCCCGTGGGCTGATGATGAGAAATGATAGTACTATGGGCCGAGGCCCTCTATGGTGTTAACAGATACTAACAGTGGGTCTGCGGAAAAGGAGAGTCCTTCCTTGTCGATCTCGCTATGAGAAGTCGTGATAGCTTCACATTGTTCGGAACATGTTGCTGACAAAGATTACGTCACGTGTACCAAGTGGATCGAGCTGAATGATGACATAAGATGGGGCTTTGGCGGGGCACAGCTCGGCAGTGCACGGAGCAGCAGAGGCCCGAGCCGTCGACGGGAACTTGGAGAGCTCCGACGGAGTCTGGCGAGAGGTCGCTTTCGCAATGCTTCTTTCATCAATACCAGCTTGAACAGCCTCATATTGCGACAAGAAGCGGCACTGGCTAATTTTCGACCGACATTCGAATAGTAGCCTCCGATATTAGCCCAAGGTCATTCTCAAGCTAGAATACGTCCGACTTCAATCAGACGATAGCTCCCGGCAAACCCTCGAGCGCCTCCAAACCATCATCATGGACTACGTCGACAAGCGACTCCAGGAGGAAGCAGTGAAGCTGCACGTCGACCAAGGGCAAGCTAACGAACCTCCTCGACTGTTGAAATCAATAAGCTAACCTCAATTATCCAACAGCAACGCCTTCTTCACCCCCCTCAACATCCTCTTCCTCCTCGTAAACATCTACACAATCTACGTCCTCCTCCGCCCGACCCCGCCTCCGGTCCTCCCGAAAGAGCCGCCCGCGACCGTCTTCCGCGTGTTCAACCCGCGAACCCTCCTCCCCTACACCGGCGAGAACGATACACCCATCTATCTCGCTGTTCGCGGCCGCGTCTTCGACGTCACACACGGTCGCAACTTTTATGGCCCCGGCGGACCCTACTCCAACTTTGCCGGCCGTGACGCTTCGCGGGGCCTGGCGCTTGGCAGCTTCGATGAGGATATGCTGACGGAGGATCTTGACGGCCCGTTGGATCTCCTCGAGGGACTGGGACCGGACGAGATTGAGGCGCTGCAGGGATGGGAGGAGAATTTTGACAGCAAGTATCTTGTTGTCGGCAGGCTTACTGCCGTCGGCGATGAAGAGAAATAGAGTCAATACTGGTAAAGTTGGTAACATGGTCTTTTACCGCAGGGCTTGAATAGACTTAGACGTTGAAAGGGAGTTGTCCCCGACGAGTTTTCGCAAAGTTCTGATACTGTTGGTGCCACTCGACTCAAGATGGACAACCAGTATCCAAGCCGCCTACCTTTGTCCGACACGCTGTACAGTGTTCGAAAATCTGCCCCGTGCCTCTTCGCTTCTGGAACGTCCCACAGGAAGTTGAACGCATCAGCTGTGGCATTATGACATGGCGGACCTGATAACCAGTCAAGCGCCCACGGCTCTTCCGAGTGCTTCGAACAGGATTGACAGCCGGCCCGAAGAATTAGATTCCACAGCATGCATTGTCGCTCTGCCCATTGTTAAGACACGATAGCATGACGCAAGGGAGCTACGTGGGGAGGCAGCCGCCAAAAGAGGGCCGCTTTCAGGTTAGTCAGATTATAGCGTCACCATCAGGAGCCAGCGACGGAAGAATTGTGAGTGAGATGAAATGATGCTGACGGCCTGACAGTGGTGGCTGGACCCCCTTTCCCCCCCTGTCTCTTTCGAACCAGTTCCCTTTCTCTCCCCCTCGAGGCTTGCAATGAAGCTCCAGCGTAGGCAGCGATATTCAGGAGATTGGCCTCGCGTGGCTTAACGGTTATTTTCAGGCCGTTGTTGCAGCCTCCGAATGACCGTGCCACGACTCCACGAGTGATCCTTCGCTCTGGACACACTGTCGTTGGCCGCGGCCAGTACCTTGCGTGTGGTCAACTTACTGCCTCCGGTTCCAGCGTCATCCGGGTTGCCGGGGAAGCTGAGCCACGGGGATTTGGGCATGAGATGAGATGAAGTACCCGGAGGTGTGCTTATGTCAACTCTCTGCGGATGGTCTCGGGCAAGTTGCTCTGGAATGCTGATTGATCAGACTGCTGAGACAAATTGTCTCAACCTGAAAGCGTTCAACAGCCTTCAGTTCTCTCAACGGGAAAATGACGATGAGCCATGCTCACGGGCAACCAAGGTGCCAAAACAGAAGGCCGTTTCATTCTTGTTCTCACCTTCTTCCAATATGCCACACTTTACAGCAAAACCAAAGGAACACAGCAAGACTGGGTGTGTGGCTGACGGTCATCCAGCCAGCCCAGACGACTGGGGCTTGTGAGCCTCTAAAATTAGCCCCGGCTCGTCGAATCCGGCAAGGGTCGCAGATCCTCCGACGCTATGCTCCAGTCTGCTTCGTTGTCCCGTCCCGATTCCATGTCTTCGATCTCACCCACGTTCCTCATAGAGAAGCATCTTTCAAAGTTTGCTCAGATTTCCCCTGCGGAACGTCCAGAGGCAAACACAGCCCCTGGAGGAGATCACTTCGTGCCTCGACCAGTCTCTTGTCACCCCATGCATCTGGTTCCCAAAGTGTGTCTATGAATGGTTACATGTACCTGCGCTGATGCTCAGCCTTCAGCCCTACATATAGGCAAAAAGAGAAACGAACCAAACATCAACGAGCAATGGCAAAGAAAGAAGGGAAACAAGCTTCCCTCTCCCTGGTCCCATCGTCTGCACTGTACCGCTGCATTCCCACCCTCCATCATTCTCTACGCGCTCTCCCCGTGCCCATTGTCTCCATGTGGAGGTATCCAAGCCTCAGCCTCCAATCCGTCAATCCGTCCGTCGTTGCGCTAGCGACTCCAGCCATTCCTTTGCTCTAGCTCGGCTCCATCTAGATTCATAATCGTTGTTCCGGACTGTATTCCTTAAAACCCTCCGTCACGCCTCCTTCATCATTCCTTCTGTTAAGTACTCGGTATCTCTGCGAATTTGTTTCCCCCACTTACGGCCGAACTCAACCAGCAGGCCTTGACCTGACCATCACCATCCCTGCCCAGCAGACCCGAATGCATGTATACACAACAGAGACTCTTTCAGACGACGGAGCCAACAACACTGAGATATTGCCTCAACCCGGATTGGAAACCAACTGAGCGAAATTCGAGTTTAACTTTCATCGAGGCTTAACTGCATGACGTGCATTGCCGATCCCTAGCTCTACAGTAGCCCACCACCCCAAGCGATCCATCCTCCGGCCCCCAAAACCACTGGTTCATTGCCATCAACATCATCGACTCGAGGCCAGAACAGAGAGAGCAACACTCTCGCCAATTCTTCACAATGGCGTCGGCGCGGGGGAACACAACGACAAGGGGCCTGCTGAGCATCCTCCTCCTCACAGCACCGGCTCTCGCAAAATACCAAAACAACTTTGACCTCTATCCAGCAGCCGCCCAACCATGCCTCTACGCCTCCTCGGACGCAAGCAAATGCGACGGCGACACAGTCGCAACGATGAACAAATGCCTTTGCAGCGACGACAAGGGGAAATTCGTCACAAACGCAGCGACCTGTCTAGGAAAGGAAGCAAAAGATACCCTGCGCACAGTCTACCAGTCCATGAGCACCGCCTGCTCAGACTCCAAGACACCGATATCCATGACCGAAGACCAATTCCTCAATCTCGGCGCGACGGGCGCCACAGCATCGCTATCAGTAACTTTATCCACATCAAAGACCGCTACGCCCACTACAATGATGACCACCACCACAGGCGGAGCGACCGTAACGTTAACAACCACACCAACGCCCACGACATCGACCGCACCACAGGAAGATAAGGGCCTAAGCACAACCGCCAAAATCGGTGTCGGCGTCGGCGCCGGCGCAGGAGCCATTGCCCTCGTCTGCCTCGCCGCCTTCATCTGGCGCATCAAGCGAAGCCGCGACGCCCACGACGAGTCCCACCGCCCGATGCTCGGCGGCGGCATCGGTGCCACGGGCCACAACAACCCACAACACGGGCCCTTTACCGAATACAGCCCGCCCGCGAGCGTCGCCGGCGCCGGGGCGGGTGGATACGCCGCGTACACCGGCGCGCAAGAATACAAGAACGAGAACAAGCAGCAGCAATCAGGCTGGAGACCCGTCTCCGAGATCACAGCTACGAGTCCTGATGGACAAACGTGGGCGACGAATTCTCCGCAGCCGCCGTATGCGCATCTTCAACCGCAGCAGGGGGCAAGCTTGGGTGTTTGGGGCCATCACCCGCAAGCTGCGTATGTTGCTCCACCGCAGGAACCTGCTCAGCAGGAGGGCGTTTTCGAGTTGGCTTCGATACCTGTGACGTCGCAGCCTCCTTCGCATGTGCCGCAACCGCCGCCTGGTGCTGTTGAGATGCCGGCGACGGAGGTGCAGCCGCAGCCTGCGCGGTATCAATATCCTTCACAGAGGCAGTAACACATTAGAGGATAGGGGGTGGTCAAAAGCGGGCATACAGGGGTGTTTGGAGGGATGTATAATGTACTATGATACCTTGGGAAGCATTTACACTCATGGGGTCTCGGTGTTCTGGTTCCTGGTCGGGATTTATAGAAAAGGGAAAAGAGACGGAAAAGCCATGAAATATAATACGTTTGATCCTTCTAGACCTTCCTCATATCCTATGATTGACTGCACCTTGAACTTCATTTTGAGATATCCATGGCTACTTTGCCCATATGGCGCACAAAAGGTCTAACAATGCGACTTTGATCATAATTAACTAATACTCATTGTATTGATTTTGACTTGGCTTTCTGAGGACTGGTACTTGTAGAACTTGTCTACATGCTATCGGCTACGTAAGCTACTGCGTACTCAACGAATAAGTTGAGATATTGAGGTCACGTTTCGGCTGTACAAAGGCATCCACGATTACTTCTTGGAGCCGCCGCCTGAGCCACCACCCGACCCACCACCAGACTGTCCGCCAGAACTAGACGAGCCGCCACCAGAGCCACTCGACTTGTAGGTCGGGTGATTGGGGTAGTTTCTTTGCGCGGCAGCCGCAGCTTTCTGAACGAACTTTTTCTAATATTTCTGTCAGCTCTGAAAATAATTCATTGTTGTCATTGATCTATAGGCAAGATGGGGTTCCCGGTTTTCTCTCACATCCTTGTTCCCCGCCTCGATGCGGGCCGCAGCCTCGGGGGTTATCTTTTCCTTGACCATTGTGAGTGTTGTGACGATGCGTCTGTCCTTGGCTGGAAAGTGTATATTGTTGATTTTGCTTGCAGCGTTGCTGAGTGCTTTAAGTGATGATGATGGAATGGATGTGACTATAGGCAAGTTCTTTCCATTTTATATCTTTTTACAGTAACGAATGGCAGACTGTACACTTATTAGTGAGTTAACTGCCGTGCCATTAATCTGGCTGCGGACATTCTCGTGATTCACCGTCTGCTAACGCAACATTTCGTGACTTATTCACTGGCTTCTCATGATCCAGACATTGACTTTACTGTCGGATTGGAAGTCCAATTCGACCTCGAGGCAAGGGGCCCGCGCAGGGGCCACTTACGGGCCGTACTTGCGATAATCGCGGCCTGCCCAACCTACGGCTGGAACCTCCCTTTTCCACCTTACGCAGAAGTTAATACAAATCAATTGACCTCTTCGTCAACCCCCGCTTCGAACCAGAATCCCTGTGATAGGCATACCAACATTTACATAAAGTCAAGTGGATTGCTGACTTTTGTATTGGCGTTGAATGAGTGAGCTTGAAGGTAGGTGGTATCTACTTGATAATTCGGCTTTGAGTACATGTATGTCATTTTGGTAATCAGAGCCGTCCCCGAAATGAGTACATATCCATAGATGAATCCAACCAGCCTGTTCCTACTTGTAGATACTCCTGGATGTTCTCACAGGATACAGATATACCTTGGAGTATGACAGTTACGGCGAGCGAGAGTGGTTATACCTGATTCAACACCGGAAATTTTGTCATCGTCACTCCTGACTGGAGTCGCTCATGAGCCGATCCCCATCGGCGATCCTCGTGGCTACCTTTTTAGCGCCTTCGCCAGAAGTATTTTCGGCATTTCCACGAGTCTGTCCGCCAAAGCTTGATGAGCCACTGCCTTTAATAGAGCTAGGCTTCTCCTTATTGCCCCAATCCTTTTCCGCTTGGAATAATATTGTCAGTTTCTCTCGAACAAGTCTCCTAGCATCTGATGCAACTACTAAGGGGCCTTGTGTTCTTTCAGCTTGCCACGTTGGGCATTGTAAGAGCTTACCCTGATGACTTCTCCTCAAAAGTGTACAATAAGTGTATGGTCTCTCCACAGGTTGATTGAGGCGGTTTTTTTTTATTTCCGATGTTCGTGAGCGATCGTAGAAGAACCAATAAGACAACTACACACCATTAGTCCAACTGTTATGTCTCTCATCCTCGCAAGTGGGGTCATTTCAAGCTGAGTATTTACCATACATCAGAGCCGAGGGGTGGGATAAAATCTCATGGGGAAGTCCTTGCAGACTTTTCACATGGCGGAAAGTATGGCGTGTCGAATCGAGGCCTATTCATCATGAAGGAAAACTATATACCGCCAGGAGTCCAGGGGTTACACGAGGTAGTACAGGTGCGGGATGACTGCTAACCTGGGCCGCTCAGCCGATTCCCCAAAGCTGAACAGCTCCTTGTCCCGCTCTATTTCTTGCTTTGTTTGAGCATTAGCTTGCCGAAAGTGCTTTGGAAGAGTTGATATCAATTCCTCTGTGACGACGTCTGTTTATGATTCCCAAAAGGTCACATTGGCGATGGCCAAACAGAACAGGAATGTACGTCGTGGCTTAGAATTGTTCCATCTTGTCACTTGGAAGAGCCTCCTCCTATTCTCTAGCAGTTTCCGGTCAAAGCCTCGTCTTTCCATGCTTGAAGCATCTGGTACATTTTATGATTTTCATGGATCCTTTACGATCGAACTTAATGGCCTGCAAATCGTTGCTACTTGGCGCAGCAGACCGCTGAGAGCGGCCAAATCGATTCGATTCAGACGGACGATGAAGCTGCTTCTTCTCTTCCATTGTTGTTCATTGATTCCAAAAGGCATTCAACGGCACTGGACTGCGGCTTTTCATCAACGATAGTCTGGAAGACATGGCCTGTCAAAAGTCGAAATCAAGTCCCCGACAACACCGGTGGGTTTGATTGATGTACACCTACTGTTCCTTTCATCTTCGATCTTGATCCGGCGACTCATTGCCCCTACGAATTAACCGATCAGGAGAGAACTTATACTGCATAGTACATTAGTGTTGAATCCATTACCATGATCTCACTGTGAGACTGCGTAAGAGCTTCCCATAACAGGACTAACTACTCCGTGATCAAATCACTGGTTCAATACTTCAGTATCATGTTCCATTGCTTCCGACTGACGACTAGAGCCTGTTGAGTATTACCTATGTCGAAGGTACTAAGTTTCTTACTGATATGGCTCCACAAGCTCCTTCGTGGCACATGAGATATCTCCAAAGGTCAGACGGGCAGCGTTATTAACCAGAATCTTCGCTTGAGGTTCCGTGACAGCGTTCCCCTGGGGTTTCTTTCTTGTTATCTAGCTTGTAATTCGTAGCGTTGTTATTAACTATTTCCGCTGCTGCTTTATCCTATGATTCCTCCGTTAATAATCTGAGATATTCAAGCACATATATTTCACTGGTTCGCCTTGTGGGTTGCAGGTCTGGGACAGCTCGTACCGGTCGCGCTGGGGGAACAAGCAACCCCCCGAGACTCTTTTATGTTTCTTTTGATGTAGCTTTTCTTGCTTAATGTCTTACTTCTTTTCACTTTCGTATTCTGATGGCTCTAGATGTCCTGTTAGTCCCACTGAGCCTCCGTAGTAATTCAGTGTCAGTAGCTCTATAGTCGCTGCGGTGTCCTCTCTCTCCTCACCATAATGATTATCATATCAAGTCGGAGATTCCCTTGAAATTGGTATTTGTGTTTGCAATTTTTAGGTTCATTGACTTGTGAGATTGATGGTGGTGTTTGCATGTGCCAAGACCAGAAGAGCTGAGATTCGAGAACGCGAGTCCCGTTGGTCATTTATGCGTTCTGGTCTTCTATGTCTAATCAAAGGATACAGGCTTTGACAAATCGACCTCTAAAAAGTTGAGAGCTCATCGGTAGTACGGTTCGTTGTTCGTATTTGTTTCATATGGCGGCAAACGAAAGTCGTTCAATCGATATCCGTTCACCACGAACAAAGGGACAACGTTTACCAGGGCCAACCCACGGCTGAAATTCATTCTTGATAATTTGATGATTTTTTCCGCCTGATGTAGATGAAAGGACGATGTTCATTCGGCTGCAGCTGCGGCCACGAATACATCCAGCGTGTCGCTTCCATGAGATTCGGAAATCCCAGATTGACGCCTGTTTTGTACTTAATACAGGAATTGACTAACAACAAATATTGGATAGAACATTTTTCCGGATGAGAGGAGTATACGCAAAGCTGGTTTGTCAATCAGTCTCAATTACTCGATAGCAAAGCCAACCGTAATCCAATTGCAAGTGAGCAGTCACTAGGTGAACTAGGCCTGTCAGAATGCTACTCATGATTATTCGTTACTTAAATGTCTATTGTGAACTGGTTTGCCTGGCTTGGAGTTTCTTCGCCCACGAGCTGTAGCCAGAACTTTTGCGGCTTCGCCAGCTGGGCTCTTGGCCGAAAGTTCTCTTCTAGTCTCCGTGAGAGCCTCTCTCCGAGCTTCCGCCGCGGCCTCCACTCGCATTTCTGCGAGCGCTCCCCCTTGACCTACTGCGAGAGCCTCCCCGTGTAATTCCGCCACGGCCTCCTTTGCCTTGGCCTCCCCTGCCTCCGCCGCGACCCCTTCCGGAGTTTCCACGAGAATTGCCTCTGCCGTCCGCGATATCGCTTGGCACATCACTCTGATTAGAGATAGAATTTTCGGCAGCGAGACTACTCTCAGCGTCTTTCGTCTCATCCCCCTTACTCGCAACAACTTTCTCCTTCTTGTCGAGGGCTGCTCTACTTCTCTCAACGAATCCTAACATCTGCAGTTTTGGTCAGCTTCAGTTATCCGGACACCAATGCAATTGTATATTTTGCAGCAGAAAATATCTCATACATCCTTCGCATCGAATCGCTTTCCGGATTCGAATTTTTTGGCACTCAACTCTATACGCTCCGCAGCCTCCTCGGTCATGGGTCCTTGTCTTATGCGCGGCTGTGTATGATCGTTGGGTTTCTTCGGCGGCGGTTTACTTTCATTGTTTTTCTTCTCCCTGTCTGCGATCCAATTGTTCGAGTTCTGGTTCTCATGTCAGTCTCGACAAGCCTTCTAACCTTGTAACTGTTTCGAAGTCCTCATCCTGCTCACCATGATTCTGTCTGACAACGCTAGACGTGTGCTTGGAAGTGATGAGTATATCTGATGTATCCAAATTGATCGTGGAGTATGGTTGTTTCCAAGGGTTTGCGATAAAAGACGAAAACATCGATGATACAGAAAACCCTCATCGATTATATATGTAAACCATCCTAGCAGGAGAGATTGTCGGAAATCTATTTTCGTATTTGAAGTGATTCAAACACAGTTTGTAATCAATTGCTTGGAGATCTCGGACGTGGCGGCGAAGGCGACATGTTGCAACCCAGGTCTGTTCCCAAAGAACAAAGACGACACTGAAATGTTTGCTGGATACATGCAGCCTTCAGTCACCAGGATCGATGCACCTTGGAAGAACGACACGATCTACAATCTGTTCGGTCGCCTTATCCATTGAAACTGAACAGTAGATTGAGTGTGGTTTGCTGAATGACGATGACCCCTGGTAATGATGCACGCCAATACTAATAGAATGCGTGCCAGAACTTCTGATTGCTGAACAGGATGTGGAAATAAAGTACGTTAAAAAGAAGTCTGTATGTCGTGCGTCCTGATTCTACCTCCCGTTTTCCGTTGAGCCGATCCACGTCACCCGCAGTGCCGCTGTTCGGGTCGAAAGTGTGTTACAGTCTGCCGCAATGATGGCGATTATGCTGTGCACCAAAATCTCCGAACTGGACGATGAGCTGCCTGCCATCGCTCCTCAAGATTCGATAGCAAATTCATTTACCTCGGTCCTAATACATGTGCAAAGCAAATTGGTGCATGTTCAAATGTTCAATTTACAACAAGCTTTGCAACCATACTGTTTCTCCGGATAAGGTAGAATATCAAGACCGGCAGGCGGCGGTCTTTTGTGCATTTCGGTTTGATCTTGGGTCACATTAAGTAACGATATCTGCCTGCATTGCTGCTCACAAAGTTCACTGTTCACCAGCTAGCAACTCACGCTGACAAAAGTCAAGGCGACAGTAATTTGCCAAAGGGAAGTGATCAATTCAAGTGGCGGAGCATAATGACGCGGCTGAACAGCGAAAATCTTCGGAGAGATTTTGCAACGGACGCGTACCATGTCAGCAAGAACGCCAACGGGTTTTCTGATATGTTGACATGTTATCAAACCGCATTCCCTCTGTGCAACCATATTGCGGCCCGTGTATTGAGAGTCGCATTATCTCCTATTTGCGTTAGGACTGTACGAGTCTATCTTTGGGGCGCCAACCCAGACGGTCGCTAGACGATTTCTGGCTAGTTGGATACGAGAGTCCGACCCCGTTACCAATCGGGACCTCTCGCTTCGAGAGGCTCTGACTGCACCTGGCTAGGTGCCAAGAAGATGGCGCAAGGGGCCAACGCTGACTTGATTTCGCAGTCTTTCGGTGTCAGATGCGAGCTGGCGAATCATGCCATGTGGCTTTCAAGATTGAGGCTATGTTGACATGAGGATTGTAGGCTGTAGCGGCCAGGTCGTAACTGTCTAGCCCCTTTCCGAATAGGGCTGTCGACTGCGAGAGTGAGAGAGGATTGGAATTTTGGACATGCTGTTTCCGAGGATGCGAAGGGCGGAGAGGGCGCGTAGAGATATATGTATGTGGACGGGATCGCATCAATTCAATCAGCTCACCAACCTTGTAACGCGGTGCATCCAAAGTTCTTTCTGTCTCAGATACTATTCATCTTTGTCCACCTGGTCTTTGTAAATCCACAGACAAAATGTCGGAAGTTTGCCCCCTTCTGACCAACGCCAATTGCACCGTGGAAACCTGTCCCCTCAGCTGCGCTCAAGTTGAATACCTTCCGACTCTTGCCGGTAATGCAGTCTACGCGGCGGCTTTTGGGCTGCTCCTGATCGCTCAGATCGGTCTCGGTATCCGGTATAAGACATGGGGATTCATGGTTGGCATGGTCTGTGGTCTCGTCCTCGAGGTCGTCGGATACGCCGGTAGAATCATGCTGCATAACAACCCATTCGACTTCAATAACTTCATCATGTAAGTCTCATGCCCAGCCCTGCCCCAAAGCTCTATGGCCTTCGAAGAGATCTGACAAAATGACCACAGCTACCTCGTCCCTCTTACCATCGCACCCGCCTTCCTTGCCGGCGCCCTCTACCTCTGCCTCTCCCGTATCATCATCGTCCACGGCCAGCACATCTCTCGCTTCAGCCCACGCACCTACGCAATAACCTTCATGACAAGCGACTTCATCTCCCTCGTACTTCAGGGCGCCGGTGGTGGCATCGCAGCTACTGCAGACACACACTCTGGCAGCGAGACAGGCAGAGCGATGATGGTCGCAGGTGTCGTGTTCCAAGTCGTATCCCTGCTCGTCTTCATGCTCTTGTGGTTGGAGTTTGTCTTCCGCCTCCGCAAGACGACCGAGGGCAACAAGGGTGGATCACGCTTCGCTGAGCTCAGGCCGACGAAGAAGTTCTTCTTGTTTCAGTGGGCGCTCGGCGCGGCTGTTCTGCTGGTCTTCATCCGCTCGGTCTATCGTGTTGCGGAGTTGCAGCAGGGCTTTAATGGGCCTATTGCCAATGACGAAGTGTCTTTCATGATTTTGGAGGGACCGATGATATTCCTGGCGATTCTCGCGGTAACGGTATTCCATCCCGGTATCGGATTTGATGGTCAGTGGAGCAGCGCGGCTTGGTCTGTCAAGCACTCTAGGAAGGCTGCCTTCGAAATGAGCAGCTCATCTATGGAGGAGATTCAAGGAAACCATGCTTGAGATCGACTAGATAAGGGCACGGATTTGAGAAGGGCATGAGCATCTCGTGGCAGATGGAGTAATGGATTCTAGTTCGGGTGTTTTACCGTATGGATGACGAGGACAATACTGGCTGTAAGATAAGGAAGGCTCTAGAATACAGAGTACATTAACGCAATTGATAGATATCCACTACATCATAGCTTGATGTATTCCGTGAAATATTGGAATTCTCCAAATACACCCATTGGTCTGGTCTGAAACTTGGCCTCAAGCGTGCCTGGGCACATTGGGCTGGCCACCACACTATGATCGAACGTATGAAAGTCAAAGGGCAGCTCGCACAGGTTGTAGACCCGTGACTGGTCATCGGGAAGAGGTAGACCAAACAGTCTTGACGCCTCGGCGGGTAATGCTCCTTCTACGCCTAGATGTTGTTCTTCCAGCTCAATGATGCGCTTGGCAGTGAGGTATGCGTGATGTGCGTTCCATAAGCCTTCTCGGCGGGGTGCGAGACGGAGCAGATCCAGGGCACGTCTTCGTATTGAGGAGTGACGGCACTTCAGCGCGGCGTAGAAAAGCGGTGCCAGGAGCTGGACGTCGAATGACAAAAGCTGTGGTGCAGCCTGTACCTTGCCTGGCTTGATGACTTGCTCCGCATAGGTTACTAGCTCGTCAAAGTCTGATTGGTAAATATCGGTGTCTGTTTCCTGGGATGTAGTGCAGACTCGTGTCCAAATGTACACGACCTTGTAGTTTACGAGAAGGATGTTGACCGCGTCTGGGTTGGGCGGGTTGCCGGCAGACTGCAGCTGTTCCAACAGATCATCGAACTGGCTGTGCCATACTTCCAGTCTGGTCTGCAGCTTGGCCTGCTCAACAAGGTCATCAATGCCCACAAGGAGCGTGTCTGCTTTGGGGGTGACCGAGTTGATGAAGCGAATGCAGGCGTCAGCAATAGCGAATATCCGCCTTCTAGCGTCCTCAAAGTCCTTATGGGGAGATTCATCCTCTTCCGTATGCATGTAAACCGGAGGGGTAAACCTGCCAGCGAGACAGGAGAGGATGCCCAGGCGTGAGAACATCGGAAAGATGTGATCCTCAATCACTTTGAGATCGTTGCAGGGGGGCCTTGACCCTGTCTCCGATGTGGCGCCGCTGTTGGGTCGGAGGGGGGCCAGGATGTTGAACCCGTTGTGAATGTGAAGCATTGATAAGTCGGCATCCCCCCTGAGGAACTCGATGCATGTGAACAGAAGACAGCAGACCAAAGGCACCAAGTTGGAGTTTGGGTTCGTCTGAATTCGAGCAGAGAGGCTCTTGAGTGCGAGCTTCCATTCCCTCTGTGCCTCGGGGTTGGCCTTTACAAACCCTGATGGATGACGCAATGATGACTCTACATCGCGATAAACTGCACTAACTGCCGACACTGCATGTCGGATTGACGGCTCAGAGTGTGATAACTGTGGGACAAGCTTCCTCCAAAACTCTGAATCGAATTGTCCATCAAGGATCGTGCCAATGTTGGTATGAAAGAAATCAAGGCCACTTGTGTTCTCGAAGAATGCAGGCTGACTTTTCGTAGGGGGCACATAAACCGTGATCACGGTATGACGGGGTGATCGTGCTGGACTTGTCGACTTGTACTCGCATTTCCGGCTTCCGACGGCGCACCGTCGACAAACGGGCTTCGCTTCATCGCATTTCACGCGACGAGCTTTGCAGGTGCTGCACCCGGTTCGGACTTTGGATGTGCTTTCCCGGGTTCTTTTGGGCGGAGAACTTGTGTCGACGATCATGGTGAGCAATGCTGTATGCTGTATGAAGGAGCAGCCCCGGGTTTCAAAAGATTATTACGAGATATGAAAGACATCCAACGACGGCAGAAATGAGCTTCAGGTCGCAAATACTTGAGAATACGAGGTCAAAATTACGCAGACCGTTGCGAGCCGCTCAGCCACCACAGACGACGAAAGGTCAACAATTTGGAACTTTTGTGCCTAAACGAATGGGGATAACATGTCTCTAATAAGTACTGCGCCAAAAATGCTTACCTTGCTAGCGCCCTTCCTTCAAAGGCGCAGCGTGTCCACATTGAAGTTGGCCTCGTAGCTTCGCTATTAAACCAATGAAATGAGAGGACTAATTTGATGCCGCCCGCAGGGCTTTATCCAACGGCTGCCTAACACCCAGGAGATGCAACCGCGCGAGTCTTACGTCAGGCCGGCATTTGAACGGTGATTCACGCCGGATCCGATAAGAACTCGGCCCGCAGACCGGATCCACAGTCGGCGAGGGGCCGTGAAGAGCCTTTTTGCCAGAAGATATTGGAGATTGAGAAAGCCAAGAGTGCACGAGCTTTAGGAAATAGGGTGTCAGCAAGAGAGCCTTAGCGGAATGCAGAGTCGATATTCACAAGAAATTGGGCAAATTCAGAAGACATGGAATGAGTTGAAAAGACCCATGGTGTTACCAACAGACCCAAGGAATTTACCCAGTAATAAGACCTAGTATTGGTAACTATTCCCATCTGTTCTCGTGAATCCGCGAATTAGTAGACGATACGATCACCAGGGCTTCGAGACTATTCTACCTATCTCGAATCCACCTATCTACTTATCTGCCTCAACTAAGATGGTATGGATATATCTACATACCACCATAGCTTTCTAATCATCGTCCTCGTCAATGCTAATGGAACTCTTCTCCTTATTCGGAATTGAACAGACCTTCTGTCTGATTTACTGCGAGATCATCCGAGTCACCACTCTTCATTGCAAATGTGATGTGAGAATTAGACGATATGGCCAGACGGTCCCTATGAATCTGTGTCATGTCGAGAGCATTGCTGTTGCTCTCGCGTCGCGAAGTTCACCAAACTCGCAGCGTCTCACTCAATCCCTCCACCGCTGAGGTTTGTCATCAATGACACGGGAAGTGGGTGATCTACAGCATAAACTCCTTCCGAGACGGGATGTGGGTACTTGTTCGAAACAGAAACAGACAGTTGTGACAGCAAAGCCCTGCTTTCGTCGAGAGCTTGGCGGGGAAGAAGCATGGGCGTTCCGGATCAGGTCTATGCCCTCCCTCTCAGCTCCAATTGTAAGTTTTCTGACTATGCTTTGCAAAAAGATTTCGCTTTTAGGATCTAGAGTGGTGGCAGAATTGACGTTACGACGTTTGGTAAGATAATGTAAGGTACCAGAAGAAATCAAAACTCATAGTCAAACCTCATCGAAACTGGAAAATAGAAAGTCAATTGGGAACGGCCGCCGGTCCGGCGCGTCCAGGCACGGGCTTCAGTGTCCAACTTTTGGTTTTCGCCGGCCCATGCTGTTGACAGCCCTATCCCAGCCTCTCATGCCCCGAAGACTCGAAAGGTTTCGGGGCTTTTTGATCAGACTTTGCGGAGCAACCAATTGAAAGATCTTCTTTGCCAACCATACCAACATCCAAACATTTGACCTATTCCTAGACAAAGCATGCCCTGATGTTGAGACTTTCTAGAACTCTTCTCGATCTATTCGAGACTCTGAACTGCTGGGGGCTCGCGCCCGACATGACGAACCATGTAACAAGTTTTGCTAAATCGGTACACTCATTGTCTCTGCTTCTATCCTCGCCAGATTGCGCGTTCAAGACGTCCGTTCAACAATGTGATGATCTTACAGTCACAGCAACGGTAAAACCGACTGACGACAGGCGCACGTCCAAATGCATAAATGTGGCACCTCACACAACACACTTTTGAGCCTCATCTTTTTCCGTCAGAACAAGCATAGGGCCCGCAGGTTCTACCATCTTCTCATGCTACTGTCCCTCTTTTCCGCTGCAATAGCAACACTGTGCACATAAACATCGGACGACTGAAATGAAGGCTGTTGTTTCACGGCCCATCCCATCTTCATATATCCACAAGCCGCGCGAGAGTCGCAGGGTACTTCACTGCACATGATCTTGGGGATGTGTGGGGGAGGTCACTGGGTCTAGAGCTTCATCTCGACGTTTGATGCCACCGGATAATCCGTGAACGCAGAAGATACCCAAAAGATGTCACGGAGAGGACCGTTATTGGATGCTTTGGCATGATCACTTTCCTGGTACCGCCATCTATAAACAACACTTGCTGTCATCCCATCAAATGTCTTGGAACGGATCCTGGTGAGACTCTCGTTTTACCAGGAGGCTGGCTTGAGGTTTCTGGAACTTCCGGGTCTCTTGGTAGGACATTTCTTACAATTACTTCATATAAGGAGAGACTCTTTTGTGATAATGTTGAGATGATCGGAGGGAATTTCCAGATGTCTGAATGAGATCGAGAATACAACGCAACACAAGGTACGTGGGGGCGCCTTGCCGATGATCTGCACTAGTTTTGCCGCGTGTAAAAAATGCCCCGTCTTGCCTCTGCAATCTCAATCCAAACGTTTCCATCTACTACCTTCCTCATTCGAAGGCAAATGCGCGGCCCAATCCTCAATGCAGAGATGAAATACTGATATCAGGTCAACTTAGTTTCCAAACGGCCGGTCCGGAATCTTCCTCCCAACCTTTTTCGATGCTTTGCTGTCCGATTCTTTCGCTCATTTGATTCCCCTTTCGCTGGCTGGAGACTTCCGGACGCGAAAAACACCGTCCGTGTCGTTGCCGTTGACTTTTTATTCTCTCTCCCTATTTTCAAGGCGACTGTTTCAAACCCCTTTCTTACTGACGTTAACCTTTATACTTTCGCCCTAATTTAAACTCAAAAAATCATGAATGACGACAAAAACGATGGGCTTCTCGTCCCAATCGACTTCAACAATGTCAGCGGCGGCAGACGAGAATCAAGGATCGATAAGTACGCCAAGCGCAGCTCGCAGATGTTTATCCCTTTCAGCGTCGTGGACTTCCGGCATTCCCAGGCGCTGACCCCGGCATCACCGCGCTATCCGATGCAGACCTTGCAGGAGGGTGGACGCGGACTCGCGAGAATCGACTCCATCGATACGATCACTGCTGAGAAGCAGGAGGCTGCCGTCCATGAAGAGGAAGTGCTTGGGAGTACTGAGATCTATGACAAGGATGGCAACATCCGGCTCGTACCCGTGAGTGAAGCACCACAGATGGATCCGAAATGAGTTGAGAGACTGACTGTGAATGTCAAGACTCCTACTCCGGATCCCAAGGATCCTCTCAATCTGCCTGAGTGGCGCAAGTGGCTTGCTGTTGCCTCCTTATGCTTCTGTGAGCTTCTTCCGGCCAACGTGGGCGGAACGTCCCTTTCTAACGACGCACAGTTGGCTCCGTCTCGCTCGCTGCCGAAATCGCTGTTGCTGGTCTCCTGCCCGTGTTCATCCTCGAGTACTCTGGAGTCGACCCAGCTTCAACTCTCAAGCATGCCGACCTCAAAGGCAACCCGGACCCTCTTGCCGTTGTGCCACCCGGCGTAACTCCAGTCTCTCTGACGTCTGTCTCTCTTCTGGCGACCATTCCCATGCTCAGTAACGGTGTTGCCACGTATCTCCTGGTCCCTCTTACGGCTGCTATCGGAAGACGTCCAGTGCTTATCCTCACGTCGGCTTTCTCCTGGGGTGGAGGTTTCTGGGCCGGTTACAGCAAGTCTCTTACCAGCCATATTGCTGCCAGAGTTTTCCATGGTCTTGGGTCCGGTGCTGTGGAGGCCTTGCTCCCGTTGATTGTCCAGGACATGATGTTTCTGCACAAGAGAAATAAAGCTGTGGCGTCCATCATTGCCAGTCAGGTAAGTTATGCGGTCTGAGACGCCGTACCACTCATTACTGAACTCCCACAATTTGCGGCCAATAATGGGGTGGCCACTATCACCAAGTTGCTGACATGGACTTATCATTGTGTAGGGCCCAATGATCATGCTCTTTGGTATCCTCGGTCCGTATATTGCTGTCAATTGGGACTGGCGATGGATCTACTGGATCACATCCGCCGTCGGCGTCCTGACCTGGATCATGCTCATCCTGTTCGTCCCCGAAACACTCAGACAAAGATCCAAAGCAGAACTTGCTGGTCATCAGCTATGGCCCATAGCTGCCGGCGAGGACCGCACTCAGCTAGATTATGCCACGTATGGTGCGCGTACACGATGGGATGACCTTGGGTTCTTTCAAAGTGGAACTCATTGGAAAGATGCTGGCCTCCAGATCATTGCTACTCTCAAGACCACAATGTTCCCTGCTGTCTTGTGGTGCACACTGTTGCAGGTTGCATTTGGAATGGTCATGGGTGCGACAGGACAGGCGACTTCATTCGCATTGCTAGCTGCTGGGTAAGTACTCACTTGCTTGGCCCATATCGGCCTGGATCTTGGGATCTAAATACTGATGCAACTCTTTCCAACAACAGCGTTCCTTTCGAACTCACCGGTCTATCGCAAATTCCCCAGATCTTGTCAACTATCGTCATTTTCGTCCTTGGTGGCCCAGTCGCCGATTCAGTGTCCCTCTGGATCTCGAAGAAAAAGGGTGGCCGTGAAGCCGAACACCAGCTCCCCAATCTCATCCTCCCCATTTTCTTCGCCATCATGGGTGCACTAGTGTTTGGCTACGCCGACCAAAACCACCTTCACTACGCAGTCTTGCTGCTGGGAACCTTCTTTCTCATGACGTCGACCTTGATCACAGCGCCAATCGTGCAAAACTATGTAATTGAGAGTTACCCCCAGTGGGCTGGTCCCGTGCTGGTAAACGTCTCGACTCTCCGTGTTTTCATATCCTTTCCTCTTAACACACAAGTGACAACTTGGCTTCAAGAATTAGGTGAGTCTGAAATTCGCTCTAAGTGTTGCACATCTTATTAACGAAGAACGCTTTCAACAGGTCCCATGAAGTTCACAGTCTATCTGTCCATCATGCTTTTAGTCGTCTCGACCGGTATTCCAATTCTCTTCATCTTTGGCAGAAAATTACGCATGAAAACATCCGACAAAGTTTCAAAGAGACAATTATAAACCATTGCATGAGCAAGTACCCTAATTGGAGTCTTGAACAAGAGGCTACCACCGACAGCAGCCCATCAAATAGCATAGAGTGTGAATTGCCTTTTCCCTGGCGGTTCTGATCCAGAAGGGACCAAGTCCCTGCCGCAGTATCTCAAATGTGGGCTCCTCGCAGCTGATATCTCTGTGTCTCGATGGTGTGGCTTTCGTTGTGAGACTTGGATTATGTTTCAATCGGTAGACGAGCTATCTATGCCGGGAGTTTAATGGTTTGGAGGCAGGAAACTAATGAGAATCGGCACGGAACATGGCTTCATTGACTTGAGTCTGCAGGACGGCGCGAAACAATATGACACTTCAATGTAATAGGTTTGAAGGGCAGAATCATGTCATGTTTGGCTTACATAGAGCCACCAAACCTCATTCGGGGTTTTTTGCTTTGAATGCATCGTGACTTTCTTCGGGCCTTTTCTCGGACCATAGGTCATCAATCATAGGTGAATTCCCCTTCGAAGATCTTAGCTGGGAGTGCAAGAAGCGTTCACTGCCTTCAGATGAGGCCAAAACCACACAGCACGTCAAGGTCGCAATATCCGGGGTAGCATCCATTCAGGTCGCCAAGTAAGCATGCATCACTCGATTCGCCAGTGTCAGCCAAAAGATGGTAACGCTAGTCTGCAGTGAGATTCAAAAATAGCCCACTGGGTAAAAGCACGAACCGACCACCTAGATCGGGCTAGGCAACGTGAGCTGAAATTTGCCGAAGCAACGTTTCTAGCGGCACAGCAATAAGCTTGTCCGAGAATTTGGGGCTTTTGTCTTTCGTCAATGCATCTCGCGAGAGTATGAATAGACGGCATTTTCGTGCTGTCTGGTGTTTTTTTCTCTCGGTTTTGAGATCACGGACTTCATTACGTTCCACATTGAGCTGCTGCTATCACTCGCTACCGTCATTCGCTCCATTATTGTCACTCGTTGATTCACCCATATTGTAATCATGTCACGCTTGCTTACTGCCCTGGCATTAGCTGGCCTTTGTGCCAACATGGCAATGGGAATTCCTTTCGACCAGGAGGAACAAAACCGGAACGCCGAGTGCGATGTAAGTATGAAAAATCCTCCAACGTTTTATCAGATACTGACATTCCTGCGACGCAGAATGGTTGTTTCTTCGGTAGCTTCCCTGGGGGCTCCTGCACAAATGATGCTGCATGGCCCAGAAATGCGCCGCTTCCGTATTGCCAGGTAAATCTTGTCGGCTGGTGTAAAGCTAGATTAGCACTAACGAGCATGCTGTCTAGATTCTATTCAGCGACAGACTTTGGAATGCGAAGCGAGGAATATGCCCTTCACATTCGACACAGAAGCAGTATGCGGCATCAAGCTGACAACTTCCACGTCCGCTGCCCCCACCGTCACAGTAACTGTTACCGGTGGAGCGGGAACTCAGTCTCCAGTGCCATCGGTAACCGGCAGCTCATCTGTCCTGGTGGCTACCACATTGTCATCAACTCCTGTGATAGCACCCACACTGAGCGCGGGCGTCAACACACCAACTGCTACACCGAGCAGCGGATCGGCTGAGCGCTTGATGTTGCGGGGCCCCATGATTCTAGTCGCTGCAGCCGGCTGGATGTTCTGGTAGACGACTGGAGCTATTACCGAGAACAAGAGTTCTCATTTTTCCGAACGATCAGGATACGCCTATTAATCTTGCAATCAGCAAAAAGCTTTGGACACTTAGACAAACTACCATCTAGACCCTAATAATAATGACAACAAATACATAATGCAGTCAAACTTTGTCCCCTTTTCCTGAAAGCCAGTATTGATTAATTACCCCAGAAACTCTATCCGCAGATCCGGTGAACTCGGGAAGCGATTCAGCGAACGCCCGATGGGATGCTAGGCTCCCCCCACGCTCACTGGTGGAGACGAAAAAGTCCGCCCAATCACTCCCCCAGGGCCCTGGAACGATGGGCAGCTGTCCCCTGCGAGCCGCAATTTTAGGTGGTGTTCGCGCCATTCAGCCGGTTTTCACGGGTGGCATTTCATTTCAGTAGCGTCTACTTTCCAAAGCTTGCATCTGGCCATGAGCTTTGAAGCGGGGAAGCTGGAGGGGGTGGAAGGCTTTCAGGGGTCCGAGATGGTGCCTTATAAGTCTATTTACTGGAGTGATCCATCTGAAATTGTCATGCGGACTCTGAAAGGTTTCTAGCTTTCCGGTTCCTGATAGCGACTCGACGTGGGTGGATTGTCGCGATGATTGTGTCCAGGGCTTACCTGCTCGGCTGGGCAGCAGCAGTTGCGGTTGCCTCTCCAATTGCTGTTGAAACTCCTTTCAGCTGGAAAAATACAGAATATGTGTGAGTTCTGAAAATTTACACAGACGATTACTTGAAATCACTGACGCGGGAAGGGGCTCAGACTCACATTTGGTGACTCTTACACATTCGTCCAAGGAACCGAAGGTCGCTGGGCATACAGCTTCATCGGATCCCAGTTGAACATCTCTTTCACACCCGAGCAGCTCCTCGGTGACCGCATTGTTCCGGGGCAGAACACATCTTCTGCCGGCGGGCCTAATTGGGTCCAAGAGCTCACTGGCTGCAAAGAGGGCCACCCTCGGGACTGCGAGAAGCAGTTATGGGGGTTTGCATACGCCGGAGCTGATATTTCGACTACCTTGTGAGAACTTCTCAGCCAATTCGACGCAAAGCGTATGAGATGAAGCTGACAATATTTCAGCGTCCCGCTGCACTGGAACCATACCATCTCGTATGAGAAGCAGGTTGAACAATGGGATACCTACGGCAAGTCAGTCATTGACGCCGATCCCACCAAGTCACTTGTGGCCTCGTACATTGGAATCAATGATATCAACGACATGGCCAATTTCCAGCTCCCTGTCAACGGGCTGAACAGCTGGGAAGAACTGTACACTGCAGTCATCGCGGAGCAGTTTGCAGCCTTGGAGACGGTATATGAAGCCGGGCATCGCAACTTCCTGTTCCTGAACTTACCTCCACTCGATAAGAACGTACGTCAAATCCGGCACAGTTTTCGTTTCGATAGCCATTTCAAAAATCATGCTGACCATACTACAGCCCGCATCGCAACTCAACCCAGCCCGTCGTCCAAGCACAGACATGATCAAGACATTCAACGGCGTAGTCAACCAGACCGCAAAGGCGTTCTCAGAAAAGCATCCTGACGCGACTGCGTTGGTATTTGACACGTACAACTGGCTTACACAGGTCTTTGATAACGCGGCGTCGTACGGATTCACCAATACAAGCTCTTTCTGCCCTAGCTACAAGGCCTGGGACATCGATACCAACTATGCCGCGTACGGGTGCCAGCCGATCTACGAGTACTTCTGGTATAATTCAGGTCACATTACATACCATGTCCATGAGCTTCTGGCGCAAAAGGTGGAGGAATTCTTACTCCAGAAAAGCGCCAGTGGATGCGGTGGGAAGAATCAGACGTTGAGCGCGTGGGGAACGACATGGATTGGCGGGGAGTCGACCTGAATCCAGCAAACAATGTTAGACGGATGCGTTGATGTTGATGGATCAGGGTTATTAGTTATGAATCTTCGCGGAGAAAACTGCTTATTCAACATCATTGCGAGGAGTCGCTGGCAAATTCTCCGGAGCCTATCTCCCCGGGCCTCAGGGCGATTTAATCAAACCCTGACTAGGTTCTCAGGTTCCAGACGCCCAGCGAAAAACTCCAGATTTTCATCGCCCACCTCGAGCTTCTCAAATACTAGCTAGTAGCAAAACCAATGGTAAGGGGATATCGATCTTTCCCCCTCTAATCAGAATATGTTTCAAGCCTGTCCCACAAAGTTATAGTTGACTACAACGACCCAATTGTCTGGTATCAGTTCGAAGATTTCCTTTATTTATTTATTTTTTGAGAAAGCTATTGATATAACGATTCATAGAGGTGAGAAGTGACCCGATCCAGATAGATGGCTGACATTGTCGGTTTGGAAGTTGACATAACTCTGCAAGGTTAAAAATGTCAGCATTAACCATTTGAAGCTAGGTTTCCGTGATGCTCAATAATAATTGCTCCGTGCCGCCCCGTGCCGTGAAGCCGATCAGGTCTAAACGCCGGCCGAGATAGGAAGGTCCAAGTTCTGGTCGAATCAGAAGCTTGGGATAGTGCTTTATCTGAGTTTTGACCCCACTCTGTCGTCGTTCTCGCGATCCTTCAAGACGTGTGCAACGCGTCACGTCACGCAAGAGAGGCTGATCCGTAAGACTTTGTTTCAATAAATACACTGCCATAGTCATCCACCGCATCGAAATAGAGTCAATGGCGGTTTGATCCCGTGAGTTGTGTTTGTCAAGATGTTGTCCTCCGCCTCAATCGCGCTTGTCGGGCTCGCCGGTCTCGCGGCCGCGCAATTCCCGCCCACACCAGAGGGGATCAAGGTGTTGAAGTCAAAATTCCACGAAAATGTCACCATTTCGTACAAAGAGGCGAGCGCACATCGTTACCAGTAGTCTTTCGTATCCTTGACTAATTGAGGTTCTTGCCTTGCAGCCCGGTATCTGTGAGACCACGCCCGGAGTCAAGTCGTACGCCGGATATGTGCAGCTGCCCTCTGGAACTCTGAATGACGTCGATGGGGAAGCTCAAGACTACCCAATCAACACGTGGGAAACCTCTCCCGAAGCTCTTTGCTATCAATCGGGCCTGCCACTGACTCTCGTAGATTCTTCTGGTTTTTCGAAGCACGCAAAGCTCCGGAAAATGCCCCCTTGGCAATCTGGCTCAACGGCGGACCGGGAGGCTCCTCCATCATGGGCCTCCTCGAAGAAAATGGCCCCTGCTTCGTCAACGAGGACTCCAAGACAACCCGTCTGAACCCGTGGAGCTGGAATAACGAAGTCAACCTCCTCTACATCGACCAACCTACGCAGGTCGGTTTCTCCTACGATATCCCAACCAACGTCACCATCCACGCCGACGAGAACTTCGAGAACGGGCCATGGGGCATGTTCCCCGCCGACTTCAGCGATGGTGTCCCCGAGGGCAACTACACCTACCGGTACGGCACTGCATCCAGCCAGAAGCTGTCGCAGACATCGAATACTACGGCGCATGCTGCTCACGCTCTATGGCACTTTGCGCAGACCTGGTTCTTTGAGTTCCCTGGCTACAAGCCCATTGACGACCGGGTTAGCTTGTGGGCCGAGTCGTACGGAGGACACTATGCGCCTGGAATCTTCCGACACTTCCAGACGCAGAACGAATTGATCCAGAATGGCTCTTCGCCCGAGGAGAATGCCCAGTATATCCACCTTGATACACTTGGAATCGTCAACGGCCTCATTGACCTGTCGATCCAAGGTGAGACTTGGATCACGTTCCCGTATAACAACGTGAGTAATTTGTACCTCTTGATACAGCCTAGAGTGTTTGGGTGCATTATGGTGAGATACAGCGCTGACTATCATTCAGACCTATGGAATGCAAATCTTCAACGAGTCTGTTTACAATGCGTTGATGCACAACTGGACCCGTCCGGACGGTTGCAAAGACCGAATCCTCGACTGTCAGAAAGCTCTCAAAGAACATGGGCCGCTAGTCGCCAATGGTGTCAAGAAGAACTATACTGAAATTTGCGGTGACTTTCTCACCGAGTGCGGCTTCAACGCCGTCGAAATCTACCAGAGCAAAGCCGACGGAAGGGGCTGGTATGATATCGGACACAGCAAATATGACCCTTTCCCGGCGCCGCACTTGTACGGGTATCTCACCGAAGGCGAGGTTTTGTCTTCTCTTGGCGTGCCTGTGAACTACTCGGAATCGTCCGGGGCAGTGGGCATCAGCTTCCAACATACTTTCGGTAGGATGGCTACATTCCCATTGGCGGGAGCTTCGTGCTTTCAGATGAACGTTATACTGATCGACTATTATAGATATGATCCTGGGTGGATTTGGAGAGTCAATCGGGTACCTCCTCGATAGCGGAGTCAAAGTTCACATGATGTGTGAGTCTTGGTCATCCGCATCTTTGAAAGTTGCGTCTCGTTCCTACTAACGCTTTTGTGTGCAGATGGAGATCGCGACTACGCCTGCAACTGGGTTGGCGGCGAGAAGGCCAGTCTGGCGATCCCCTATAACCGATCGATAGACTTTGCCAACGCCGGGTACGCCCCGCTCATCACCCCCGATGGTGTGACGGGCATGACGCGCCAGTTCGGCAACTACAGCTTCTCGCGCGTCTACCAAGCCGGTCATGAGGTGCCGTCTTATCAGCCCGTAACGGCGTACGAGATCTTCATGCGGGCGACATTCAACCGGGACATCGCGACGGGACTCATCCCCGTCACGGACGAGCTGTCGACGATCGGCGTCAGGGACACGTGGCACATCAAGAACATCCCGCCCCAGGAGCCGGATCCGATTTGCTATGTCCTCAAGCCCGAGACGTGCCCGGAGGATGTGTGGAAGACGGTGGAGGACGGGACTGCGTTGGTGAAGGACTACTACGTGATTGACGCTACTCGAGAGAGTCAGGGTCAACAGATCTCCGAGGAGCTGTGAAGAAAATGGGCAAGGGAATGGTAACTGGCTCAATAAACTACATGCACTTCGAGGTAGTTAGCGCAATTCATGGTTGGAGGCAGGCCGCAAGCTCAACACTTTGGGGCCAAACAAGTAGAGACGGTCGGGACAAGTGTGTTTCAGTGATTGGACGCATGAGGGGAACTCGTCAGGAAACATGCAGCGCTGGTATCTGCCCTATGCCCTAGCGCCGGTGTCCAACTGTGTTGTAGTTGCGGTCCGACGGGTTTTAGCTCCTCTCCAGCTCCTCAAGCTTCAATAAACTAAGGTTCTCCTCATCTCGTGTGCGCGCATTTCGAGGGTTGCCAGAGGGTCAGTGTGCGGCGTGCCCGTGGTTTTGGGAACGCGACGTGCCGTGTGTGTGTGTTTGTATGTGTGTGTCTTCCAGAGAGACAGTGAACCTGAGTCGTCTGAACAAGAAACTCAAAAAGATGACTCGGCGAGACAGACGATCCGCCAGCTGGCGGCCATTTCGTCCGATCCGAAGACGTGGATGGCCCTGGCGGGACGTTGTTGCGCCGGCGGCACGACAGCACGAGCCCCCCGGGAGGCGCAGCGCCGAGCGAGGGCTGAGCAGGGGGGGAAACGCGGCCGCGTTTTTCAGACGGGACGGGGAATTGGTCTCGACTGTAGACAGTAAGAGACGAAAGAGTCTGCATGGCGGTCATCGCGCGGGTGACGGGGCAGCGGGTGAGACCGGGGTGGGTTTCTCTAGAGAGCTCTTGGTATGTGCCAATGTGGTAATGGCACACTACGAGACTGTACGACCCTTTCACATGCTAGTTTGAAGTTGGGGACTGAGGGCCTCTTATCTCAAAAGAAGCAGCGTTCCCAACCCCTCCCTCGACAAAAGCGGTCTCGAGTGTGTTCTGTTCCTTGTTACTTTACGTTGATCTATCCAGCCTTCTATTGTTTATGTCACTCAACTCCACTGATTTGCTGAAGCTTTCTGGACGTGCCCAGTGTCGACTGAAACGGCGCTGAAACAAAGTGCTCCTGACAGAGTCGAGACGTTTGGCCATTTACATAGGCCTCCAGCCCTTCAATATCTCATTAATCACAACGACAACAACAACGAGCGATCAGTTAGAAGAGAAACAAGTACGGGAGACTAATCTTAGACGGAAATCATACAATCACACAGCAAAATGGACACAAAATCATTCTCATCACGGATCAGCGATCTCGTAAAGGTAAATAGCACCGCATTCCAGAACCATTGGTTGCCCATCAGCAAGGGTTCCACCACATGATTCAAGCACTCCCAAAAAGAAACAAACCCGCTGACGATAAACCGCTCTAGTTCCTTTCCTCCGTCCAAGGAGACCTCTCAAATGTAACGGCACCACCCTCCTTCTTGGCACCATCATCAGTGGTCGAGGTCGGCCACTGCTGGTGCCAGCGGCCCGGCGTTTTCGTCGCCCCAGCACTGGAATCGGACCCGGAGAAGCGCAGCTTAAAGGTCCTACGCATGATCCTCATCGCCATGCGCAGCCAGTTCTACGTCGCCGGCGCGCCAAACGTCAGCATTAAGAAGCCCCTCAACGCGTTCCTGGGTGAGCTGTTCCTCGCGTCATGGACGGACTCCGATAGGAAGGCGAGAACGGAGCTCGTAGCGGAGCAGGTTAGCCATCACCCGCCTATCACGGCGATGCACATGGGCAGCAAGGAGCATGGGATCCGCGCGGACGGGTATGCGCGGGTAGAGATGACGTTTTCGAGTACTGTGAATATTCGACAGATTGGGCACGCCGTGGTTCACATTGACCGATATGACGAGGATTACCTAATTCCGTTGCCAGAGGTCAAGGTTCGGGGTTTCCTCAACGCATGTCTTTACCCAGAGGTTTTGGGAACATATTACATCGTTTCCAATACGGGGTACATTTCAGAGATCAAATTCTCGGGCAGTGGGTTCCTTCGAGGCAAGAAGAACTCATTCGAGGCGAGGATGTACCACAAGAACGACAAGAAGAACACTATATATGAGCTCCAAGGATGCTGGAGCGAAGGCTGGACAGTCAAGGATGGAAGGACAGGAGAAATTCTCGAAAAGTACGAGGTCGACGCATTGGACAACCTGCCAGCGCCGATGGAGATGGAGCCGATTGCGACCCAAGATCCGTGGGAATCCAGACGCGCGTGGAACGGTGTCATTCAAGGGCTCAGCAAGAATGACTTCCGCGAGACGGTCAGCGCAAAGAGCCAGGTTGAGGAGGCGCAGCGGCGGATGAGGGCGGAAGAGAAGAAGAAGGGCGAGACGTGGGAGCCGTTGTTCTTCAAGAGCATTCCTGGGGAGGAGCACGAGGTTTTCCATCGGTTGGCAAAGGGCGTTAACTGGGAACTACATGACAAGCATACTAAAGGCGTTTGGAAGATTGATGATTCAAAGAGGGATTCGGTGCAACGGCCGTTCAGAGGGGAATCAACACCACTGGGTTAAAGAAATATGGCCTAGATTTAAATTTGATGCATCATGACTATCTGACTAAAGTACTTCCATAAGATCTCTGCTGTTATCTTTTGAAACTTCCTCCTGCTGTTCAGGTCGAGAATACTGCTTCTAATAGCCTAGTCAGCTTATCATGCTAGACAAATTGTTTCGTGGAGGTGATGAAGTAGTCGTAGGATCTGGCATATCAGGTTTAATCTGAGTCTGGCGGCGACTTCGGCCATGTATCCCAGTCCACCACATCTTCCCACCTCAACGGACTTTCGTCTTCATCCTCCCATTCATCCTCGGACGCTGCACTTCTCACAAATGCGATTTGCCTGGAGGGTCCACCAGACGACGCATTCACAGCTCGTGGCTTACTTCCCTTATTCTTCTTGTTTTTCTTCGTCTTCATCTTCAAGAAGGATATTCTCGTTCTTTGAGCCCATCTCTTCAGCTGATCCGTATTCTGGGCGCAGTATAGTACTAATTCCCTGGTCGCCAGACAATCCTCCAAATTATCGTGTGCTACGCCGTCAGCCGCCCAGATCGGAGAACGAATCTGGATGCCGAGGAGCTCTTTGCACAGCGCCTCCAAGCCCCACCTCTTCGTAATCTTTGATTCCGCCCCGAGGACGGCATCTGCAGTGATGATGGCGGAATCAATGATTCTCGCATGAGAGGTATGCAGCACCCGCAAGTCGTTGTGGACTGACTGTCCGATGAGAATCGTGTCCTTGTCAGAGTAGCGCCATAGTTCAGCGCGTGCGGCCTCCCAGCCGTTTAGAGCTTCATTTCGTAAGAGAGCTGCGGACATCTTGGTCGCGTTTAGACCGGTGACGTTTTCACGCCAGTCTAGAATGGGTCTTGTTGGGTTCACAAGCCGGCGGCTTAGCAACACGTTGCCAGTCAGGAAGTCGAGAATAGTGATCTGAATCAGTTCATTTTCGCCTCCTTCGGTACCGCCCATCTCGCAGTCTATGACGAGAGCGGCATACTTTGGTTTGGATTTGATCTTATTAGGACAGGGTGGATCAATTGTCGACGCCATGCTGGATGAACCGCGTGTGCCATTGATCTTTGTAGTCGGTAGAGTATATCCCTCCCTTCGGAGTCTCTCCTCTGGGTGACAGAGATTCGAGATTTGGTTCCAGACAGCATTTCGTCCGACTGCTGGCGAGTACATGTTGCCCCTGTATATGGTGTGCATAGGCGTAGTAGGTTTGGCAGCCCTGGCTGGCTGTGTCACGAGCAGCTCGGGGGATTCAGGTCTTTTGACTCTGATTGGCAGATGAGCTACCAACGGACGTGGGCGAATAGGTTCGGCGGCCCTGGCTGGCTGGGTAACAACCGGAAGAGGATGTACAAGTCCTGCGGCGCCAGTTGGTTGAATAGAAACCTCATCAAGGTGTTTTGCGCGCCTATGTTCCCTCTGACCCAGTTTGGTACTAAATCGTTCCTTGCAAATAGCACATTGGTGCTTTTTCTCTTTTTGATAGGGCGGCATATTGTCAATTGAGGATTGTGAGAAAGGAGAGGAAGAGCAATGGATGCCCCGGGGAAAACAATGGTTATCATCAGTGTTCTTATAATTAGGAACCCTGGGCACGTTCGGGCGGTCTACATCGGTTGGGATTTGGTAGCGTGAAAAGTTGGCGGCCAGCGACACGGTCTCTGTTGGTGCAAGAGCGGCTCTATCGACGCGTGATTGGGCTCCCTTTTTTGGCGATCGACACACTTCTGCAGGAGGCCAACTGCTCATGTCTCAGTAGCTGAAATATGATTCTAATGACTCGACCGTTTCCAAGGTTTCTAATAACTCGAAGATGGATCTTCATGCTGGCCATCTGGCACGGGCGGTGTAAATCCAGAGAACTACTGTTACTCATCCTCCTCAAAATGTCCTCAGAAATGGAATCGTGCTCCATTGCCTCATAATTAAGTGGCAGAAGAGAAAAAACCAAGACTCTGAGGTTGCCAAGTGATGTTGGGAGCATACGTGCAAAGCAACTGCAAGTGGCCGAATTTGGCATCTCAGACGAACCAAAAGGTGGCAGCCACGAATCTCTGCCCGGCCTGTACCAACTAGATAGAAGCTCAAGTGTCTATCTCTTGCTGCATATTTGCTACTTTTGGTGTCTTGCATATTTCTGAACACGCGTTGTAGTGTGCGTATTGCTACCTTACTTCCTTTCGGCTTTGCTGCCTTACGCGAGTTGGATTCGCGATAGTGAAAGTGGACATCCGTGCCCAACCAATACGACTGCGCCATCAATCAAGACCATCCGCAAGGATAGCTAAATAGGAAAGGAATGCAGCTATATCGAATGCATCCGATGGCTATGGGCGGCGTGTCAAATGAGACGATCACATCGATTGAGAGTACATGTACGCCTCAACGTCGCTGTCTCTATCTTCGATATCTTGCCCTTCCCCAAAAGAGGGACGGCACGAATGGATCAAGGCTTTAATGTTGAAGATCAGGAGGCTCCAGTCGGGCAACACAATCTCCGCGGTACCAACTTATATACAAGCCATCGACAAACGTTCTCGGCTCGATTTCGTCATTCTACCTTCCGAATTCTGATACCTCTGTGAAGGAAAGTTTTTCAAAAAGGCCGTACAATCCGATCGCCAGGTAATACAATATACTCAATTAAGTCTCGGTCCTTTATACCTCTTATTCGCGTACCCAAACCAGTTCGCAACAGAAAAGAGACCCATTACCCCGAGAACCACGCAAGCATAATCTGTGCCTGAATTAGCAACCGGTGACTGTAAACTAAGGATGGGAAAGTCAACTCACTCATGTTTGAGGCCGAGACAGGCATCGCGACAGGAAAATCATAGAACACCAGCGTCAACAGTCCCAAGACAATCGTCAAAATGTTGGCAGTGACACCGATCAGGGGCGGCATTTTGAACCTTCGACGCGGGAGTGCTTGCCGGAAAGCAGCCGCTCCTTGTAAACGATGATATAGAGCTAGGGCAGCTGGAAAGGCAAAGCTCACTTGCTGGAGAATTAGGCCTGTAGCGACAAGAGCATTGAACGCCGTCGAAGATGCTAGAAAGATACAACCGAGGGCGAAGATGAGGGCCCAGTTGACAAGAAGTGCGTTGACTGGCACGCCCATTTGAGGGTGGATCTTGCAAAGGAATGGGGAGAATATAATGGCATTGTCGCGAGCAAACGCCCAAGTGAGTCGACTAGCAGTCTGGAGCGCCCCCGTGCAGGCGAAGCATCCGCACAAAGAAAGCACAATCACGAATGTCGTTGCTGCTGCGCTGGATCCAGTTGCCTGCGACCAAATCTCGAGAATGGGCAGCCTAGTGTAAGTCCATGTCAGCTCTGCAAAGGTCCTATGCCTGCAACATAGATCACTGCCCCGCGTGACTTGAAACTAGGTGTTGTTGATTCGGGTCCAGACACTGAGGTTCAGAGAGAAGGGGGTGCATACGGTGATGAGAGCACAGGCTCAAGATCTGTGAAACTGTACAGCATAGCTACGCTGAACGTAAAAGCCGAAACAAATCCGATAGTTATCGTCGATAAAAGTGCTTTCGGTATTGCAGATGAAGCATTGGTGCATTCTTCGGCCAAGTGTATCGCGCCATCGAGGCCAGAGTAGATGAAGTTAGGGTTGAGTAGGCCAGTCAGAAAAACTATGCCCTTTGAAGACCAACCACTCTCATTAACGAACGTGGTCCACACGAAGGAATCCTCTTGTTTCTGTCCCGAGCGCGCCAAGCATGTGACCGTTATCACGAAGAAGCCGGTCAAAGAAAGGAAGACTACGCAATGAGGTAGTCAGCCCTTGCCCCGTCTTGAGATGGTCTGCGAGGTGCAGTAACAGTGCCTACAGCCAATATCGTGGATCCAAGCGGTCCGTTTCATCAGGAAAATGTTGTACGCTGTAAACGCGATGTTGAATGCTTGGAAAACTAGAAAGATGTGCCATGTTTCTGGGATGTACGTAGGATCGAGGTACGATGCGAGCGAAAGAATAATGATCGGCATTTGAATGATGAAGCCCGCTCCATTGGCAATCCAACCTAGGAAGTTGATACTACCGCAACAATAGCTCTAGAAAGGTGCACACATCAGCAACAGACGCAAATTGAGCCATGGAAGGTCTCACCAGTCCCCGGCTGTACCGTTTGGGTGCTAGGATGCTTGTCCAGTGGTATTGTCCTCCAGCGGTAGGATAGACGGATGCGATCTCAGCCATGCTCAACGCACATGCGCCTCCTAACACGAAAATGAGGACGATGCCGTAGAGCAAGGTGACGGGCCCTCCAGAGCTGATTGAAATCACTAGCGTGGCTGCAATTGCGGACCAGCTGTTGCAGATGTTCCACCCTAATCCAACGATAGCCAAAGGCCCAATGTCTCGTTTTGCCAGCGACTGGAGCCCTAGGCGAGACAGGTCGGCGTCTTCATCAGAAGTAGTAGGAGTTGAGGCACCTGCCAATGTGAACGTTTTCCGTAAGATTAGTTTACTGCCTATTTTCAAGACGATTCCGAACAATTACGAACCTTGTTCTACTTTGCTATGCTCCATTGACTTTTCAACCGAATTGCCTCCGGGTGCGACGCGTCCAGGGGAGGATGTAGGTAATGTCATGATTGCTCTGTCACAGCTGTCCGTCATCTATTGATCCAGATCACAACGCAAACAGGTAGAATCACAAGTTTCACCGATCATACGACGCGTATCTTGGGCAATTTTGGAGTCCGAACGACGGTCATTTATGGCAGCAGCCCGTGTGAAGATCCTCGCTACGGTACGAGCCGAGACCGAGACAAAGCGGCAAGTGGTATTTCCCCCGTTACACTGCAGGATGAAATGCAGTCAGCTTCGTGCTTTGCTTGTACGCCCGAGGCTTGTCGCGTTTTGATTCGACCCCTGCAAGGCAACGACCGCGGCTCAGATCCTCCGCAGTAAGGTAGAGTGTAATGCACATCCAGGGGCACAAATAGTATGATACCCGACATGCAGGTATTCATTTAGCCTCCTTGGTATCACTAGGATTATGTCTTCTGTCGAGGGAAAAAAGAATCTTGAGAAGATGACCAAAATTACACGTTCAATTCCGACAAGACTTGTCCGCCGGTATGTTACCGTATGCATTCTGTTTCTAATGCTCACCATCATCTGAACCACAGTGAATAGATCACGTCTTCCGGTGTAATTTGAATCGGTCCCTTTGGGTATCTAAGCAGAGGTTTGCCATTGCGAGATACGTTTACACCTTGAGTGCCTATGTGGTGTACCTCAAGGGACTGCAAATCCTCGTAAAGGGATGGATGTGTCTCCAAGGTGGATTGACGCAGTATCAATGACTGAGGTACTTTACATCCAAGACGAGACGATCGTAGTAACAAGCAAGCCAACGAAAAGACCCGCGAACGACGATCTGTGTTGAGTCGATGAACTCGGTCTATTTCCGAAGCTTTCGGGCGACCGACTTCCAGCAGTAATGTTATTGGCGCGAACGCAGCGGAAGACCGTGTAGTTTGAGACCGCATTCTCTTCAGCGTAACTGTAAGAGAGCATCACAGGCCAGACCTGTGTCACCGCGTAGTCATAGACCTGTCTGGTATTACTTTCGTTGCCGGGAAGGTTGTAGGGTGCAGTTGACTGGAATAACGTGTGCGAAGAGGCCGAAGCGTTTGACATGAACTCCTCTGTTAGGTTTCCTATGTTTCAGCGTTAATCATCTTGCGTAAGCTCTCAGTTGAAGAGTCACTTACTTCTTTCCGCCGTTGTGTAAGCCATTGAGTCACTACAGCTCGCCGGAATGTCGAATCCGATACCGTACAGCGATGACTCCAAAGAGCCATCGCACTGGATCTTTGCTGCAGTTTCTTTAAGATCGTCGATACAATTTTGTGGGATGACGCCACCACATGAGCCTTGGCTATCATCATTGAGCTTCTTGATCTTGTTCTCAGTCCAGCTCATCTGCCACCAAACATACGAGCAGATACGGTACCCGTCAGTTATGTTTCCTCTTTCGACCGGATTGTCTGAGGAGTCAAGAGTGATTTTTGACGGGTTCGAATTGCTCACAATTCCCCCACTAACATTCGTGGCAACTGCAACGTCGATGCTCCACCCATTTCCTTGACCAAACTCATTGTTTGTTGGGTTTTCTGAAAGTGGCTTCGACACATCGATGCCGAAGATTGGCCAGCTTCCCGTGGCATTCGGACTCAAAAGGCTGTCCGTCAAGATGGAGGAGCTATTCTGAACCACGGTATCGGCACGTGGCCTGAGATAGGAGACTTGAGACTTGCGTGCACAGCTTCCGTTGACCAAGCTAAACATCCACAGGATGACAAGAGAGTGTGCGGCATATGCCATGTTTCGAACCGACCTAGGGACTTGGAAATTTCGAAGGCAGCACGATAGTACATGTAGCTGTAAGACAAAGTATCGAGACGCGTTCAAACTTTCGATGTGACCTAATTGTTTCGACGAGGTGAATAAGTACTCAAACATCAGTGGCGGGTACCCTTCGCCCATGTATCTCCTTTCATCTAGTGTATTCTTCTAAGTCAAATGACATGGGCCAAGGTTCCGCAATTCTCACTCGAGAGACCATGGTGGGCGGCAACATTGCCGCCCAGTTGAACAACGAAAAAAAAAAGACCAAGCTCTGACATGCTATCGCTCTCATGATTGGGTGCTGCTAGATACCAAGCGTTCGAAGGATTTTAGTATCCCGTCGGGTGCACTATCATTGTCGCTAGCAGCTGAGAAGCTAAATGGAATGACATTCTTCCCTGTGCTAAGCTAGAGCACAGTTTGGCTACGTCATCGGAAGCATTTGGGGCTTGGGGTGTAGATCTGAGGCCTATTAATCAAGGAAATAAGGTGGTAGATTGGAGTTAAACCCATAGAAACATTCTCTCTCTCTACCTTATTCCAACAAAGATAGAGAAGCCGGTTGTATTACAACCTGTCTTTTTCTCTCTTAAAGCCAACAGGTCTCAATACCAGTACCCGGCACTCTTATTTCACTCGTACTTCTTCATCCAGTCCATCAAATCCGACCAGTCAATGCACTGTTGTTGTTGTTGTTGTTGTTGTTGTTGTATTTAACGCCGTGGCGGCCGGGCTAGAGCCCTTACCGCAGACCTCCCGAAGGGTATATGGCGTGGAGGGCCGTGAGCCAAGGCTACCTACTCTACAGTACGTCGTCTCTTTACATCGTCCTCCAAATCATGCCTTGTGGCCACTACGCGTTCTGTCTGTCCCCGGTTCCCGCTGGTGCCCCAGTTTCATTCTTTCCCAAATCGTCCCTTGGAATCGGGAGGTTCTTTGTAGTCCGCACTCACATCTACCTAGGTGTGGATGCTGCTACCGCAGACAGATCTTCTGGAAGAAGTCCGTCACGCGGAGAAAGGCCTCGAAGCCTCGTGGGTCGGTGATTAATCTCTTGAAGTAGGCCTCGAGAGATCCCATAGGACCTATGGGCTCGGGCATACTGCGAGAGTGGAGGGTCGGCCACCGTTGCCTCCTCGCCAGCGTTAGTCGACAGTAGACCAGGTGGTCCACGTCTTTCGCCTCTCCACAAGAGCACATCATTAGAGCGTCGTCGTGGTTGAAACGTCGGTGATATTGCTCGAAGTCCCCGTGACCCGATCGTGCCGCCAGCAGGTGATGTAACGTAGCCCGCGGCAAGGCCAGTTCAGGAGGGCTGGACAGAGCTGCCTCAAGCCCCAAGTCCGCGTACCGCGGCCTTCGCTCTTTATACCACCATCTCCTGTGCTGGCTTTGTAATTTTTCCCTTGCAAGCCGCTTGATGCCCGCTAGTGTTGCCATTTGACCCATCCGCGCCGGCAGTGTCGTTCCTTCTTTGGCCAGCCGGTCCGCGGCCTCGTTTCCTTCGATGCCCTGGTGTCCCGGGGACCAGTGCGTCCGTATATCAAATATCCTGGCCGCTTCTTGGATTTCGAGGAACGCGTCTTGTGACGAGTCCGGCGCCTTGCCGCGGATGCCTTGTATAACGCTGGTGTTGTCGATACATATGTGGATTGGATGACCGCGATTG